CATATGATTTTGGAAGCCCACTTTAAGGAAATAGACATAAAATTAAAAATGTAAACCTAGGTACAGTAGTATTTAGAATGAGAAATACATTAAATCACAATTTTAAAAAAAGGGTTTTCTTTCTGTTTTTAGCCTCATGTGGATCATATTTGAATTTTAGTATGATCAGTTAATTCTGGAAAAGTATATAAAATCAATCTGAAATGTAGGTGTACACCAGAGCAATTCAAATTTTAGATTACCTCTGTACAACTTTACATGTGACATTGTATCGAGTGTCATCATTATACAATCACTGTGCTCTTATACTACATACATTGACTTCCTGGTGAATATGTGTAGCAGGTTGTCACTGGAACATTTGCTTCTTCAGGCTGTTCAGTGCATTGGAAGCAATTTTGTGTGCCATTTTATTCGGGACTGTCAGACTTTGTCAGTTCAAGATTTGTCAGATATGTTGCGATGTGATCTGATACATTCAAGTGCATGCACTGTGATCTCCCACAGATACAAACTTGCTCTTTGTAGTCCCATTACAGGTTTCTGCCTACAAGCCCTGGAATTCTGATATACTGTTTCATGTGATACCCACCAAACAGAAAAAATATGTAGAGCGTGTTTATAACAGCATATTCTGCATTACTGAATATATTCCTGATAGGGCACAGCCTCCATTTAGGCACCCATGAAAACAGGGTGGCCCACTCACAGTATGATCCATTTGATGATCTGAAGGATTCTCCACAGATTAGCTCCTGGCTCCATATGTTTTAAACCCTGTCTCTCCTTCACCACCCATATACTTCTGTGGCATTGTAGGATCCATTTATCTTGTGAATTTTAGGGCCTGTTTCTTCTTCATGATGTAGATCAAAGCATATCTCGATGCCATTCCTGCAGTAGAAGGCTACACTAACTATACATGGAAGTGACAGCTGAACCCAAATTTAACATCTCTCTCACTCAACTTCCATTTTGCCAAATCCTCAAAATGCTCGTTGCTATTCCATCACCACCTGGCAGAAGGAATTGTGATACACAGGAAGTTGGAGTGGGAGTGTGGAATTCTGAAGCTCTGAAGCTTCATCATCTTGAGAATAATTTGCCTCTGAGAATAATCTGCCTCTGGAAAATCACAGTACAAATTGCCAACCTCACAGAGTGCCTGCAAGGAGAACTGGACATGCTGGTGAGCTATACTGTTGGTTGCCACAGCCCTCTAGAAAGATCCTGATTGTTTACACTCCCACCAATAGTATCGTGGAATTTTAGGAAATTTAAAGAAGTTTTATAGTAACTTAACCAGCCAACCCTTTCTCCCTCCCTTCCTGCTTTTTGATGCTGCCAATCATAATTAGCTACAGTTGTGGAAACCTGACAACCATTTTAGTATGAATTTTCTTATCATATCAACTATGAAAATATTTACTCCTGGTCAGTTGGTAGATGCTACATGGAAACGGCTCTCTCCAAGGGCACCCGTGATCTCCTGATTAGCAAATACAATAGCTGTTCCTTACTTGCACCTTAACATTTGTCTTCTGCAAAGTTGTTCTGTGTTGAATGGCTTTTGACTCTGATTGCCTTGAACTTGTTGGCTTCCCATGTAACTTTGTGTCCTTATTTCCTTCTTGCTGGTCAATAAGTAGGTTTTACTTCAGCATTGATTGTTTGAGTTCACTGTGCTAGAGGGAAATTTGACATTTGCTCTGTCAAAGGCAGGCAAAAAAAGTGTACTGCCTATTAGCAAAAGAGTATTAGAAACCACCTAACTACCTATCAATAGGGGATTGATTAAATTATTGTATATGTATAGTTGTGTGTGTATTTATGTATCCATATATCTCTAGAAATTAATTATTATGATTTATTATAATAAATATATATTTTGCCTTCAGATTCCATTTCTAGCACACAGCTCCTAAAACTTGTAGAATTTCCTAAGTGATAAGAGGTGTTTTTTGATCTTCACAACAAACCCCTTTCAACCACACCTGAGTTTGTGTTAATGTGATGACTTTTGGAAAACACCTAAGGATGGGAGCTGGTTGCCAGGGGAACCAACCACATGATTTAGAGGGTTAAAACTTATAGCTCCACTCATGGACACTGGGAAGGGGTGGGGGATGAGAGGGGAGCTATAGATTAAGCTCTATAAAAACTCTTGAACAGGAGAGGTGATAAACATCCAGGTTGGTGAAACTTCCAGGCAGGTGAACCAAAATGTGTCTACGTGCCAGGAGGGTGGTACACTCTAAACTGCACTGGGACAGACACTCCTGTGTTTAAGACCCTTCTGGACTTTGCCCTGTGTACTTCTGCATCTAGCTGTTCAATCGTATCCTTTAATATCCTTTGTGATAAACCATAATAAATTTTGTAATAAATCTGAGCCTTCTCAGTGAGGTCTTCCATGGTCACTCTGCCTAAAATTCCAAATACCCTTTCTCTAGTTACACTTCATTCTCCTTCCCTGTTTGATTTTTCTCCTTTGTATTTTTCACTGCCTAACATACTATATTTTTGGTTAAAAAAATTTTTTTTTCATTAGAGTATGAGCTAGAAAGCAGGGAATTTTGTCTGTGTTGTTCACTGCTGTGTTCAATGGCCTAGTAAGTTTGCATATTCTTGATACCACTTTTATTTTAATATTTAAGAATGTAGGTGTTACCTTCCCACACAAATATGGTTGAAGTTAGCATACCAGAAACATTTGTAACTCATCAGTACAGTGTGTTATTTCTTGCCCAAGATTGCTAGATCCAATTACAGGGGTAAAAAAAAAAGTTTAGGAGTTTCCCTTATATGAACTATTTCTTTGTGAATTGATCGCAAGTCAGGCATGTAATTCAGATGGAGAATTAAACGCTATGGTTCTGTAGAGAATTATACGGAGAGCAATTAGGAGAAGCACAAAGTGTGTGCTTAAAGACCCATATCTTTAATGTGTTGACTTATAATAGAAATGTGAAAAGTGTCTTTTTGCATGGAAGTATTGACAGGAGAAGCAGAGCCATTCTTCCTTTTCTGTGGAGATGCTAACAAGTACATCAGGAATTGTTGGTGTGGGTTTTTAGTGGCTCTGGGAGCCCCCGTTTGCTGTGTGTGCAAGTTACTATGCTTAGTGTGTGTCTTGGGAGTACAGAGAGATGGACTGGCCCTGCCTTCAAAAGGCTCAGGAGGCAGAGAGATGCATAATGGTAAGTATAAAAAGTGGTAGCATGCAATCACAGACGAGCAAGCTTTCCTAGGAGAAGATGGAATCAGATAATGTCTGGCAGGGAGAGACACAAGCAGGGAAGGCATGGGGAGGAGGTGGCATTAAGTGGAGCATTGCAAAGCTCTAGTGGGATTCCAGTAGGCGGAGAAGCGCCCAGAACAGCCCATGCCTGGCATGCTTCTCACTAATCATCTGGGAATCTTGTCAGAAAAGCAGATTCTGATTCTGTAGGTCAAGGAGGGGAGGCAGAGATTCTGCATATTTAATAGGCTCTCTGGCAATGCTATTGTCCCTGGCTCTAAGGACAAACCTGGGACTACAGAACTGCCTGCCTGTACTTCCTTGACCTTTGAGGTGGGGCCTGGCTTGGAAGCTCTGGCATAGACATGACATATGGTAGGTTGTGAGGTGCTCTGTTAAAGAAGTGAAGTAGAGGCCAGGAGCCCAAGACTGATCTGGCTGTAGGTGCAAGACCAGCACATCTTTCCTTGGTCATAGGCCCACTAACTCAGCCCCCTTTGGGCCTTCTCCTCCACCCGAAATCTCCCTTTAAAAGTTCTCCTGCTAATTTCTATCGATGCCTGTTTTACTTTTTTATTTTATTTTATTTTTAATTTAATTTTTCTTAATTGGGGAATTGGGGGAGGGGAACAACACTGGGGAATCAGGGAAGGGGAACAGACAAGTTGCTGCCTTTTTGTTCTTCAGTCTAGTTGTGGAGGACGTTGCTTCACTGGCCCAAGTTGGCACCATCATTGCACTCTTCCCAGGCGAGGCAGATCAGTCACTGGCTTCTGGACAGCTGCTAACAGAGGCTGCTGGCCGCTCACGCTGACTGCTGGCTACACACCGTAGCCCATGGCAACCCACTGCAGCAGGGGCTGCAGCCTTTGCCAGCGACTCCCGGCAGCCCAGCTCCAGGTTGAGTTGTTGTTCAGTATCTTAGCTGTAGAGGGCAGTGTCACTGGCCCTCATATGTGGGATCCGAACTGGGGCCCTCTGGCGTCCCAAGCCAGCTCTTAACCAGCGCGCCACTCGGCTGGCCCTGTTTTACTTTATGATTGCCAATCTCTTGGGACATATTGCACGAATGCCCCTTTGGTCCTTCAGAAAGAAAGTGATTCTATAATTGGTAGGTTGAAAAAAGTGTTATTATCAACTGCCAGTCTGTCTTTTTGTGATCAAGTCCAATGACAAACTTTTAAAAAGCATAGCCCATGAATTAATTAAATGGGCCTCATTTTTAGGGATTTCTAATTGGAGTAAGAGGGGATTATACCATTCTTAAAGCCATCAGGGTCCCAGTCAGCCTGTGTGACCTCAGCATGAACCATCAAGGTACTTGCAGATGACATAAAATGGACACTCTGAGGATCTTGTCCTCTCAATGTTTGGCATATTTGTGGGAGAGCCTATAAATAAGAAACGTGGGTAGGCAGCCCCGCTTACTCCGGACAAAAATAGAACTAAAAACATCGCAGAGACGTTCCTTTCTGCTTCCACGTAAGGGCCACACGGCAGCAGACTGGTTTTCGTCTCCGGTGGTGGGGGCTGAGTTGTTCATAGGAGGAATTTGATCCTTTCACTCAGGCCCCATACCTGTTCTTACAGAAATTTGAATCAGGTCATATTCCTGACAGTGATACTGTTATCCCCAGAGGCAAACTCTGTGGCTGCGTATGGCGGTGGGGTTGAGTTTTATTTAAATGTGGCAGGCACATATGTCCACGGATGTGTATTAAATATATACATATATGTGTGTTTCCAATTTTCTTCCTAGATTTTGGCCCTGATCGCATTCATCTGCATAGAGACCATCATGGAGTGCTCCCCGTGTGAAGGCCTTTACTTTTTTGAGTTTGTGAGCTGTAGTGCATTTGTGGTGACTGGAGTCTTGCTGATTCTGTTCAGTCTCAACCTTCACACAAGGATCCCGCAGATCAACTGGAACCTGACAGTGAGTAAAGTCGCTACTCTCTGACTGTGAAAGGGTCGGGCGCCACTTCGCTCCAAGGGAACGGTGGAATCGCTCCATGTTGTGTTTGGTTCTGGTTCATCATCATGATACTTAAGTAGTCCATTGTAATTCAACTGTGAAAATTTAAATTTCTTTACTGGGTTGAATAAAATATACAATAAATTGAATCTTCACTAGTGGTAGAAACACATCACAATTATTTTGACCTCTTTAAAGATGTCATTTCAATTTCATGATCCTTTGAGAAGATAGGTAATGTTGATATTTACAGAATAGGGGAAAGAGAAACTGGAATTAATACATTTTTGCACTTTTTTTTCACACTGGACCCAAAAGCCATTTACAAAAGTGTGTCAGGAAGAATTGAAAATATGACTAAAAACTACCAATAACTTGCAAAGTCTAGGAATATTATTAAATTTAAAGCAACTGGGAGGACACAGAGGATTTAGTAGTTTGATCAATCTTTAGTGGACATGTGTCTTCTACTCTGTGGTTTGGGTACTTAGCCTGGTTTGACAGCCTTACCCTGTGATTGGCATGGGAATCTTAGGGCTGGTTACTCCCAGGCCCCCTTTCAGGGACTTGTGTTACTTGTCCTTACTGTGCTCAACGAGGAAGGAAACTTAATAGTGCTTGGTTTTCTTGATATTTCTTTGCAAATAAGCATGTTCAAGAGCTCAGTGGGAATCAGCCAGAGAGACACAGGAAAGCAGTCAGCTGCCTCACCCTCTGTGCGTGTGGGAGGAGAACTCTGCGGGCCCCACAGCTGCTAAGAGGGCCACAGGCAGAAAGGAGGGGGCTGAGACCACCTACCCTTGGGAGAGCTCTTCTCTCTCTGGCTAGTGCACCACCATGGGAAGTGTGGCCCATGTGAAGGGGCCAGGGAAGAGGCGAGGCAGAAGCTGATCACTTTGCCTGGCAGGGCCACTCCCATGGTGATCCTGTGGGGTGCCAAGAAAGAGGGTCTTCCTGGCAGAATGCGCTCTGTGTTGTTCAGACTCTTTTAGGAGGAAAAATAAGAGGACAGCTGAACTAGAAAAGTTGATGTCCGTTGAAAATTCAGCTGGTTTTATCTCAGCATTGAAAACTGAGAAAAATGTGATTTAAATTTAAACGCTAAAACCTCAAGATCCTGGAGGCATTTTTATAAATTTTTGTGATAGGCTTTAATGTTTCAACTATTTTTAAGATAAAGTTTGGGTTATCCATAAGAAAGTACATACAGAGTTGTGATCTAAATTGCTTAAGAGAATCTCACAAACCTCCCCAAACCAAAATGCAAGTTCCATGGGGTCAAGGCTCATTGGTATCCCGGATCCCTGTGTTTCTAAGGCCTTTTCAGTAAATGCTTGTTGGCGGAGGGGCGGGACCAGGCTGTGCATAAAAACTGTCAGAAGACCTATTTGACAAAGAAAGAGCTGCTGGGAAGGTTAAGACCAGAGCCTTTGAGTCAGACACACCTGCCGAGGGTCAAGTCCAAGGTGGCTCTTAAGAGCTCTGTGATGCCCCTGGGGCAAGTCCTTAGAGCCCCCACATTGGTGAATCTCCACCATTGATTGGTAAAGTGGAGATGATAATATTTTTCTCATAGGGTTGTTTTAGAATGAAATGAGATGATGTGTATAAAGGCACCTCACACCAGTGGGTGCTGCTGCTAGTCTAAGAAATAGTAATTTTAGCACAAAAGTCCCTTGTTGTCTATTAACCACATTATTCTCTTGTAGACTCCTACCAGGTTTGACTCCACTCCCTCTATTCTGTGTAACCTGCTTAGTTGACAAACATAACCTGCTACAAGACTATACCTCAGATTTTGTACCGATTCACACTGGCCTGTATCCCCCAAAATAACCTATTTAGTGAGCTTTCTGAAATTCTTATTTTTCTATTTTAGCCATGAAAGACTTTCTCTTGTTGACTACTGCATCATCTGGTCATATCAAAGTGCATCTTGTTTACTGGGAAGTTAATGTCCATCCTTGCCTTCTGATCGTGTTGGCTGAGGCAAATGGCTCGGTGGTTATGTGTCACTTGAGAACATCTTTCTATCCTTTGGGATTCTTTCCAGAATTTCCATCCTTTTAGAGCAGATGAAGGTGTGTACTTATCTAGCAAAAGCATGTGTGAGTTAAATGAACTTAAGGAGATGGTACTTATTGAAGGGTACTCAGGTCATCTGTTCTCTGGGAGGGGAGCCAAAGTGAGTTCTTCAGGGCTGATCACAGCTCATCAAATTACTTATAGAGGGTTGGTCTTGGGTGTGTTGTTTGTCTAACAAGGTGGTGGGTATATTTTTGTCCCCAACAGAGCCAGCTGATGAGTGAAATAGGGTGTGATTTGTATAGATTTAGAAAAATGGGTCATTTTAGGACCCTAGGTTGACACAAATATGCATGAAAAAGGTAAATAAGGAGGATGATACAAAGAATGTATTTTATACAAGCATAATTTGAAGCACTCAGAAAGATTGTTAATGTTAGTTTTGGGGGATTTTTTTGTTGTTTTTTTTGGGGGGGGGTGAGGTTGAATCTATGGGAGTTATTCTGTTATATTCTTCTCTGTATATTAGGAGCTCACACACTCATGTGTTCCACCTGTGTTTAACTTGATTCTTGCCACCTACCTCCTCCCCCACGCTGTCCCTCCCTTCTTCCATCCCATTCTGACCATTGAAAGCCTGCTAGGGGCTCCCGCTCTCCCAAGTGGGCACTCAGAGCCTGTCAAGGCCTGCTCATCAAAACTTCCATAAAGAGGAGGGAGGCCTGCACATGCCTCCTCCATTTCCTTACCTCCTAATCTCCCTTTTCTCATCTTTTATTGTCAAATACAACATATTTAGAACAATTCTTAAAAGTAAATGTAGAGTTTAATGAAGAATGATAGAGTGTGTAGCCACCACCTGGGTCAAGAGATTGGATAGTGTCGACACCCCAGAAGCCTCCTATGTGTCCTTCCCAAACGCAGCTACTGCCCTCTCCCCAGTCTATGACTTTACGGCCTTGAAAGTCCTCTGATCAGGAGCACTGGGGGTCTCCATGGTCCTGGATCCTCATGTTAATTTTCAGTCCTCCCCTACTAAACATTTCAGCGGTTTCTGCTATGGACCGCTCAGTCCTTCCTACCGTTCTCTCTAGCTTCCTGTGACACCACACTCTCCTGGGTTTTGTTCTTCCTCCTTGGTGTTCCTTTTCAGTGGCTTCAGTGGCCCGGCTCCTCACACAGACTTCTCCCTCTCTGAGAACCCAGGCCAGGTAGGGTGGTGAGTTGAGAACAGCCTGGAGCCACCCAGAGGGGTCATTTTCAGAGCCCTAAGTCCTTGGCCATGTCTCACTGTGTGGTATTTTCTGACACCACTTGGACACCAAACCTGTGGGGTTTTTCTGACACCAAATCCACATACCAAACAACTCTTTTAATTCTTCAATACCAACTGGGTGTCCAACCATTCAATTCAGTTCTGACACCAACTCCTGGAGTTAGTGCAGACCCCACATGTTAAGGGCTCAGTCCTAGGAGACTGCCCCCACTTGGCAGCAGCAACAAATGGAGTTCCCAGGTGACCTGCACTCTGCCTGGCCAGCTGCAGATTCGGGAGTTCCTACACCCCCGCCTCAGGTTCAGTAATTCTCTAGAACATCTCATAAAACTTGGGAAAGTGCTTTACTTGCTATTACTGGTTTGTTATATAGCATGCAACTCAGAAATAGCCAAATGGAAGAGGAGGGGCATAAGGCAGGATAGATGCAGAAGAGTCTCAAATGCTGGAGCCCCTGTCCCCATGCAGTTGGGGTGTAACACCCTCCCAGCACATGGATGTAGTCACCAGCTAGGAAGCTCCTTCGACCCTGTCATTCAGGGTTTTTATGGAAATTTCATTATGTAGGCATGGTTGCTGAAATCATAGGCCATTTGGAGATTGAACTCAATCTCCAGCCCCTCTCGCCTCCCTGGAGGTTGAGGGTGGTGGGACTGAAAGCTCCAACCCTTTAGTCACCTGGTTGGTTTTTTGTAACCAGCCCTCATTCTGAAGCTATCTGGGGCTCCAGAGAATCACCTCATTAGCATAAACTCAGGGATGGTGGGAAGGGCTTGCTTGATATGAATGACAAAAGACTAGTCCTATCACACAAGAAATTCTAAGGAACCAGGGACAAAGACCAAATATATATATATTTTTTATTAACTATACTCATCCTTTCTGGGACTCAGTTTCCTCATTTTTTAAAAGTAGAACAAAATACCATGTCCTGCCTTATAGATATTTTGGATCATAATTAAGTTAGGATTCAATGAGATACTGGAAGTTAAATGGTTGTCACAATAGGCTCTCCATAGATGGTAGCCACCACTGTGGTCAGTATTATGATTGTCCCTCTGATACTGGGGCCGTTTGAGCACAAGTCAGTACACAGTATGGACCAATTGGTTGTAAACTTCCTCTTATCCTTGTGTAGAGCTGAGACTAGAGCCAGCCACAGAGCCAGTGGTTTGGAGCAATTGCTATGACAGCCCAGGGCTGGACCTGTTTAGAAATGCCTCTTCTGTGATCATTTCCACAAACACTTCTCAAGCACCTGCTTTGTGCCAGGTTTTGGGAACTGAAAGCACGGGGTAGATAGATGCACGCTCGTCTCCCGGGCTGTGTGTGCTCTTATGACCAGTTTTGTGTGAGGCCTGGGAGAACACAGGCAAGGAGGGCATGGATTTCCTGGGTGGGGCCTGGAGTGGATCAATGAAAATGCCAGATTCCAGTTGGGCCTTGAAGGATGAATAGGTGGTCCCTGGACACAGAGAACGGAAGGGTAGGGCATGTTGTAGGATGGTCATTCTCTGGGACAGGAGCAGGGTTAAAGACTCAGGACCCTCTGGGGCTGGGCCTGTGACGTAAATGGGCAAGTGAGAAGATGGGCCAGAGGTTGGGGAGATGGAGAGGGTGGTTCTCCTACTCAGCTCTAGCAGATTGTATTGTTGCTTCATGGGACTTCTGGAACAATTTTTCAAGGGCAGCTGGAAGTTGTTTTTTTTAGAAGTTAATTTTTATGTGCAGGCTTCTGGTATTTAAGTGTTGGCTTGTTCAAATTTGTTTTGAACACTATACAAGTCAAACTTATCTGTGGGTCAGATATGGCCAATAGGCCTCAAGTTAGCACCTTCTAGGCCAGATCCCCTTGATCTGTTATTGGAGTTACTTGGGTTTGTAGCTGTACTTCTGGGTGTATTACTGAAGGAGAGACTCAAAAGCATGAGTATGAGGGTGACCTTCCTCTTAATCTCCTAGCATAAGGAGGGCCACAATCTCGGGTGTGTTAGGGGCAGACAGGAAACATAAAGTGGCTGAGTGTGAGACTGCAGGGAGTGGGGACAACTGTGACCAACTGGAAAGCATGTGGCTGATTGAGTACATACCTCATTAAAAATACTTTTAAAAATGAAGCACCAATGCTGACTTAAAAACACCTCAAAATCCACCTCTGAGGGAGGGCATGCCTGTGTGTGCCCCCTAACATAAAGGATGAATCTACAAGCCTTGATTTCATTGCATGGCCAAGGAACTTGAGCAGTTGATGCTTACTAACTTGTGTAGTACTCCAGTTTTAAGCCTTTTATTTATTGTTTATTTTTTTTAAAGATTTTATTGGGGAATTGGGGGGCGGGGAACAGTGCTGGGGAGTCGGGGAAGAGGACAGACAAGTTGTTGGGCTTTTGTTCTTCAGTCGCTTCACTGGCCCATGTTGGTATTGTGATCATTGCGCTCTTCCTGGCTGAGGCAGATCAGTTGCCAGCCATTAGACGGCCACTCACAGCAGCTCGCGGTGGCTCACGCTGGCTGCCGGCCACTCATGCCGGCTGCTGGCCACTCATGGTAGCTCACGGCAGCCCACTACAGCAGGGGCTGCAGCCTATGCCATCACCGGCGACTCATGGCAGCCCAGCTCCAGGTCGAGCTGTTGTTCACTATCTTAGCTATAGAGGGCGCAGCGTCACTAGCCCATGTGGGATTCGAACCAGCGGCTCTACTGCTCAGAGCTCGTGCTCCCAAGCCAACTCTTAACCAATGAGCCACTCGGCCAGCACCAGTTTTAAGTCTTTTAAACTGTGCAAGTAATAAGTGTTTGTTATAGAAAAACTGGGAGATACAGATAATAAAATAGAAAAACAATAAAATCATGTCGATGACCCAAGAGAAATGAAACATATCTACAGTAAGGCTTGTAAGTTCATAGTAGCATTATTTACAATAACCAAAAAGCAGGCACTGAAATGTCCAAAAACTGATGAAAAGATAGATAAAGTGTGGTATATGAAGTATTGGAACATTCTACAACATGAATGAATCTTAGAACTATTATACTAAAGTGTAAGAAATGAGTCGCAAAAGATAACATGTTATATAATTCTATTTATGTGAAATTTCCAGAGCAGGCAAATCCACCGAAAGCAGACTGGTGGTTGCCTAGGATTAGAGGAGGGATGAAAAATTAACTACTAATGATATGAAGTTTCTTTTTGGGAGTGCTGAAAATGTTCTAAAATTAGATAGTGGTGATTGAATTGTATACTTTAATTAGATGTATTATATGGTGTGTGAATTATATCTCAACAAAGTCATTAAAAAATCACATGTGGACTGGCCGAGTGGCACGTTGGTTAAGAGTTGGCTTGGGAGCGCGAGCTCTGAGCAGTAGAACCGCTGGTTTGGATCCTACATGGGCTAGTAATGCTGTGCCCTCTACAGCTAAGATGATGAACAACAGCTCGACCAGGAGCTGGGCTGCCGTGAGTCGCCGGCGATGGCATAGGCTGCAGTGGAGTTGCAGTGGGCTGCTGTGAGCTACCATGAGTGGCTGGCAGCCAGTATGAGTGACCATCCCATGGCCCGCGAGCGACTGCCTCACCCGGGAAGAGTGCAATGATAATACCAACATGGGCTAGTGAAGCGATGTCCTCCACAACTAGACTGAAGAACAAAAAAAGGACAGCAACTGGTCTGTTCCCCTTCCCCAATTCACCAATTAAAAAAAATAAAATCACATGTGATCTAACCCATCCAGAGGTAACCACTTGTAACAGTTAGGTAAAAACTTATTTTCTCTAGACTGTCATTCAAATATACATGTATGCTTTTATTTGTGAGTGGAAAAAAATGGAACCATTAAAGTTATGCTTTTTCATTTAAACTACCTTGAGTGTCTTCTGTGTTACACAATTATATCATTATTTTTAATGATCGCATAATGTTCCTTTATGGAAATACCATTTTATTTAACAGATCCCCTATTTGTGAGCATTTTGTTTGCTTCTAGTTTTTTGATATTTTAAATAGTATCATGATGAATATTCTCATACTTAAACCTTTTTGTGTTAGTATGATATTTGAGATAAATTTCCAGATGTGGAATTCTTAGACAAATAAAATAAACCTCTTTGACACTTTTGATACCTATTGGCCCTTTACCACATTTATATTTTTACATAGTCACCGTTAACGTACATACAATCGTGTTTGATGTTTGGCCTCAGCATTGTATCATGAGCCATGTTTCCCATTTCTGAATAGTCTTTGGTTTGGAAACTACATTTTATATTCTTCTTTATTTCTATAGAACCTTACCCAGAGCTTCCTGGTTTGAATTTATGAAAAATTTGCTGTGGCTGAATACACTGGTCACAGCTGAAAGGGGACATCTCTGAACTGTTTTGAAGTCAATACTTTGCTGCTGCCATGAGCCTGTGCAGAAGCTGACCAGGAGTATGTTGGGGTTCTTGCTGCCCAGGCTCACTACTGTTATGATGTGAATGTTGCCTTCTTAACATCTTTAAAAATCAGAGATGTACCTTGAAGCCAGGCCAGCCAGGAGGACCCACTGGGTGTTGATGTTCCAGTCAACCTGGCACTTAAGCATTTTAGGATTTTGCCTGGATTTTCTTTCTCTGTAGAGATCACAGGGGCACTCGGGTATGACCCAGGCTGTCGGGGCCTAATGCCAAGGTGGTAATAACTGAAGTAAGAATAAATGTGCAGGGAACACTAACCATGGGCCAGGTACTGTGCTTGGCTCTTCACATGTGTTGTCTCACTTAATCCTTAAGACAACTCCAGGAGGAGGGGGTACTATTCCCACATAAGACGCAGAGAAGCGAAGTACCTTGTCCAAAATCATGGTTGGTTAGGACCCAAGTCTGGTCGTGACTCTTGATCACTGTATTGTGTTCCTCTCAACAAGTAAGACAGGCGTTAAATCTTTGAAGCATTGAATATGTAACATGATTTGCTTTGCAAGAAGCTTAGGAGCAAATCCTCCAGGCTTTAAGGACAGAGAGGCTTGAAAGACCGTGCATGAGAAACAGTATGAGATCTGGAGAAGTGTGTTCTCTAGGTCTGAAAACAGTGTGCTGGAAATGTCACACATGAATGAGGGGATGTTGGAGGGAATTTCACTAGTTTCTGTACATTCTGGACTCTTGGAGGCCTTTGTCCGTGGATGGTTTGAAAGAGCATTTGAAAGATGACAATAGAACCTCTAAATAGTAATTAGTGTGCATGTCCTTGATGGGTTAGCAGTTTGGTTTTCTACAATAAGTTGTTAAGAAATGGTAACATGGTGGGTTAAAATGTGGATTTTGCTGTGGTGATTTATCAAGTATCATAAACTTGTCATCTCTGCCTTCCTTTGTGTGACCAACACCCGCGGGCCATTGAGACTAAAATATGGAGCCATCAGAGAGGCTGGGTATTGTGCTTCTTATTTTGAAAGTTCTTCAATGGCTTTTAGGGCGACGCATGAAGTGATTCTTTTCAAGTGATTTTATTTTATCTTTTTCATTAGGATTTGGTCAACACTGGACTCAGCACTTTCTTTTTCTTTATTGCTTCAATTGTCCTGGCTGCTTTAAACCACAAAACCGGAGCAGAAATTGCTGCCGTGGTAAGTGAACTCAAGTGGTTACAATGTAGGCTGATGTGTTCACTTTTTGTGATGTGTTCTCCTCCATCCCTTAGCATGTGTCCTACTCATTCTCCTTTAGCTTTTCCTTCACTATTGATGTTGCTATTGGGTCAATGGCGGTCTCGTTTCCTTCAGTGCTGTGGTTCTCAAAGTGTGGTCCCTGGAACAGCAGCCTCAGCATCACCCAGGAACTTGTTAGAAATGCCATTCTTAGGCTCCCTCAGAGCTACTGCGTCAGAAATGTGCTTTAACAAGCCCTCCAGCTGATTCAGATGCGTGCTCGAGCTTGAGAACCACTGCTTTAGTCTTTCCAAAAGAGCCCCAGATGTCTGTCTGTTAGTGATGCTGCTTTTAAGAGCCTTGCCTGCCAGCGAAGAACACGATCTTGACACCATTTAGCAGTCAGATAACATTTTTGTTCTTCAAGGTAGAATGCCATGGGGGGTGGGGTGGGAACCAGATAATGTAAGACTTTCACTCTCTGCGTTCTACATTTCTGTATTTTTTTTTTTTCCTCTCAAAGGACTTTATTGACTACTTGGCTCCCCAGTTAATTTGTTGACATTACATTTCTGTATTTATGAAGAGTATGTAGCACTTTTGTAATGGGGAGGAATTAAAAGGTTTATAAAAAATATTAAATTAGTTGCTCTCCCAGGTGTCACTCAGTAGGTTCATCAGTCATTAAATAAGTCAAACTCCGCTGCCTCTCACCCTGGAGCTGCCCACTTGGAGCTGTCCAGGTGAGACACAGTGGACAGCAGGTGGGGTTTGGGGGCTGCGATTTGGAGTCAGGCCTATGGCTTGATTTTGGCTCACACATGAGACCCCGATTTTCTGTTTACATGGTATTTGTCTACATGTATTTTCTCATCTGGGACCAGTAGCCATGAAGGTACTGTAAAAGAAGCATGTTTGTGGTATTTTAAAAAACAGATCCAAAATACTTTGAAAGAAACCTTAGGCAGTCTTTCGGTCAGGCAGGACTTATGTGGTTCACACGACTACAGACTTGGCCATGGTCTGACAGTTAAACATTCCGTGGGGCTGGGCATCGGGGCGGGCAGCCGTAAGCTGCTCAGAAGCTGGTCCTGCCCAGACACCCCGTAGACTGCTGATGTGCCTGAGGACTAACCGCGCCTGTTTCTTGTAGATATTTGGCTTCTTGGCAACTGCGGTGTATGCGGTGAACACATTCCTGGCAGTGCAGAAGTGGAGAGTCAGCATGCCCCAGCAGAGTGCTAATGACTACATCCGAGCCCGCACGGAGTCCAGGGACATGGACGGCCGCCCCGAGATCCAGCGCCGGGACACATGAGGACCTGCCAGAGTCCTCCTCCCTCTCGTCCTCATGCCCATCCTTTCAATCAAGTTTTCTTTCCCGTGTCACGTCAGATTTTCATGTGATTAAGTTGAATTTTGTCCTCTTTGGTAAAAGTTCATTTTGGGAAAGGGTTTTCAGAGTGGCCTTGTTGGCAGGTATGTGAGGCTGGGAGCCCCCGTACCCAGCTGTCCAGACAGTGGTGGGTAGGAGTTGTCTCGCGATTCTCCAGTGTTTGGTGGCCACGGGAGCAGCTGGCCTCTCTGGCTGCCGTGCCCACTTTAGTTCTGCACTGTCCCCGAACACAGGCTGCCCATCTGACTCCGAGCCACCGTGTCATATGTATTTGTGACAAGTCAAGACTTTGGATTAAATGGGGCTGCTAGAAGGGAGGGAAAAATCAAGAAATGAAGGTCAGGGTGGGAACAGTCAGTCAGCAGTGGTTCCCTGACAGCGCCCACTGTGTGCTCCAAGTCAGCATTTAGTCTCGCTGCTGGCATCCTCTCCTCCTGCTCACCTTCCTTGCCCGGGGCATCCAGGCAGCCCGCCCAGGCCCAGAAAGCCATGTGTGGCACTGAGGGTCTCGGCGATGGGTGTGCTGGTTGAGCTCTTTGCTGGGGATGGAAGAAGCTGGTGTTCTCCCGGGACAGCTGCACAGGAACGCTGACGTGTGGGAGGGTCACCTTTCATTTTCCACCCTGCTGAGAAATCACATGATTCTTCCTCAAATGAATCACCTCCCTGAATCCCAGGTTCTCCTCCAGGAATATGGGGACCATCTTATTTTCCACTTTCCTTCCTACCCTTAATACGCTGAGGCTGAATTGCCGATTTTCTGTAATTTTACCTTCTCAGGTAAAAGCCAGGAAAGAAATACGATCCATTCCACCAGCCAGAACACTTGCCCATTTGCTGTCGTGTGGACCACAGGTGGGGACACTCCTCTGTTTTAGAGATGTGTGCTAATTTTCAAATACCTGAGAAGAGTTCTAAAGTGATTCTGAGTAGACTTGTCTAGGGTTTGAAAATACTTGAATTTGCACCACGACACTGATATTTCAGAAGGCACGAATTGTAGCTTTTTGTGCCTCAGGGTCAAAACTATGAACATCAATCTTGGAAGTTGTTGGGAAAAATTCTAATTATGTCAGGTTTTGAATTGATTCTTGCTAAAGTGAAGATTATTGTGGTGAATGAGTTAAACGAGCCCCTAAGAAGCTGTAATTTTTTTTTGTTTGTTTTATTCCTGTTGGAGACTAATTGTATCTTTTATGGAGAAATTGTTTTAACTGGTCAGGTTTTCACTCTTTGAACTGTTTTTAATGTTTACAAACCTCACTCTAGCTGTAATATTTTGTGATTAGACCTCACCAAGGAAAAAACACTTACTGATGGTGAGCAGGTGGGAAGATTTTGCAGTAATGTGGAAAATCCCCAGGATCTGGTACTAGTGTGTGATCACAGCTTTAGCAGTGTACTGTGTGATAAGAGAGAGAGAATATGAATATGAATATGTCTTTGGGGGTGGTGGGGGGACAGCGTGTTTGAGAAAGTGTCCATCTGTGCATGTGTGGCATTGCATTCTTCATAAAAGAACAGCGTTGGGGGATTGATCAGGTAACACTGCTAGGCTAGGGCCTGGATAGGAAGTGGTACTGTGCCGTCTCTGAAGGGTTGCGGATAGGGATTAGCACCCTGAACTGAACATCCTGAGCTCTGTTGCAGTTCCTTTCTGGAGCAGTTGCCCAGGTCACATGCCTAAGCCCCTTGTCTACTTCAGGGGCCATGGCTGCTGGTGCAGACCCAGCTGGTCTGGTGGTAACTCACCTCCCTCTCTGCCCCCCAAGAGGGCAGCCAGGTCTGGTCACAGCTGGGCGTGCTGCCCAGCGGGTCTGATCGAGCCTTTTTTCCAGGTCTGTCATGAGGCAGTACAAATCGTGCTTCACCAACTTTGAATCTATTATATGTAGTGATTTTTGAGGAGATTCTGACATCTGGATTTTATCTGTTCATTTCATATATTTATTTTGCATTAGTTTGCATTAGCTGAGTGTAGATGCATAGTCAGAATTGGACTTATCTCCCTCTGCGAGTTCCATTTAAAAACAGGGTCACAAAGACTCAGCCTTGCATCAAATGGGGCCCACTTGGAAGGACCACCCTGAACTTTATCAGAAATCTCCTGCTGGGAATCGTGTTACTTGGCCTCAATAAAAAGCTGCCTTTGAAGTGAGACTGAAGAAAAGGATACCATTCAGGCAGGATTTCTGCCCAAGTTTTCCCAAGTCACTTCAATAAAACCAGTTTATCATCTGGTGAAAAGGAGCCTATTGGCCTCCTGAGAACGTGTAGTCAGCGGCAAGAAAGCATTCTGAAGCCCATCGAAACTATAAATGCTGATATATGATAAAGAGTAATGCCACCTTGTGCCACGGAGCAACTTAGGAGTCCATGTGCATCTTAGTGTTAGAATCTGGAGTTATTTATGTCCCTGTAACTATTTAATATCCTCTATGCCATGAGACTGTCCCATGGGTTTTGTAAATATGTTTCTTTCTATTTAATTAGCTCCCACCACAACTGGAAGTGGTCAGGTAGGCTCTCTAAGTGGTGTGATGCACAGTCCTATGTCTCGGCACCGACGGCAGCTTGGTGGTGAGGAGTTATGAAGGGAATATGGGTGTTTAGGTGGATATAAAGACACCCGCCTTTTTTGTATGTTGCCTCTGTGTATAAACAAGACAATCTAGATTTGGGGGCTTTCAAAGGACTATTTTTGCAAATTGAAGGAAGCATATTTTTGCATTTAATAGTTCTAGTATGGACCAATGTCAGTTTGGTTTGGGGCATTTTCAGGCTGAGGCAATCTTAGCGTTTCTCAGTTTTCTGGTGGGATGATAATGGCTTTCATCATTTGTGCCAAACTCGAAGAGAACTACAGTTGCTGTGTGCGCTTGAATTTGTTCCTGGAGACTGTATGGGCTGAAACCCTCAAGCATTTGGTGGTTTTAGATGGATGCAAACACTGACGTCTTCAAAGAAAGTTTATCTTGGCACTGATTTGGTCAACGTGGTATATTTTTTCTGATTCTCCTTTATCCTCCCTTCACACTGCTTGAAGGCGTGAGGGGAAGTACCTTCTCCCTTTCATACAGAGAGATCACAATCATGAAAGCCTAAAGGCACTTGTTGGCCCCATATAAAGCTGGGGAAGGACTGAGGCACTTACAGATTAAAATCTCATAAGAGAAGTTTGATTTAAAGTAAAGTATTTTATTGTAGATTTTTACTCTGTGCAGCTATACTCATCCAAGAGAGATTGCCTACAAAATGGAGAGAAGGCAGTAGCCGGCCCAGTCCCAGGGCCCATGTCTTCCTTGGCAACTTGTTGAAGGGCCAGTAGAAGCAGAGCCCAGCCTGGCCACAGGGAAGCCAGCGAGGACCTGGCCTGGCTCTGAGGGCTTGGCTCTGGGAGGTGGACGACACCTCCAGCCCCTTGGGCACCCCTGGCAGGATGGCTCGTGCCCACAGGTAGGCATGAAGTGTATCTGACCTCCACCCTGTATTGGATGCTTCTGGCGAGAGCTTTGTGGCTCAGTTGAAAACATTCCTATTCCTAAAGTTTGCAGTTTCATCTACCTTTCTTTGAAGCTTTCACATGATTCATTCAGACTTGGGTTAAGCCATAGGTGGTCTCTGAGGAGATGAAGCACTTACTCTTCGTCTGCACATGTATGTGAATTCTTACTTGCGAGGAATGAGCCTTGTATGGTCCCCCTGTGTGTCATGTCCTGTGTGTGGCCCAACCTCACCTTTCCTTGTAGACACTCATGTGCTATTTGGAAAGAAACCCTCACCTCTCGGTGTGTTTGAGAAGTGGACCAAGTTCTAATTTCTGGCTGTGCAAGATTTTCTGTGGGTTGTTCTTAGAGCCTGTCCTAACAGATGAGTAGAATATGGAGACAACGTGTGGCCCATTTAGTGATTCTGGAAGGTAGTGATGATTTAAGTGGTTCCCACTGTGCCATCCCATCCAAAACAAAGCAACCATGAAGTCATTGTGCCACTGCCTGGTTGCCATTGTTTCCATATCTTGTATACTGGAAAATAATGACATTAAACAGGTAGCAAAAGGCGAAAACACTTTCTAGGGTGAGGGATTTTGTTGGTTTAGTCTCTTGAGCGAAATAAAAAGTTGCTTCCCGCTCCAGGAACTGCCATTAGCTGTGAGGTTTCCAGGCACTTGTTTAGCTCCTAGTGAAGTTTGCAGAACCCGGGGGTTCTCTCTTCCCTGGGTCTTACCTATTTATCAGCACCCACTTTTAGGGCCAGTGAGGCGACAGGCTGGTAAGGTGGGAGGTGAAAGGCGGAGACCCTGCATCCCAGACTCTGTCTGCTCTGGGACTGTTGATAACACTAGACGGGTCAGTGACTCGGGCAGTCTTGAAAACATGTACTTGGTTAGCTTCCTTGCTATTCTCGTCTTGGAAAAGTGAGGTCTTGTGTTCTGGAATTGGCTTGAGAACAAGAGCTGAATGTTGGGACCAGTGTGCCTTGGTGCTGGAGGCATGGGTAGCGAGGGCTCTTGGTGTTGATTTTGGGAACTCATGAGTCTGGACAAGTGACAGAGATTCTGGTTTGGGTGCCACCTTAGAGAGGATGCAGACCTAACACCGCCTGCTTTCAGCTTTGTAAACTTCCCTGCTCTTTACAAAAGCATATGTTTCTTCTCTTCTCAGCAGGTATCGTTGAAATCATCAGAACCCCCTGATTGAGAAGGCAATTTGAAATATTTGACACTTTACATTTCTTTTATTTCGAAACTGTTTCTGAAATAAAATACCTTCAATATCTGTTAGATCTAGAAGAATTGCCTAGAATAAAGTTTAGATTATGGGTCCTTCATTAATATATCTTTTTCTTAGGGTTAGTTTGTTGTCTACATTTTTAATGCCAAGACTTTAAATTCAGGTGACTTGCTATCTAGACTCCCTGGTGTGGTTGGGGATGCATTATACACAAAGGTGGAGAGCCTTCATTAAGGGGTTAATAGCCTGGACTCTAATGAGCTATCACAACTTCTATGGTTCTCATTGAGAGGAGGAACTTGTCTCAAATGACCTTAATCAGCTTTGTTGATGGGATAAGGGCGAGGCCCAGAGTTTCTTTTCATAATTGTGCTGCAGAGGAGAGATGGTGTGACACAATTGATTCTGATAATGGTTTGTATGGGATTCAGTAATAATCTGAAACTATCAAATCTGAGTCTCCTTTTATCAGGCAAGCTGCCTGAAGGGACCGTCAGGAAATGAGGACGGTGGGGAGAGCTGGTGCCCATGCCAGGCAGGGCCAGGTGTGACTGATGGCTGCTTCCCTCCGTGGGTCATTTTGCTTTCCTGCCTTTTCCAGAATCGACAGCTTTCAAGACTCTGTCCCCCTCTCTGCAGTCGTGAGGAAGGCAAACATTTGGGGCTTGAAGAGAGAGCTGGCTGGTCCAAGGGCTGAGGGAAGGTGAGGGCAGGATGCCTGGACAGCCGCCCCAAGCTGGCCCAGGCCCGCAGAGGGGCCACCGGCTTCCAACGCTTTCATTCTGTAACACATTTAAAAATGAGTTTTCAAATCCTGCCTCATGGTGAAATGATATATATAGATAAAGCCAGTGCTTTAACTTGATTTTGAGGTGGTTCCCTCTAAGAGAATGCTGGAGATTGAAACTATTTGTATATGTTGAAATTTGTAGGGGTTCAGGAACCCATGGCAAGAACACTAAACTATTTATTACACGTATGACTATTTTTCCCCAAAAGTAGGTATTTCTGTCTTTGTATATTTTAAGACAAATAATAATCACTTCACCTTTGGTGCCTTCTGTGTGTCAGTCACATAAACACTCTTGTCAATCATGGAATTGAAAAAAAGATGTACATTTAGTTAAACCAGATAACACTATTTTTGTAGCATGATTTTAGATTGTGTCCTTTTAATATTGCTTTTAGCAATGCTGGTTTTGAGGTTGTTCATTTTCCCTTTAAGCTTCATATGTATTTTAAAAAACAGAAACCACCCCTGGTTATTCCTGTCTCCTTTCTGCTGCTTTCTCCCTCCACATCTTGTTTCTGCTTATTTAAACAGTCTGAGAGGAAGAGTATATTTCTGTGAAATAATTATTAATCAGTATAACTGCATTTGGCATTTTTAAACCACTTGTTCAGCTTGGAGAGCCACTGCTCACTTTAGACAGTAAGCGGAAAGTGGTTCCATTAAAAAAGAACAACAACAACAAAAAGAACAGAACATCCTTGGTGCTCTGACTTCCCTTCTCTGGGTCTAAAACAGTGAAAAGGGCATTGAGGGTGTTCCCTGGTCTGCTGTCTTCCAGGATACGCTCAGGCCACCCCTCCAGCTCTGCTGCCTGGGTCCGGGGGTTGCGGGTGTTCCACTGGTCTGGGCTCACCTTCCACTTGCTCTCCAGTTCCACTCGGATCGCACATTGACTTGTGGATGCCCTGGGTAGGCCCGGTGGCCTTTTCTGGTTTTCAGCCTGAACGAAACAGACCCCCTGCTATGAGGAGCTTGCCGAAATCAAGACAGAGAACACTCTCGCTGCTCCTTTTGCTCTCCTGCCCCTGCAGGCCATGAGTTCTGTCTGGTCAAGAAAAATCTTGAGGAAACTAGCTGCGCCATTGCAAAATGAAGGAATGGATTTATTAAAACATGAAATTGTAGCTTTTTTGTCCTTTTTGAAGGGTCAGAATATGTAATTATTTTCTAACAAAAGAAGTCAAGTCAGGTGGCTAATAACTCTAATGATTACTGATCGGTACTTGGTCCGGTGGTACTTTTAAGGATAATGTTAATTTAAATAACGATTACACTTTGCTTCGTAAAAGTCTGTTTCCTTTAACAGTTTAGATACAGCTGAGGGGATGCCCATTGGGAAAGCTTTGGTTTATGCTGTTGGCTGGTCAGAGCCCCCACCATGGCTTCTCACACCGACATGGGTGCCCCGGGGTGGGCATTCCGGGCTCTGCCGGCTCTCAGGCTTGACTGGCCATTGGGAGTGATTTTGGGGCCCCAAAGCCTTTGCTTTTGTTGATTTGTCCCTGACAGCAAAGCCTCACATTGCCCTCAGTTTCCCCCCTTTATTTCTTTTAAAGGACCAATTTTTCATGGTACTTGTCCTGATCGTTTTCATAGTGTTCAAATCTGTATTTTTGTATGTAGAGGGAAATGATTTTCTCAACACTAATCGCTACTATTGTATTAAATTGTCATGAAGGAGTTCTTGTTTAATAAATGGACATGTAAAAATGGTATTGTCTTTCTCCGCTCTGACTTCCCTTCTGCCCCTGAGAAAGCTGTGGGCCCCTGTTCCTGAAACGGGCCTGTTACGTGGAGGTTGAACACGGCCACCACTCGCGGGACGAGGCCTCTGTGGTATGTATAGGTGTCGACAGGCAGCTTGGCTGGCTTTGCTGGGCTAAGCTGGAGCAGAAACAGCCACCATGTGCCCCTCAGCTTCTGCACGTACAACTTTCATAGATATTTTCAGAATGTGTGTGTAAATTGAAGCAGAAGGCCTCACTTCTTCCCATTGGCCTGGGCTAAAACCCTGACGCAGGCTCCTGCCAGGATCCACGTCCGAGGTCCCGTGTGCAACCAGTTTCCAACCCTGACAGCTCCAGGGTCTAGCTGCCTGATAGGTGCTGGGGGATGTCATCCTGACATGTGAGAGGGCCCTGAGCCTCCTCAAAGGACCTGTGGTGACCTGGGAAAGTTACCAAACCTGTCCGTTTTCTGGACTGTAAAACAGGTTTCTGTGAGGGATAAATAACACGTGCATGAGACGCTTAGTGGGGTGCCTGGCATGGAGCAAGTGCGCATGGATTGTTGCCGATGCCTGGAGCTGTCAGGATTCACACCATGTATGCGAGCAGTCTGTGCGGAAGCATGATACCCGACAGCATTGCTCTGGGTGGTGTGAGGTTGTTTTCAAACACGTACTCCAAGCAGGTGGTCAGTTTGATTTAATCCATTATGGTTGTTTTTCAGGGTAGAAGATTCACATGCAAGAGAACAAAAGTTACACAAATGCTCAAAAAGGGGTCCAGAACTCTGGCTCATTCATGAGGCCTCTTGGGACACAGGAAATGCTATTTAAGAAGTAGCTTTTATGTAAAAAAATTATATAAAGTTACAAAAATCCTATTGAAGATATATATATATATATACACAGCATTAGGTCCTTAGGGGACACAGAAAGCATGTTTCACCTCTCATGAGGTGGTCAGAAGACCGGCTCTGGTGTCTCAAAGCACATTGTCCTGAGTGCCCAAGAGCCTGTCGCCTGCTGGTGGGCCCCCAGGGAAAGAGAGGGTTTGGCTGGGCCTGCCCAGCTACCCAGGATGCTGTCAATGCTATTTCATTGTTTGGTACCCCAATCTTTTGGACCTGGTAAGCTACTCTATGAGCTTTTCTTTGAAAGTCTTAGACCCAGAGTAGTTATGTCACCTGGAGAAGACATGGTCTCCAGGGGTGTGAGGTGTCAGCTGTGGGCACCGAGACCCACTTTCTCCTAGATGACAGGGCAAAGGTCAGTTTTCTCCCTGCTTCAAGGATGAAGAGGGAACTGGGGTTCCCTGAACCAAAGAATCTTGGAAGGATCCCTCTTGACAAAAGTGTCTGGCGCGAGCAGGGGCACCAATGCAGACAAAAGCCACTGGGGCCTGGCGGGTTGGCTCCATGGTGGTTGGTGGTTTCTGTCTTACTTGTCCGTTGTCCCATCCTGTCTCCCCCCACCCGCCATGAGATGCTTCCTGTGTTGGGGGTAGCAAGGCTCTATCTGCTTTGTCCTTTGTGCTTATTTTTGGCAGAGAGGTTAAAGGACTTAAGGTCTGTGGGACAGAAATGTGGAGGAGTGGCGGAATATTCACAATGCCCTCCCGTGCAGTGGTTAGATAGGCTAAGCCAAAGGGCGTCATCTTGTGTGCTGGGCTCAGGAACATCACCTTGGGGCTGTGAGGAGGCCCGCTCTATCAGCAACTCCCGCTGCTGCTTGAGAAGTCACAGCCTCCCTCCCAACACACCCTGTCTCCTGGCCAAGCTCCGGCCAGCGGGTCAGAAGTGCAGGAGTGAAGGCCCGCGTGGCTCAGGTTGCCAGGGCAGGGCAGGCCTTTAGTCGGAGTCGGAGTCGGAATTCTCTTCTGAAAGGAAAGCAAAGAGGAGGCTTGGCAGGAGTTTCCTGGCCAGTGGAGCCTGGGAGCAGTCTCTGGAGAGGCACAGCCAGGCTGTTGGCTGGAGCCTTTAGCTTAGGCTCCTCCTGCAGCTGACCACGCTGTTGGTGGGGTCTGCTTGGTGGAGGGCCTGGGACCCTCCACAGGCAGCTGCTGTCACCTCCAGGGTGCAGTCAACTGGAGGTGGGAACCCAGATGCCCTTTCCTTTGGGGCTCCAGGCCCTCCCTAGCTATGTTTCCTGAGCTGTTCTAACCTGGGGATGTCAGGGCTGTATATCTGCATCCCAAGCCTACCCTGCAATTTAGCAGGACAACATGGGGACAGATATTTTCTTGTAAGAAACTCAAATACACTGAAAATCAGGAAGCCTCTTTTTGGCCATTTTATAGTTTCAACCCTTCCCCCCCCTCCCCCCCGCAAGTCCTTATTTTACATTGTGATCAGAAATATGGTATGGCTGTGTTGTCACAGATGGAAAAACCAGCCATCCAACTTGCAACCTTTTTTAAAAAAAATAAAATCAGTTAATGGCACAATAGCCATTTTGAGCTGAAGCATGGCTGGATGGGCCAGAAGGACTGTTGTGCTTTCTTTGGATATAAAAAGCAGAATAAGCCTGAGCTTGCCCGCGCTTGACAGAGTGCTGCGGTGCTAAGGATGACAGCCTGGTTTTCTGGCTTTTAAGCCAGGGGCAGGCGAGACTGCAAGGGGGCCTGGCTCGGGGCAGGTGCTCTGCAGCCCAGTGGACAGTGCCCAAGAGCAGAAGCAGTGACTGGCTGTCCTGGGGGATCAGGGAGGGTTTCACTGAGGAGGAGGTGCTAAGCATGCCCTCAGCTTGCCCTTCCTGGAAAGGTTGAGGCCCTGGGGAGCCTGGTACTTCTCCAAGGGGACCGGCTTTATGATCAGTGCTGCATGAAGGGTTATGAGAACCAGGCTGTGAAAACACCTCCTGCCCGTGGAGAGAGAGGAAGTGCTCCTACTCCAACCTCAAACCAGCCAAGTGTCCCCAAGGGAGAGCACGGCCCCTGCCCCAACCATCCTGGGTGATAAGCCAGGTTCCTGGGTAGAAACACGCAGAGTGGCCACCCACCTTCCTCCTTGTTGGCTGTGGTCTCGTCTGCAGAGTCCCCTTGTTTGAGGAATTTGGCCACGTCGTTAAAGATCAGGTAGAAGTCGATGGCAAACACAATGGTGGCAAAGAAGCCAAACACCTGGGGAATACAGGGGACAGGGTGGATGGGACATGTCATCAGGAGCTGGGAGTCCCTGGTCCTAGCCTGAGAAGCAGCTGCCTCAGCCTCACCACCTGTTTTTATCTGCTCAGATAAGCAGCTTGGATGGCAGGCACAGGCCCTTCCCATTAATGACAAATAGGAAAACGAGCTGTTAACTTGGTCAGGAAATACCCGTTGAAAGCTTGGGAGCAGAGTAGGCCTCTAATAAGAGGACTGTGGAATCGCTGAGCTCCACATGAAAGCCCAAGGGGCCTAAGCAGGGACAGAATGCGCCCCAGGTACTAAGTCGGTGTCCTGTGGAGCATCTGGGCTTTAGGAGGGGCAGGGCGGCTACTCACCCCAGCTGCTTTGGAAGCCCCATCTGAGTATTTGGCGACAGCTGTGATGGAGATGGCAAAGTAGATGAGGGCCGCTGTGACACAGCGTAGGAAGTCCTGGGGAGAGAAGGGCATGGTCACACTGCCCTGAGCTCCCTGGAGTGGTGCACAGCAGGGGAGGGGACAGCTGGGAGCCAAGGCAGGGGTGAGGGACTGAGAGGTGGCCGAAATGGCTGGAATCCTACTGTTCCCAGAGGAGGATGGGCCTGACAGCCTGGACACAAGCCTGTCCCCCAGGTCCAGCACCCATGGTGCCACCACCCTGCCCTTCTCCCAGCTCCACTCCTGCCCCTGCTCAGGTGCCCCGTCGGCTGCCCTTGGTCCAGCTGGGCAGCTGCTCTCTGCCCAGTGGACATCAGGGTATGGACCAGGCTGCAGCTCACCCTGTGGCTTGGCCTGGGTGCAGATTGCCCCATTTGGTGGGGAGGGAGAAGTTGGAAGCCTTGTCACCTGCTCCCTTCTGGTTCTCTAGTGGGAAGATCTGGCCCTGGGCTGCGCTCTGCCACACACCTGTGGCAGATCCATTTATGTATTACGGTTTCTGCCTACTTGTCCCTAAAATGGGGACACAAAGGGTGCAGTCCCATGAGGAAGAATGCTGGGTATGAAGTCAAGAGACCAGAGTTCAAATGCAGCCTTTGCTTCCCTTTTCTCTGACCCATTTCATAGAGCAAAAAGTCCGAGGTGGGGCTGTGGCCCTCCCGGGTGATAAACAAGTTGCCTGAGGGCTGGGGTCTGGTTATGCCTTTGCAAGTCCTCAGTTAACCTGCCCTGCCCACGAGGAAATGGCTTGAATTCCTGCGGCTGAGGCTCATTCCCGAAGACCCAGCTGGGAGCACCAGCGCCACCTGGTGGCCAAGGGGCGAGGATGCCGTCTGGGATTTCTGCCTCACGGAAAGACCCTGGAGGCCCGGGAGGTGTGCGACCTGATCTGAGTCACGTGGCTGCTGGGTAGTGGGGCCCGGATCATATGAAGCCAGGTCTACCGCCTGGATCCAACTAACGGCAAACAGCCTCTAGCGTACTGAAGAAAGGGTGAGGGCCAAAAGGCACAACTCTCTGTGATGGCCAGCCAACCCCCGCCTCCTGGGGCCCCAGACCTCACCATCATGGGCCAGCACAATCCCTGCCACTTGTCATTCAGCTGCATGGCATCAGCAAAGAGGAAGAAGAGGGCCAGCAGGAACTCCAGCAGGGGCGCTGTGAGGAAGGCAGATGCTGAGGACGCCACATAGCAGACAAAGGTGATGAAGGAGAGACCCTGGGGGATGGGAAGAGGGAGAAGTCAGAGGCTTGGCACTTGCCCAGTGTCCCTCTGAACCGCCTTGCAGTCAGGAATAGAGGAGGCTCCCGTAGCGGAAGTAATCTGCCCTCATTTGTGCAGCTGCCAGGATGAAAACCGTCATGGGGCCCATGCCCACACCAGGTGCTGTGCTCAGTGCTTCTGGGCATGGCCCAGGGTCCTGACCCCATGCCAGCTTCCTGCCAGGACCCAATCAGGAAGCCCCAAACTCCCACCTGTGTCCCGCCTCCCAGGAGGCCACTCTCTGGGGCTGCTCACCCAACCCCCCACCCCAGGAGAATCCATCCAACTCAGACGGTGCACAACAGGGGCCAATTGAACCTAAGCAGTCTCAAGGGCAGCCCACTAAGCAGGAACCAGATTAAAAAAATCACTCCCAACACACTAGATTTGTGCTTTTCACTGAATGTAAATTTTACCTGAAAAATAAACAAATCTAAAACATTAGTTAATATGCATGCAGAAGTGTTTAGAGTTGAAATGTACTGATGTCTGCAATTCTAAATGTATCAAAAAATAAAATGGATTGAAGGACAGATATGTGATAAAGTAAATATAGCAACATGTTAACAACTGTATAATCTAGGTTGTGGGTGTGAAGAGCATTAACTCTTGGCTTTTAAATATATTTGCAAATTTTCATAAGACATCAACATCCAGGAGAGGGGTGCTGACACTGACACCTCAGGCCCTGCTAGTCTTTGGGTGAGCTGCACTCAGGAACTATAAGAATCAAAATGTTTTCTGCAACTCTGCCCACATACAGTGGGTGAAACTGGTGCTGGTGGATGCCAGAGGCCCCCAGTTAGTTCTGCAGAGTGTGCGCTGCAGGGCAGACCAAGGTGATGAGGCTGTTCACTGGGCCAGTGCCTGCTGGGGCTCATGCAGTCTCCTGGGATCCTAACAAACACCCATGTGCCAGGGGCCGCTCACAGCCCACTTTACAGATGAGAAGACTGAGGTTCAGAGAGGTGATGTGATTGCTCAGTGTTATGCAGCTAATAAGAGGAAACCAGGATTTGAACCCAGACTTGGATGACTTTACAGATGGGGTTCTTAAGCAACCCTGCCCTGTGAGTACTGGCTTTTATCTGCCCTGGTTTTTGTCACTGTGCTGGGTTTGAACACGTCCATGGCTGAGTAGTTTGGAATGGGGCCCAGGGGCTGGGCCCAGGGGGCCTCATAGGGATGGCCCAGATGCCCCACAGGAAGCACTGCGGCTGCTTCAGTCAAATGAGCTGCAGAGATCCCAGGGAGTCCCCAGGGCACCCACATCTGCCCTACTCATGGCCGTGGGGGTAGCTGAGCCCAACTTGAACAGATGGGAAACTAAGGCACAGAGGTGGTTGACAGGCTGCCAGGGGACCCTGACCTCGTCTGTCCATAGCTCTTGCTTTATTTTCTCTGTGGTGGGCTGTTGTTGTGTCCCTCCCCTTCCTGAACCTCATCCCCCAAAGCCTGATTCTGAGGGTCCCCCTCTTGATTCCTATTTCCTCATTCCCCGATTCCTGGTAGCCACTTCTTCCCCGTTTCTGCCCACGTCAGCCTCCCCACTTGCTAGGGCCTGTGGGCAGACCGGAGATGACCAGAGGTGGGAGTGACCTGGAGCGGCTGCCCTTGTGTCTTCAGTGCCCACGGCTCACTCTTCCGAGACCAAGATTCCTGAAACCCCGCTATGTCCCAGGCCCCCTCCATGCCTTGACCTCTGAGGTGGGCCTGACTGGGGTGGGGTTGGGGTCTCCTCAGTGGATGGTGGGTTGATTCAAGGCTTCTCCCCAAAAGCTCTCACCAGTCTCTGGGGTGGCCAACCAGGAGGCGACCCCTTGGAGTGAGGGCTGTGAGTCCTGGGTCCTGGTGCCTTACTTGGGAGTTGGGCAAACCCTAGGCACACAAGAGGTGGTAGGACTGCCACCCGCCCTGTCGAACAAAGGAGAGGTGCGGGTAGAATCCTCCGTTGTCTGACTCCCATCCCCCTCTGCCTTTGCTGTCTCCTGGCCCTTATGTTACCCACCTGTCAAATCCCCCTGATGCTCGGGCCCCAGCTTTCTTATCAGCAAAATGGGAATAAGGCCAGGGACTGTCCAGTTGCTGGGGATCTAAGGAGTAAGTGCCTCCCCCATCCTGCCTCCCCTGTGCCGGGCCTCTTCCTCCCGTTCCCGTCGATGGAGGCCCAACACCAACCCCCACGCTACACGCGGACAATGCCGGAGTTTTCAGTGTCCCGAGGACAAAGGCTTGATGGGCCGGGGTGGGGGATGTTGGAAGGAGGAAGAACCTCAGCGGGGGCGGGGCGGCTGGATCCCGGCGCGCGAGGGGAGGAGGTGGATGAAGTCACCCCGCTGGGCTCCTGCCCCCGCCCCTCTTCCTGCGCGCCCCCCACAGTACTGCTCCGGCCTCACCCAATCCCGGGGGGTCCCCCTCCCAGCCGGCTGCACAACACTCCAGTCTCCAGCTCGCAGGTCCAGGCCCGGCCGGCCCGCCCTGCGCCCAGGAAAACGGGACAGGGCGCCCCGACCCAGGGGTCGTTAAGGGGCCCAGAGAGGGCGGAGGCGCTCGAGGTCACACAGCGCCGGGCTGCGCTCCCAGTGGCCGAGGCGCCGCGTCGCAGGATCCCTCTCCAGGCTCCCCTATGGTCCCCAGCTTTGCACTCGCGGCTAAAACACCCGGGAAGGCCTGGGTTCGGACACCGCCCCGCCGCTAACCCACGCGCGGAACTTGAGCGAGTCTGTCCGAAACGTGGGCAAGTTTGCCCAGTTTGGGAGGGCTCCGAGAGGGGTCGGCCCGGCGCATGTGGACAGTCGTAGCCGCCTCGCGAGGGGCGCCGCCCGGGGTGTCGGCCGGCCGGTGGGGGTCGCGCTGCGCCGCACTCACCGACTCCGCCAGCAGGAGGCGGCCTTTGAGCGAGCAGAGGAAGGCGCGCGCGGGCAAGAGGGCGCGGAGCCCCGGGACGGGCGCGCCCGGCGGGGAGCGGCCGGCGGGGTCGGGGTCCAGGTCGGGGTCCGGGTCTGGGGGCCACATGGCGACGGCGGCACGGACGAGGCTTGGCCTCGCTCCCTCTCCCCCGGCACTCGGGAGGGAAGCGGAAACCCAGACTGTGCGGAAGGAGAGAAGAGGCCAGCGAGCTCCGCGCTGGGGTGCATCCCCTCGCTGCCCCGCCCCCGCCCCGCCTTCCCCTATGCCCCCTCCTCCTCCTTCCCTTCTTCCCCTCTTCCGCCCTCCTCCTCCTCCCTTCTGACCCTGGCTCTCCGGGCTGCTTGGGCCGGCGCTGATCTGGACCCTCCGCGGTACTGGCCTGGGACCTCAGACCCCACACATTCTCCCCTCACCCCTGCCCTGGCGGCTCGAGCCCTTCTTTTTGCCACCCCTGAACGCCCCGTCGGACCCATCTCTCCTTGCCCCGAAGTGTTGTCTACCCTCGCTGCCTCCAGTCCTACCTTCATGCGTATGCGCAGGTCGGGGACCCAGGACCCTAGACATCCAAACAGCAAGATTCTCCCTAGTCCTGTGGCTTTGACCTCGCGGTCAGCTCCTCACCCCACTTCCTCTCTCTCCCTTGGACAGTCAGTCCTCTGCTCTCCCATCTTCTGCCAGCCTAGCAGGCATCTCTGTTGGCTGCCCCAGGCCTGGATTCTGCCATTCCACCCCGTTTCATCCCAGAGGACTCTCACACACCTTAAAGCCCCAACACCACCACACACACACACACACACACACACACACACACACACCTGCCCCCGACGTCTGGAATTCAGTGTGACCAAGACCCAGCCCGTGACATTCTCGCTGTGCCTGGGCCTCTATAAGAGGCACTGCCATCCATCCTTCCACCCCAAGAGCCAGAGCCCCTGGGGGTTGCCCTTGTTTTCCCTCACCCTCACCATCAATCCATCAAGGCCCCACATCTTTACCTCCTAAGCTTTCTTTCATCTGGGTCCACTTCTCACCACCATCATGGCCTCCACTAGATCCCAGACCACTCCTGTCTCCCTGTATGGTTGAGGAATCAGGCCGTTCTGCTTCCTCAATGGGCAACCAGAGGGATGCTTAAATCCTCAATCATGGTCACCAAAGAAACCTTGGGAGCTTTTCATTTTGCTCAGTGTCTTGGTATAGGGACTAAAAACATAACCCCTTGCTGCCCTCTACTCTCTTTCTCTCTCATTCATGTGCCTTCTCACAGCTTGTTGAACAAACCGGGTTCGCTCCTGCCATGGGGCCTTTGCACATGCTGACCCCTCTGCCTGGAGTGCTCTTTTTCCACTTTGTTATCTGATCAGTTCTTCTTTAGTCTTCTGTGGGCATGATCACTTCCTCTGAGAAGACTTCGCTGACCTCTCCAGCTAGGTAAGAGGCACTTATTCATTCATTTATTCATTCAACAGCAGAGCTAGAAGCCCAAGATGCAGGGAAGTCCCAGGTTATTTGGGGATGGGTGGGCATGGATAAACACGATGTCCAGAGAATCCTGAATAAGATGATTGCTGGTCATAGATGTTTGGCAGGTTCAGAGGGCAGCCAGGCAGCCTGTGTGGGAAAAAGGACTGAGCTAGGGACCAGCAGGAGGAGATAGATTGCGGAGGCCCAGGCCCTGGTGTTTGGAATTTACCCCAGATTTTCTGAGGGGAGGACAGGTGAGGGTTAGAACAGAGGACCACCTGATTCTGACCTGTGATAATTAAAACGTGGCCCCAAACTACAATTCAGTAATAAGAAAACAACTCAATTTTAAAAAGGGGCCAAAAGATTTGAACACACAATTCAACAAAGATGTGTGAACTTCCAGTAAGCACATGAAAAGATTCTCAACATCAGTAGACCACTAGAAATGCAAATTAAAGCCACAGTGAGATACTATACCTAGTAAGATGGCTTAATAAAAAGTGACGCTACTATTGGGTTGTTGGAAAAGTCATGACGTATTTTTCTATGTTTTTCGTTGCAAAAATGCATCATGACTTTTCTGACAACGCAATATTTAAGTCCTGGTGAGGATGTGTAGCAGCTGGAACTCTCAGGCACTATTGATCCAGGCGGCAGTTGTTACGACCACTTTGGAGCTGTTTCTTAAAAAGTTAAACAGAGGCCAACCATATGACCCAGCCATTTTACTCGTAGGTGTTTACCTGAGAGAAATGAAAGCACATTCCTATACAAAGGCTTGTATACAAATGTTCATAGCAGTTGTTTTTAATACAATAGCTTAAAGTGGAAACCACCTGGTGGTTCTACAGGGGAAGGAATTAACTGTGGGACATCCACACAAGGGAATACTTCTTAGCAATATAAAGGAATAAATAATTGATAAATGCAACAATATAGATGCTTTTGCAGATATTATATTGAATGAAAGAAGCCAGGCTCAAAAGGGTACATACTCCATGGTTTCATTTTAATGAAATTCTAGAACAGGTGAAACTAAGCTATGATGACAAATCAGATCAGTGGTTCTGGGGTTGTGGTAGGAGGAAACTTTCTGGGATGCTGGAAACATTTTTTATTTTGACTGGGGTGGTGGTTACATGGGGACATATATTTGTCAAAACACATCAAACTGTGCACTTAGCATGGGTGCATTTTATTTCATGAAATTTATATCTTGGTTTGCTGAAAGGGTACTGAGAAAAAGAAAATACAGCGACAGACTAGAGTGGCTGAGAGGGCCCAGGAGAGGGCAGGTAGAACCGGGTAGGTGCCCTTGCTTGAGCTGACTGGATACCCGTGACCACTGTCCATCCCACCACAGGCTGTGAGCTCCCTGGGGTCTGGCCCAAGCCCAGAACCTGTCACAAAGGATGGCACCAGGAAAAGTGTGCTATGGAATAAAGGAGGGTGGCTCTATTCCTTTTATATTCCTTGGGTAAGGAATATTTTCCATTCTCGTCCAGTTATTTATTTCATTCTTTCAGTTACAGTAAAACCTTGGATTGCTAGTAACTTGGTTTGCGAGTGTTCTGCAAGATGAGCAAACATTTCTAATACATTTTAACGTGGTAAATGAGCGATATCTTGCAATACGAGTGGTTTGTTTCTGGAACAAATTATGCTCCCAAACCAAGGTATTACTGTACAATTAAATACTATTGTGCTTCATTTTATTGGCTGTTGTTCCATCTTTGGCCGTTAGGTGGGCTCCTGTGTGACTAAAATGCCCCATCTTTTTTTTTTTTCCTTCCCATTTCCTGATTTTCTGACACTATAAGATGGTTCAGGTGCATTTTGTATTCTCCTCATCCCAGCACTAGGATCAGCCTTTTCTCCAAGAAGCTCTGGTGTTTTTTATTGGAGAATGGCATTTAAAAATGAAAATTTTTCTGAGCAGTTTAAATTTGCGTTTCTCTAGTTATGAGTGGATTAAGCACTTTTTTCCCCCTGTGTGAGAGCCATTTGCATTTTCTTTTCTGAGAACTGACTTTCCACATACTTTGTATATTTTTCTATTAATTGTTGGTTTTAAAAATTGATGGATAAGATACGCATGTATTCAGGAAATTAGTCCTTTTTTGAAATGTGAGTTATGAATATTTTTGCCTGGTTTGTCATTTGTCTTTTACTTTGCATTTTTGCAATACAGGTTTTTTCTTTTTGAACCTGCTGATTTTCTCCTTTAATCTGTAAATGTTGTGAATGACAGTAGTAGTTTTCCTAATGCTCACCATCCTTGTATTTGTGGGATGTGCCTTTCTTGGTCATGGTGTTTGTCTTTTTGATAAACCTCTCGATTCATTTTGCTAGTATTTTTATTTGGGATTTTTGCCTTTATTTTCATAAATAGAATTGACTTGTAGTTTTTGTTTCATTTTATTACTTGTGTTATCCTTTATTTAAGACTTTCTTATTTCCAAATGAAGGCGCTTAAAGCTATAAATTTTTCTCTGAGAACCACTTCAGACAGATTCCTAAACTATTGCTCTAGTTTTTATCCATTTCTAATTAGCTTGTAGTTTCAGTTTTAATTTCCTTCTAATCCATGAATTTTAAAATAATATAAAGGAGTATTTAAAAGTTTTTAATTAGATAAATTAGCTATACTTTTGTGGTTAATTTCTAATTTTATTATTTTTCTTTAGAGAATAGGTCTGTATGTTCTGCTTTTTGGGATTCATTGAGATTTTCTTTGTGTCCTAATAGTCAATTTTTGTAAATGTTCCATGTGTGTTTAAAAAGACTGAACAGTCTCTCTTAGGTGAGTACAAAATTTATCTATATATCATATATTTTGTTAATTATGTAATTTAAACCCTCTGTATACTTATCCTTTTTTACTTGATGTCTTGCTTATTAAAACAGGTATGTTAATGCTACTTATTAAGGTTTTAATTTATTACTCTGTTCTTGCATTTCTAATAGTTTTAAGGTTTTGGTTTTTTCTTTTGAAGCTATGGTGTTAGATGAACAAAAGTTAACATATATTTTGTTCAGTAGTGGGTAGCAATTAAGAGCCTAAGCCCTGGGTTTAAATCCAGGTTCTACCACTCTTAATTTCTTGTTCTCAGTTTCTCCATCCACAAACTGAGATATAATAGTACCTAAGTCATATGCTTATTGTAAGGATCAAATGAGTTAATATATATAAGTATCTTAGAACAGTGCCTGGCATATTATAAGTTTTTTTTTTTTTAAGATATTTTATTGGGGAACAGTGTGTTTTTCCAGGACCTATCAGCTCCAAGTAAAGTAGTTGTCTTTCAATCAAGTTGTAGAGGGCGCAGCTCCTTGGCCCATGTGGGGATCGAACTTGGTGTTATGAGCCTGCGCTCTAACCACCTGAGCTAACCGGCTGCCCTGTAAGTTTTTATTAACTCTTTTTTCCTAATGAATGCTTTTAGCTTTGAATTCCAATTCATTTAATATTAATTTCACCATGCCGACTTCCTTTTTGTTAGCATTTATCTGGCATATCTTATTTATATTTTTCTTATATAAGCATTTAATGCTATAAATACCTCTCTCAGTGCTACTTTAGTTTCATCTCACAAATTTTGATATGTTGTGTTTTCATTTTTGTTCACTTCAGAATATTTTCTAATTTCTCTTGAGACTTTACCTTTGACCCACAGATTGTTTGGCAGTGTTGTTTAATTTCTAAACATTTGGAGATCTTCCAATTATCTTTCTGTTATTAATTTCCAGCTTAATTCCATTATGGTCAGAGAACATATTTGTATGATTTCAGTTCTTTTAAATGTATTGAGGTTTGTTTTATGATTCAGGATATGGACCATCTTGGTGAATACTCTGTGCACTTGAAAAGAAAGTGTACTTATTTGTTGAGTGAAGTGTTCTATAAATGTCAGTTAGATTCAGTCGATTGGTGGTGGTGTTCATCTGTATCCTTGCTGATTTTCTGTATACTTGTTCTATTAATTACTGAGAGAGAAAAATTGACACCTTCCACAGAAATTGTGGATTTGTCTATTTTTCTTTTCAGTTCAATCATTTTTACTTGATGCATTTTGAGGCTCTGTTGTTAGGAACATTTAGGATTGTTATATCTTCATAGGGTTAATTGAACCTTTCATTATTATGTACTATCCCTGGTTATTTTCTTTGGTTTATACTTTATTTATTTTATGATATTCACATACCCAGAAGCAGAATTCTCAGATTATATAGTAGTTCTGTTTGTAATTTTTTCTGATGTTTACTATCTCTGTTGCTCATCCATTGTCCTTGAAGTTTCATGTTTCCCTCTGATATCATTTTCCTCTGTCTAAAGGACTTCCATTGGCAGTTCTTTCAGAGGAGATCTGCTGGTGATGTGTTCTCTTAGTTTTCCACATTTTGAGAATGTCTTTATTTTGCCTTCATTGATGAAGGGTATTTTCACTGGATATAGAAATCTGGTTTTGACAGTTATTCTTTCAACACCTGAAAACTGTGCCACTTCTTTTGGGCTCCATGTTCTCTGATGAGAAATCCTCAATCATTCAAATTGTTCTTTCCCTATAACTAGTGCATCGTTTTTCTCTGGCTACTTTCAAGATTTTTTTTTCTTTATGTTTAGTTTTCAAAATTGGATTATGATATATCTGGGTATGGATTTTTCTGAGTTTATCCTATTTGAAATTACTGAACTTATATCTGTAAATTTATGTCTTTTGTCAGTTTGGGGAATTTGTCAGTCATCATTTCTTCAGAATGTTTTTGTACCATAGTCTTTCTCCTTTCCTTCTGGGAATCCAGTGATACGAATAGTTAGACCTTTTGGTATCATCTCTAAAATCCCTGAGGCTCTGTTTATTTTTTTCAATCTTTTTATTCTCTTTTGTTGAGATTGGATAGTTTCTATTGATCTGTCTTCAAGTTCACTAATTCTTTCCCCTGTTGTCTTCATTCTGCTATTAAGCACATCCAGTGAATTTTTATTTATTTTTAATTAAAAGAAAATTTTTTAAAAAGATTTTTATTGGGGAATTGGGGGAAGGGGAACAGACAAGTTGCTGTCCTTTTGTTCTTCAGTCTAATTGTGGAGGACGTTGCTTCACTGGCCCAATTTGCCACTGTGATCATTGCGCTTTTCCCCGAGGCAGATCAGTCGCAGGCTTCTGGACAGCCGCTCCAAGCGGCTGCTGGCCGCTCATGATGGCTGTTGGCTACATATGGTAGCCCTTGGCAACCCACTGCAGCAGGGGCTGCAGCCTACTCTGTTGCCGGGGACTCAGGCCAGCCCAGCTCCAGGTTGAGCTGTTGTTCAGCATCTTAGCTGTAAAGGGCAGTGTCACTGGCCCGCAAATGTGGGATCCGAACCGGGGCCCTCTGGCGTCCCAAGCCAGCTCTTAACCAATGCGCCACTCGGCCGGCCCCCCAGTGAGTTTTTAAATTTTGGTTATTGTGAATATTCAATTCTAACATTTTCGTTTAATTTTTTTATGTCTTCTATTTCTCCACTCAGACTTTCTATCTTTCCATTTGTTGCATTTATTCTTAGAGTATGATTATAATAATTTCTTTCAAGTCCTTGTCTAACCATCCTAACATTTGCATCATTCTTGGTGGTGTTGTCTGTTGATTCTCTTTTCCCTCATAAGATGTTGAGATTTTTCTAGTTCTTCATATGTCAAATAATTATTGATTGTATCCACGACATTTTGAACATTATTTCTCCTACAGAGACTATTGTTTTTTTGTTTTGTTTTGTTAAAGCAGGCAATTAGCGTGGTTAGATTCAGGCCACAATTTCCTACCCACCATTGGACTGTAGTTCTAATGTCAGTTCAGTTTTCAAAAGCTTTGCAGTGCTATTCTGGGATAAATCTCACTTGATCATGGTGTATAATCCTTTTAATGTGCTACTAGATTTGGTTTCCTAGTATTTTGTTGAGGATTTTTACAGATATTGGTGTACTTTTTTTCCTCTTTTTCTTGTGATGTCTTTTTTAAAAAAAAGATTTTATTGGGGAATTGGGGGAGGGAACAGAGTTGGGGAATCGGGGAAGGAGAACAGACAAGTTGCTGTCCTTTTGTTCTTCAGTCTAGTTGTGGAGGATGTTGCTTCACTGGCCCATGTTGTATTGTGATCATTGCGTTCTTCTTGGCGGAGGCAGATCCATCGCCAGCCATTGGATGGCAGCTCACGCCGGCTGCCGGCCACTTATGGTAGCTTATGGCAGCCCACTGCAGCCTACGCCATCACCAGCGACTCAGGGCAGCCCAGCTACAGGTCAAGCTGTTGTTCGCTATCTTAGCTGTAGAGGGCGCAGTGTCACGGGTCCTAATGTGGGATCTGAACCGGGGCCCTGCTGCTCAGAGCTGGTGTCCCAAGCCAACTCTTAACCAACGTGCCACTGGGCCAGCCCTCTTGTGATGTCTTTATCTAGCTTTGGTATCAGGGTAATGCTGGTCACATAGAATGAGTTAGGAAGTATTCCTTTGTCTTCTGCGTTTTGGAAGAGTTTGAGAAGAATTGGTATTATTTAAGTTTTTGGTGGAATTTACCATAAAGCCATCTGGTCCCGGACTTTTATTGTTGGGAGGTTTTTGATTACTAATTTGATCTCTTTACTCGTTGGTCTGTTGAGATTTTCTATTTCCTCTTGAGTGAGTTTAGGTAATTTGTGTGTTCCTAGGAAGTTGTCCATTTCATCTAATTTGTTGGCATATAATTGATGCTGTGATGTTGTCTGGGGGCTGGGACAGGAGAGAATGGTAAAGACAAAAAAAAAACCTCCGGGATCTTCACGGGTGCTGTTCCTGATCTTGGACTAATGTGTTAGTCAGCTTGGGCTGCCATAACAAACTACCACAGACTGCGTGGCTTAGACAACATAAATTTATTTTCTCACAGTTCTGGATGCTGGAAGTCCAAGAGAGATGTCAGCAAATTCAGCTTTTGGTGAGGGCTCTCTTCCTAGCTTCTAGACAGCCTGTTTCTCACATGACCTTTCCTTTGTGCATTTATGGTGAAATAGTGTGAATGAGCTCTCTGTTGTCTTTTCTTATAGGGACACTAATCCTGTTGGAGAAGGGCCCACCCTTATGACCTCACTTAACCTTAGTTATGTTCTTAGAGGCTCCATTTCCAAATATAGCCAGACTGGGGGTTAGGTTTCAGCATATGAATTTTGGGGAGGGGGATACAAATATTCAGTCTATAATGTTGTAAATATTTTGTAGGGTGTCAGATGGACACATGTCTTGCTAGGGAGACCACTTCATGGACAGTGCAGAGGCTTGACCACGGCACTGTACACCTGAAGCTGACATTGAATAATATTGTATGTCAACTATAATTTTATATACATATATATATATATATATATATATATANTATATATAGTCACAAAATGTGGAGTATAGTGTGGGGAGTGGAGTCAATGGAATTGTAATAGATATGTATGATATTGGGGGTGGGGCAGCAGATTGGGGGAGGGGGGTTGTCACTTTGTTAGGGGTAAAAAGTATAACTATGGCACTGTTTTATACACCTGAAACTAATTAAAAAAAAATTCAGTCCATAATAACTAGGAACAGAGGGCTTCTCTTGGAACTCTTTCCACACCTAATACATAGTTCTGGATTTTGTATTGCCTGTGAGTCTAGGCCAGGAGATACCAGAGGAAAAATAAAATGGGAAATTCACTATTAGGTCAGTGGTACTTTAAATTCTGATCTTCTCCAAACTGCTTGCTGCTATTTACTTTTCAGAAATCCCAGAGAGCTGTTCCATACACTCTGTCCAGGGTGTTTCATTGTATTAAGTCAGAGAGATAAGGTGGAATATGCCTACTTCATCTTCTTCAGAACTGGCTTTATGAAATCTTTTTATTTTTAACTATTTTGTGTCGTTTTCTTCTAGATGTACCTCTTAGAAAGTTGAATTTTTAAAACCTTAATCTGATAGTCTCTTTTAATAGAAAAATTGAATTATTCATATTCGTTGTGATTACTTTTATGTTTAGACTTTGATTTTACATATTTTTCCCCCTGCCACATCTCTTTTCTATGAGATTATTCCATTTTATCTATTTAATTTCCTCTAGAGATTTAAAAGTTATCTTTCCTTTTTCTGTGCTTTCCATAATTAAATATAGATATAATGAATAAATATGCATCTCTTCCACCTAACAAGATAAATAGTATGGACGTTCCTCAAAAAACTAAACAGAATTACCATATGACCCAGCAATTCCTCTCCTGGGTACCTACTCAAAAGGGCTGAAACCAGGTATTCAAACAAAAACGTGTACACAAAACTTCATAGCAGCATTATTCACAATAGCTAGAAAGTTAGTTGGAAACAACCCAAAATGTCTCATAACAGATGAATGGATAAACCAAATGTGGTATAGCCATACAATGGAATATTATTCAGCCACAAAAAGGAATGAGGTGATGAAAATGTCTTGGAAGTTGATAGAAGTGGTCGTTGCATGCCTTGTGAATATACTAAATGCCACTGAATTGTTCACTTTGAAATGGTTATTTTTTTATTATGTAAATATCACCTCAATAAACATTTTAAATGTACTTTTTTGAAAAAACAAGAAAGTACTGATATATGCTATATGTGGACAAAACTTGAAAACATGCTAACTGAAAGAACCCAGAAACAAAAGGCCACATAGTGTATGACTTCATTTATGTGAAGTACCCAGAGTGTACAAATCCATAGATAGGAGGTCAGCGGTTGCCAGGAGCTGGGGAGAGGAAGGAATGGGGAGTGAGTGATTCCTGAATGGGGACAGGGCTTCGTTCTGGAGTGATGAAAACGTTCTGGAACGAGGTAGTGGTAATGATTGAACAGCACTGTGAATGTACTAGATATCACTAAATGGTAAATTTTATCTGTAGTTTATCATAATAAATTGTTTTTAAGTTCATGTGCCTAAGGCTGAGGTGTAATTTTTTCATTTTCTTCTCTTTGCTTTTTTTAATAGCTGGATATAAGATCTGACAAAAGCAAGTCTCCTTAGAATTAAAAAATTTTTTTTTGCTACACTATGTTTTTGATTTTTTTTTTTTAGCAAGTGTTTGTCAGTGGTGGTTTTGGTGTCATTACCTGTAAAGAAAGTTGTCTTTTTTTTTTTAAAGATTTTTATTGGGGAATTCGGAGAGGGGAACAGTGTTGGGGAATAGCGGAAGGGGAATAGACAAGTTGCTGTCCTTTTGTTTTTCAGTCTAGTTGTGGAGGACGTTGCTTCACTGGCCCATGTTGGTATGATCATTGGCGCTCTTTCCGGCTGAGGCAGTGGACGGCCGCTCATGGTGGCTGCTCACGGCAGCCCCACTGCAACCTATGCTGTCGCCGGTGACTCATGGTAGCCCAGCTCCAGGTCGAGCTGTTGTTCATCATCTTAGCTTAGAAGGCGCAGTATCACTGGCTCTCATGTGGGATCTGAACCGGGGCCCTGCTGCTCAGAGATGGCGTCCCAAGCCAACTCTTAACCAATTGAGCCACTTGGCCAGCTCAAGAAAGTATTTGTCTTCTCACTCACTAGTTCCCTCAGAGCAGTGGAGGTGCTGCTTCGTTGTTTTTGAATGTCCATGCTGGCCTTTGGTTTTGTTCTCGTCAAAAACATTTTTGTGCTCTTTCTCTCACTCTGAAAGCTTTTAGGATTTTTTAAATCTTTCGAGTCCCATATTTCACCAAGAATATGGATGTGAGGATCCTTTTCCAGTAAACCTGGCTTAGCACTTGGTGGCCCCTCTCTATCTGAAGATTTCAGCTAATCTTTAGCCGAGGGAAATGTTTTCCTGTTTTTTTGGTTATTCTCTCCCTTTTCCCTTTTCTCGCCTCCTGGGATCCCTTGGAGATGGTTGTTTGACCTCCTGGATCTAACCTCCCTGTCTCTTAATTTCTCCTATAAATATCTTCTTGTCTTGAGGCTTTACTTTCTGGGAGATTTCCTGGACTTTATTTTCCAGGTCACTATTTGTCCTTTCTAATGTTCAGGCTTTATGTTAAATCTAAAAATCTGCCATAGATGTTTCCCCATACCCCCCACAACTGTTAGCTGATTGCCCTTTTTTACAGTCTCTTTTGTTTTAAGGATACAGTGTCCATCTTTATTCTGAATGTATTAGGACTTTTCGGAATCTGCATTTCGACCAGATCTATAGGTGATAATGCCCTATTCCTGGGCCATTCGCTGCCACTGGCAGATACCTGATGTAGTTTTGCTCTGAAGGACATCTTCCTGCAGTCTCTGGTGACCATGTCCTGGTCCCAGGTTCCTTTCTCAGCATGACAGGTGGCTGTCTCCAGTCCTGCTCAGCCCCAACCCAGCCCCACTTCATGCCTTCTCAGTCCAGGTGTGGAGAGCTGCCCCCAGGTGTGAACAGAGTGGCCACACAAAGGAGTTTAGCAAGGTCCACCCTTTTCCACTGGATCCTGAGCACAGTCATATTTAGCTTACATTTTTTAGATAAAATTTACATACAATGTAATACACAGGTCTTAAGTATACAGTCAGATGTTTGACAAATGTATATACCTGTGTAACCAGTTCCCCCAATAAAGATATAAAAAACTTTCTCATGTCTCCAGAAGTTCCCTCGTGCACCTTTGTAATCAGTCTCTACTCTGCATCTCCTGAGGCAACCACTGTTTCCATTTCTTTTACTAGATTTTCCCTTTCTTGAACTTCATAGGAATGGAATCTTATGGTATATCCTTTTTTTGTGTCTGGTTTCTTTTCACGCAATACTATGAGAGATTCATCATTATGAATTTTTTTACCTTTGTCACCATTCATTATCATGCTGTATTAGTAGCTTATTTTTTATTGCTGAGTAGTATTCTATTGTGTGAATGTAGCACAGTGTATCTCCTTAAAAATTTTGGGTTCTTTCTAGCTTTTTGGCTATTATGAACATTGTAGTATATCATTCCTCTTGGCTAAATACCTAGGAGGAAAATTCTGGGTCGTGCGGCAGGATAGTGTGCAGTTTTGAATTTTTCTCTAGAACATAATAAACCCCTCTAGTTGTTCCCATTTTTAGTAGGGTTGCCTCACTCTGCTTGGCCTGCAGCGGGTGGTGTGGGGCTATAAAGCCTTGGGCTGGGGTCATGGCAGGGCACCAATGGACGCTACCCCAGCTCCCCATCTTCCCCACCCCAATGACAGGCAGCAGCCTCCTTTCAGCTGCACCCCCTTCTCAGCAGCAGCCAAGTGTGTGTGATCTCCCAGTAGAAGTGGACCCTGGCACTTCCTTGCCTTCAGGGATCCCCATGGCACTTAGGACAGAGGCCCAAGTGTTTCCCCTGGCTGCCACATCACAGCTGACCCTCTCAGCCTGTCTCACATGTCGTCTCTGGCTGGGCTCACCCCCTACACAGACACACACACACACACACACACACACACACACACACACACACAGACAGACCTCCTAGCTCTTCATGCATTCCTTTAGGACCTCGCCTTCCTCTCGTGAGATGACTCTTCTCCTGCCAGGGTGGCTAGTCTGGCCAGTGAGAATAAGGCCCTGACCGAGGCCTGCATGTGGGAACTGTGTGGCTCTAGGGCCCAGCAGAGACTGGCTCAGGGCTCATGCTCAGGTCTTCAGTGAATAGAGATACTGCAGGTCCTATGGGGCTGGATGGCCATCTTGGCAGCTACCACCCCCTCAGTCCCTCCTGTGCCTATTCTGCTTGGCCCATACACCAGCCTGACTCTAGTTCTCTGAGGCCCCGAGCCCTGAGGAGAGGACAGCATCCCTGTTGCCCTCCTACAGAGGGCGCTTTAAATAAGGACCAACACTAAACTGCAAAGTAAGAGTAAGGAAGGCCAGCAACTGTATTTTTCTCACAGCAACTACCTGGATGTTTAAAAAAAATGTAAAAAATATCGACGTGAACAAGATGCATCCTTTTGTTTTCTGGTCTCCTTTTCCTCTGGCCTCTTGGGCTCATCAGTGTCGACAGCTGGTGTCACCCAGACTTCTGGTCCCTCAGACCCTCTGTGCCCTGCAACCTGTGAGCACCTGGAGGGGCCCAGCGCTGGCCTCACTCTCTGCACCCAAACTTTTGTGGAATGAACAAGATAATGTTTCTGTCAACTTTAAGATTTAACATCCATTTAAAGAGAAATTTATTTTCCAAGCAAAGGTGGTTATTAAAATGGAAAAGGAAACCATTGAGAAAAGAAGACAAGGAAGACAGTGGAAGTATATTTTTTTGTAAAATACACTGCCATTTCTGACAACAGGTGTATCCTTCACATCATTTTTTGTCTCCCTTCTTTTCCTTTGGCTTTGCTGTTGATGGTTTCCCCACTGCCTTTGCTGTTGATGGTTTCCCCACTGCCTTTACTGTTGTTGGTTTTTCCTTTGGCTTTGCAGCTTCTGCATCCTTTGCTGGCTGCTGTTTTTCTGGAGGAACCAGCACATTCTTTTTGATCCTCTTGCCTCTGAAGTGATTTCTTTGAAGACATATATCAATGAGAGCAAAAAATCCAGCCAAACTAATAAGGATCTGGAAAACAAAAGGCACCTCGTTACTTTTGCTTTTCATTCCAAAGCTGACATGTGTCCTTGTTGGTTTCTAATTCTTCAGTAGATGCTGTTAAACACATCCCCTTTTCCCCTCAAACTACTGGCCCAGAGAGACTCCTGAGTTTCCCTATCCCCACCGGTCACCCCACTTTTTCTTTCTTTCAACCCAGCCTGGTTGGGACCCTTTGCTTTGTGGTCAGTAGCTATAAGAAGGACGCCATTAGCTTGGCTGGCTCCTTGGACGTCATCTTTATTTCAATGGCTTCTCCACTGGAAACATTTATCAGCTTTACTTTGAAATTTTGCTTGGATCCCAGGGTTCTGTAAAGTGGAAAGAAGCCCTGTCCTTCAAACCGGAGAAAAACATCCATTCTCCAAAAAGAGGTGATTGCTGAGCAAATAAACTGCCCAACACAAAAGACTCACCACAGCAATAAAGTAGTTCATCGGCATGGTTTTTCGACTTTTCACAGCGAAGAACACGGCCCCCGCCAGGAAGATGGTGGAGAACAGGTCGTTGAGAAGTTCCTGAAAGCATGGGAGAGAGAGAGTCAACCTGAAACAGAGCTGAGGCCCCCATCAACACCTGGCCTGGTATATCTTCCTCCAAAGGGAATGCTTTTCAAGCTTCTGCTTGATTTAAAAAATAAGTATATGAAGATAAATAGGTACCAGGCTAGGTAGACATACCTGTGGTCCCTCAGCTGGGCTCTTTGAGTCGAGACCCAAAGCCTAGGATGCCTAACTGCCTTCTCTGGCTCCCTTCCCTCCATTACCATCTCATCTATGAAATCACACATTTAATGGCTAGTTATGTTGATTTTTCCTCCTCAAAGACTCATTTAAATAACTGTACAACTATCCAACTTAATGATGTCCTTCTTGAGTACCACCCCAATCATCTTTCTGCTCTTAGGACTAGCTCCCCTCTCTGGATCCCATGTAGGCTGTGTTGCTGGCAGGAGGCTCTGTTGGATTCTGGCCCCTCATTGGAAGCCTGGCATCCCCTCCCGCCACCACCTTAATTCCTAGATCCCTCCTCCCCTCTTTGCAAGGCTGCACCACCTCCTCCATCATCAAACCTCTTTCCCATCCCTTGTGGCCTTAGTCTTGTCCTCGCCCCATACTTGTTCCCCTTCACCCTACCAACAAGGCCCAGATGTTCTTATATTGGGCAAAGGCGCTGTCATCTTTCTTGCTGCCCTCCCCTCAGCTACCACCCACTGTTACCCCCTGGCATAACCAGACTTCTCAGGGTTGGCCAAACCACAGGCACAGCAAGCTGCTTCCTCCCCCATCACTCCTGGGGTGATGCTAGCCCAGAGCTCGTGTACCCCTTCATCCTGTGGGCAGTAGCTGACCCTGCAGCACTGGATGACGCCTATCCTTCCCCTTTGCTTCTAGGATGCCATTCTCTGCGGAGTGTCCTCCCCTGACTACTTTGTCTCAGGCCTTTTCTTTCCCTTTTTAATGTTTTTAATTTTAATACATTTCAAATATACAGAAAATAATAAAACATCCCATCCCCACGCCCACCTCCACCAGCCCTGAATCACTGAGATTAAATAGATGTTAATGTCTTGCAATATTTGCTTAAGGTCTCTTAAAACAACAACAACAACAAAAAGAAGTAGAACTTTGTGGAGTGAGCACAGTCTCACCGTTCCACCCCTCTTCCTGCCCCTCTCCCCGAGGCAACCGTGCGTTGGAAGTTGATGGGTAGTTTGCCCAAGTGTGTGTTAGTATTTTTCTCCTTATTATGTACTCAACAATATATATTATTTTGTGTGTGTCAAAGATTTTAAATAAAAGCTATTATATCTTCTAGTACTTGTTTTTTAAACTTAAAAGTTTTTGAGATTTATCCATTTTGAGAAATATAGATTGAGTTCATTCATTTTAACTCATGTGTTCTGTGTGAATAAACAAAATTAGAGGCATTAGGTTGTTTGTACCTTTTAGAAAATGATTACAAACTCTGCTACAGTGAACACTACTGTCTGCCTCCCATGCACATCTTCTCCTTGGCTGGGTATTGCAAAGTTTCTTCAAAGTGCCTGTGCCAATTTGCATTCATGCCAGCAACGTATAGGTGCGTCCATCTCACATGTCCTTGCCAACACCCAGGATTACCAGGCTTATTTATTTTTGTCAACTTGAAGAGTCAAAATGGTGCCTCATTGTTGTTTTAAATTTTCAGGTCGCTGGTTACTAATGAAGCATTTTTAAAAACATGTTTTAGGCATGTTTTCTGAGTTTCCTTTTGTATTCCTGCCTTAGTCTGCTCGGGCTGCTATAACAAAATACCACAGGTTGGGTGGCTTAAACAACAGACATTTATTTTCTCACAGTTCTGGAGGCTAGAAGTCCACAGTCAAGGTGCTACGAAATTCAATTTCTGGTGAGGGCTCTCTTCCTGGTTTGCAGATGGCTGCCTTCTCTCTATGTCCTCACATGGCTTTTCCACGCTGTGCAAGGTAGGGGTTGTGAGAGGGGGGAACAGGAAGAGGATCAGGGCCCCACCCTTATGACCTCATTTAATCTTAATCATTAGAGGCCACTTCTGCAAGTACAGCCACACTGGAGATTAGGATTTCAGCATATGAATTTTGGGGGTACACAAACATTCAGTCCATAACATTCCATTAGTCTTTTTGTCAATCCCTGAGCTAGTACCAAAGCTTTATAGTAATTCTGATAGCTCACTGGGTGAGTCCATCCTTGTAATTCTTTTTATTTTTCCATAAGAATTTTAGCATCACCTTGTAAAGTTCCATGAACAACCTCTGTTAGGTGAAAATTTAATTTATAGGTTACTTTTGAGTTAAATTGCCATCTTTTTTTTAAAGATTTTTATTGGGGAATTGGGGGAAGGGGAACAGACAAGTTGCTGTCCTTTTGTTCTTCAGTCTAGTTGTGGAGGACGTTGCTTCACTGGCCCAAGTTGGCACCATCATTGCGCTCTTCCCGGGTGAGGGAGATCATCACCGGCTTCTGGATGGCCTCTCACAGCGGCTGCTGGCCGCTCACGCTGGCTGCTGGCTACACACGGTAGCCCATGGCAACCCACTGCAGCAGGGGCTGCAGCCTACACTGTTGCAGGCAACTTATGGCAGCCCAGCTCCAGGTTGAGCTGTTGTTCAGCATCTTAGCTGTAGAGGGCAGTGTCACTGGCCCTCATATGTGGGATCTGAACTGGGGCCCTCTGGCATCCCAAGCCAGCTCTTAACCAATGCGCCACTCGGCCGGCCCTAAACTGCCATCTTTATGATAGTAACTCTTCACATCTGTGAATGGTATGTTTCTCCATTTGTTTAGGTTTTTCTTTTATGAATAAAATGTTATAATTGCTATATAAAGTTATATACATCTTTGAGCAGTTTATTCTCAGACACCGTGTAGTTTGTTGTTTTAAATGTTTGTTTTTCAAAAGACATGTTTTCTCATTGTTGCTAGTATTCAGCAGCACTGTTGTTTTGGTCCCTGGTAACCTTGTTGAACTCACGTCAGTTCTAGTAGTTTAACTGTAGGTTGTTACCTTGGGTTTTCTGTGTAGGGAATCGTATTATTTGTGAGTAATGCTAGACTTTTATCCCCTTCCCAATCCATATATCTTTTGTTTCTCTTGTCACATTTTACTAAGATCTACAGTAGAATGTTGAATAGAAAGGGGATAGTAGGCATCTCTAAGGAAATGCTTTTATAGTTTTACCATGAAATGCAATGTTTATTGTAAGTTTGGGTAGATACCTATTGTGAAGATAAGGAAGTTCCCTTTTTTCCTAGTTTGCTAAGAGTTTTCAAAAAATTAGGTTTTCAGTAGCATATGAGATGATGAAATGGTTTTCTCCTTTAAATAAAAGATGGCGAATTATACAAGGTCTGACAATTAAGTTTGTGAGCTTGTCGCAACGATGTTGCTAACCCTTTTTGATATCAGAGGGATTATTCATTATGAATTTGTACCAACTGGACAAACAGTTAACCAAGTTTACTATTTGGAAGTGCTGAAAAGGCTGCATGAAAAAGTTAGGCGACCTGAACTTTTCATCAACAATTCATGGCTCTTGCATCACGACAATGCACCAGTTCACACGGCACTGTCTGTGAGGGAGTTTTTAGCCAGTAAACAACTGTATTGGAATACCCTCCCTACTCACAGGAGTGCGGTGGTGGGATCTGGCTCCCAATGACTTCTTTCTTTACCTGAAGATAGAGGAAATATTGAAAGGAAGATATTTTGATGACATTCAGAACATCAAGGGTAATACAATGACAGCTCTGATGGCCATTCCAGAGAAAGAGTTCCAAAATTGCTTTGAAAGGTGGACTAGGTGCTGGCATTGGTGCATAGCTTCCCAAGGGGAATACTTCAAAGGTGACCATAAAGGTATTTAGCAATCAGGTATGTAGCACTTTTTCTGGGATGAGTTCGTGACATTGTATTTTGTACTTCAAGAAAGATCTGTCTATTCTGTCCTCATAATGTCTTATTCTTTTTCTAGGGCTCTGATTTATGTTTTGAATTATTGTTTTCAGAAAGTTCTGCTATTATATTTTCAGGGTTCTAACCCTCTCATTTGTTATGTTTGCTGATTCTTTATTCTTAGTTATGAGGATTTTAAAATCAGGTGTTTTGTAGTTTTGAACTGTGAATTCATTTTTGATAAGTCTCCCACCACTGCACCCAACGTGTGAGAATCTTTTTATGCTTTGATTGTGATTTTGCATTTGTTTTTGTCAGAAGTCCCATAGATATCACCAGAATATAATCAAATTAGGATCAATTTTTTATGCTCATTCCCAAGTATTACGTTTTCTAGGCTGCATGAAGATTTGTAGGCTAAAGGTAGTAAAAATTGAAATCAAACTTTTATAAAGTAGTCTAGGCTCAAGGTTTCTTTTTCTCAAGGTGGTCTTTTTTGTTTTTCTACTCAAAGCGGAGGTAGAGATGAACATGCTTTCTTGTTCCTCTGTGTAGGGGAAGATATCTTCTCTGTCTTTTCCCTAAGGGTGTATGTAGTCTTTGTATGGTGCTGGCCTTATGTAGGGTTCTTAGTTCTAAATCCCCACTTTGCTTGGGACCAAGGCCTCATGTCCTGGGATGAAAATCCATACTCCAGGTTCCTGGGATAACACTTTGTGGGACATTCCCACCCACACTTCAGCAGTTTATTTGCTCACCGCTCCTGTTTTCCATTTCTGGCACCTGTGTGTTTTCCTTTTGTAATGCCAGCTCAGTCATTCAGTTAAGCAATAGTGGTTAAATCCCCCCTGGTAGTTTAGTTAAGTGCAGCGGGAGGATTTTCAGGATTCATTGATTTTTTTTTCATCTTCTAAAAGAATATTTTCTCAAGCTCCTTGGCTGGGAACTTGTTCTTTGCCTGTCCCTTCACTTTGTCCTCTCCTTATCCCTTTCCCGAGTCTTTTTTTTTTTTTTTTTTTAGCTGAGCCATCCTGCCACCTGTTGGCATCTCAGCGGCTGCTCAGCTCGGATTGGGACTCGAACCGCTGTTGCTCAGAGCTCAAACTCTTGAGCGAGCTCTTAACCAACTGAGCCACTCAGCCAGGCCCTTTCCTGAGTCTTACTTGGCCCTCTTCTCCTTTCTCCCTATACTGGGTATCCTCACATACCCCATTGAGACCTGTGGATCCCAGAATGCTAATAACTTTTAACAAGGAGGTAGGACAGTGTAGTTAAGGACTCAGTCTACTGACAAAGCTACCTTTAATCCTTTTTCTGCCACTTACTAGCTGCAGTTACTTGGGGGCAAGTTACTTGGCCATTCTGAGCCCATTTCATGTGTAAAGTGAGTGTAGCAGTGAACATAGGACTCTGGAGGCATGCTGTGAATGTGCAGTGAACAAGGGGCTTTGGGCTAAGTAGGAGTTAGGTGGGTGTGCTCTGTGATTACACAGATGATGGGCAGGGATTCAAGTCCATGGGTCTTGACATTGTCAGGACATTGTCAAACACTTTACTTCTCAGAAACAATCCCAAGAGAGAGTGTTGTTGTCCTCATGTTACAGATGAGGAAACACAGGCTAGGAGTGGCTGGGTAATTGCCTAGTCCCATTCCAATGCATGACTGCTTTGGGCTGAACATCTTTCTGGGTGGAACATCCTTTACAGGGATAGTCACTGGAGATCTATGGCCACTTTAGAAGTGATTTTTAAAAAATCAGGGGTGAGCTGGCACAGGGATTGGGCCATACCTCCCCTCCCCGCAACTAGAGCAAACTCTCGAGAGAGCAAAGACCTGTTGGTTTGACCACAGGTGGATAAGAGGCCTTTGACCCCCCCAGTTGGGCTTTTTCCAAGCCTTTTCTACCTAACTTCAGCTATCCCTGCCCTTAGCCCACCTGAAGGTGCTGAGCCCATGCCTGGGCACAAATACAGGAGGTGAGCTGTGTCTCTCTGTTGACATGCGTGAATGCACACCAGCCTCGCTGCCCCTTCACTTACAGAAATGGGCCACAGGATGAAGGGCATGTATCTCTGGACAGCGAAGGTATGGACAAAGAAGAAGAAGCTGAAGATGGAGATCTCCATGGTGATGATGAGTGTCAGGATGGGGTGCACGGCAGTCCCCGTGAACATGACCATAGCAGCAGTTAGGCAGCCCTGTGGGGAGACATTCGCCTGAGTCATGGCAAAGGGCTCTCTCTGACTCCGGAGCCCCTCTGGGGCCCCCTGAAGCCCATTCCTCCCTCTCCCTGTCCAACTTACCAAGCTCAGGATCTTGACCTCGGCGTGCCCCATAACCCAGAACTCTTTATTGCTGTCCTTTAATTCCCACCTGTAGCGGCGACACCCCTTCCTCGTGCCCACGTCATCCTTGGGCTGCTCCGACTTTTTCTTTACCGGCTTCTGTTCCTTAAGGGATTCGTCTATGTAGTGCTCTTCAGGGGTTTGTGGCGCTGTTTGTTTCGCCCTCGCTTTGTCCTTTTTGCTTTTTTCTGCCATCTTTGCATGGGAGTTCTCAGCTTTTCAGGGCCTGCCCAGTCTTCCCTGCTGTCGCTAGACAGGCCTGGCCTTTGAGACAGCCTGGTGCCAACCGACTTTTCAAGGCCACTCTCACCCAACGGCCAAGACCAGCGAAGCGAACGCCTGGTGCCCCTTCCGCGCACGCGCGCGCCCTTTCTCATCTCGTGAGTGTCGCCTCCGCACAGGGCCAGCCCTGCGCATCACGAGGACCCTGCAGCTGCCATGTCGGCTCACCTCCCAGTCAGGAACCACCACCCCACCTCCTGGCGCACCACCGGGGCCCCCCCACCTCTTCGTAGAGCTCCCCTTAGGGTCTAGCGTGGCTTCACAAGGTGGCCCCAGGGCTCTAGCCCTGGCTGTCGCCTTCAGACTGGGTGGGCTGGAACCAGGGCGGGGTCAAGGTCCTCGCCATGGCCTCCTGGGACAGCCATGCCTAGTGCCCCGTGGGCGCACCAGCCTGTGCAGAAAAATGTAACTCGACTTCACACAAGGCAACACGTGGAAGCGGAAGTGTTCCTGACTTAGAAGCCCTGATTTTATGATCGCACTTGGGCGGAAATGGGTGACAGCAGACGAGCTCAGTGGTGGGAGGAGCGGGAGGGATGAGGCAGCCGCCTTTGCCCGCAAGGATGTCTGTGAGGATGCCTTCGCGGATTATGGGGCGGGTTTCAGCGTGGGTTCTGCTGGGGCGGGTTTCGGGGTGGGCTCCACCTGGGCAGGGGAGGTACTGGTTTCGTTTTCGATTCCCAGGACTCTTTTCATGTTATTCCTCATCGTCTTGGTGACTAGAGTCGCATCGATGAGACACACGATTGCCGCCACGAGACACAGGGACTGCCAGACACAAGACCGTATGTGGGAAGGAAAGGCGGGGTTATTTTGCAGCTCAGCAACGACTTGTTTTCCCTAACCCCATTCCGGGATGCGGGATGCTGGTGGCCTCTTTTCCCTCTCCGACTCTCCACTACCTGCTGCGGCCCTTTCTGCCATTCCCAGAGAAAAGGATTTGGGAAATGGTGGGTTTTGCAGCCAGTAATGACCTTGCCTGATGCCTGAGGCACCGGGAAAGGACTAGAGAAGGGCATGGCCCTAGGAGTGGCTCCCGAGACAGATGGTCCCTTGGGGGAAAGGACTCATGGGCTAAGTTTGAAAGGGCAGAAAGGAGTTTCCCAGGGGGTCAGCTGGGAGGAGGAGAACTCCGAGTATTGGATTGAGGTCTCCAAGGAATCTAGTGTGGCTGAGACCTCTGGAGCTGGTGAGTGAGGGAGCAGAGTTGGGGCTGGGGAGATGCAGTATCTGGGACTTCATCAAGAAGAGAGGTCGGGTGCCAGACTCAGAAAGCTCACTTGCGGGGCTCCTGCCATTCAGGTAAGAATTGATGGAGACCAGTGGGTGGGAGCCCCTGGAAGGTAGCGGAAGGCTTGGTGACTGAGTTAGCAGATGGGGACCAGCTGTCTGTCTTGGATGTTTCTCTTTATGGTCACTTAAACCCTGGCTGCTTAAATGAACTTTTCCTATGTAGGTCTTGCCCCAACTAATCTTTGAGCTCCCCTAGGGGGAAGGGACTCTATCCCCAACACTGAGTTTAGGCCTGGCACAATCCAATGGGATTGACACAATATTTACTGATTATGGAATGAATTCAAATAAATGAATCATTTTTTCTGGTTTAATTTCTGTTCCCATTGCTTAACTTCTTGAATCAAAGTCTCACCTCCATCCCCCCCCACCCTCGCCAATCTTCTAAGCATTTAATCTGCCATATCTTGTGCTCTTCATATGAGGAGGATTTGAGTCCCAGCCTTGTGACCCAGGGCAAGGTATTTAACCTTAGTTCCCATATGTGTAAAAAAGAAGAGTTGTAAAGATAAAGTCAAGTCAAAATGTGCCTAGCCTTGTGTGGAGCACATGCTGAGACCTTCCTTCCTTCCTTCCTTCCTGAAATAGGCTGGGGTCACACACTTTTGACAATGCACTTTTTTTTCCCTATCATCATTCTTTTCATGTGCTTTTATTCTCTAGTCCAGAAAAGTCAAAGTCCTATTTATAGACAAGAACATCTTGCTGAAACAGTTAAAAAAAATAGTGTGTACAATTCTTAAAAGGGGGTTCAACAGATTTGGTTTTGTCCTTATTTGGAGAATGACTATGAGAATGAAGATTTTCATGAGCTTAGAGTTTGCACAGTTTTACATCTTCTGTAGACGTCAGTGTACGAAAGAGAAGGGGGTGGTGATGGGGGTGTTGTTCTGGAAATGAAATAATGATGTTCTGCCAGTTTCCCTGTTCAAAGAGTCTTGAAATACTGATCTTAAGTGGAGTCACAAAGACCTCTACTTACCCCTCCAACATACAATAAACGCCTTCCTTCCTTTTCTTGCATTGTCAAGGCGCCAACTATTAAAAGGAATACAGCTGTAATGAAACTGTTGACAAGATCCTGTAATACAGAATTGAAAATTGTCAACTCTACATGAAAATGTATTTCATGAAATATTTAAATTGGTCTATTACCCATCTAAGGATGGATACCTTTTAAAAACTTTCCCTTTGAGCAATATTAAGAGGAACCCTCAGCAGCATAATTCTTACATCTTCCAGAGACATGAGTTTATTTGATTTTAAGGTCCTGGGTAGGATTTTGTCTGCAGAAAAGGGTTTAAATTTCATTAACATAGTAAAAAAAAAAGCTGACAAACTTTTGCATTAAGCTTTTCTTAAAGGGCACACAAAAGTGAGCATGGAAAAAAAATCTAGAGGTTGGGGGCCAAATTGGTCTTCCATGATATGATTTTTTGAAGTCTTGTACATTCTGCATTCTATTCCACAATACATTGGTTTTAATATAAAAATAAAATTTTGGGTTAGCACTCTACTGATTTAATTCCACTCCTAAATCTGCAGGTAGAACAGATCCTTTGTAAGTTGGGCCATATTGATTGTGTAGGTTCACATGTCCCAAGAAGGCAGGAGCCCACCTTAGGAGCAGGCCTGGTATTCTGAATTGAATGCCTCTGCCATTGACTTCTGCTCTTCCCTAAGACATGGCCACAATTGAGTCTGCCCTGACATCTATAGCCTACTTGTGTCCTTCCTTCTAGATTTCTTTACTGGGATCCTTAACTGCTGGCCCAATCTGCTTCTTTGTGTGCTAAATAAAGGGTGAGGATGAGTAGGTGGGGCGCACCCCTGAGTATAAGTAGAGGCTGGGCTTTGGTAGTGGAGCAGTAATAGAAGAGAAGGTATTCAATGTGTCAGTGGCACCAGTTTATAGGGAGGGGCAAAAGCCCAGGGTGATATAATTATGATAGGGCCCAGATATTTAGATTGAACATTTTTATCTCTTAAAGTCTTGGTGGCTCATTATGCTGTTTTGTATACCTGAAACTAAATTAAAAAAAAAAAAAAGAAATCTTGGTGGCTTGAGCCGGTAGTGTCAGCCTGTCTGTGCACTTGCCCAAACATAGCAAGGAGCCCTGCCAGCCAGTGTATGGAATACTGGCTCTAATGGAGCTCATCAGCGTGCCAAGCTTTCCAGCCATTGTCTCATTTAACCCTCATAAACACCCTGCAAAGTCAATATTGTTAAGATCTGCATTTTAAGAGGATGTTACAAGCTTAGAGAGGTTTATTAAATTGCCTAAGATTGAATATCTGCCAAGGAGTGGAGTCAGAACTTAAGTTGCGGTTGCCTCCCCTCAGGGACACCCAAATAAGCAGGACATGAAGTAAACCCCCAGGACGGAAGTGCAGCATCCATTTTTTGGCATTTTCTGTGGAATGGGTCGTGGAAGGTTAACATGGTATGGAAAAAAAACCGTGAGAGTGTTTTTTTGTTGATGAACTCATTTGGCCTGCCAATTCCTAGATATGTGACCTGGGGCATGTTTTATCACACCTCTGTGCCAACATGCTAATTTTTAATATGGGAATAATGATTGAGATTCATTGGGTTGATCTGAGAATTACATGGCATAATGAATCTGAAAGCATCAAGTGAGGTGCCTGGCATCTCGTTGGCAGTGGGAGAGCATCAAAATGTAGATTCGTGACATGTCTTCAAAAATGTGCACAAATAGTAAACTTTCTGCAAACTTCAGGTGTTCCTCCTATTTTTATTGGCAAGCAAGGATCCCTATTGTGGAATGTGACTTGCCTCTTGGAAGGGCACTAATGTCTATTATTTGGGCATCTGGTGGGTGACACTGGAAGGGGGACATGGAGCAGGGCTGGTGAGCATTGGAAATAGTTCCAGCTGGGTTCTGTGGGCTAAGCGAGAGGTCTGGTCACAGTGGGAGCAGGTACAGCGGTTTGCAGTTTTGCAGGAAGCTTAGCACCTGATGATTGTGTAAACCAAGATATTCAAAGATGTGAACAAGGACGCTTACAATGAAGAAGTGAAGTGTAAACTTTTAAAAATAAAAATGAACTAGCTGTGGTCATAGATCATTGAGAATCTGGATGAACGAACATTAATAATGAAAATAGTAATAAACCAAATGCAAACTAGGCCTCCCTAGGCAATTGTTGACTCCCAGTCATAATTCCATCTCCTCGTTTGACTCCTGGACTTTGTAGTTTACTCTGGTCCTTACTCGAAAGGAAGCGCTCCCCTGAACTGTCCCTTGGAGCTCATGTTTGCCTTGTACCTATCATTCCTATTGTAGCTCACATTTCTTGAGCACTTGCTGTGTATCATATACTGTGCCAAGGTGTTAATACATGATCTCATGTGATTCTCACAACAAACTCTCATTATCCCCAATTTACAGATGGGGAAGCAGCTTGTCCGGGGTTGCTCACCAGTATGTGGCTCTGACCCTCAGCAGTCTGACTTGAGTGACCTTCTCCTAACCCCACTTCCTTTTGCCTTGGACACAGACCCTCTTCTTTGGCCTCATCTTTGACAGAGAGAGATGTTTTCCTTGATGGGGTAAAATTGCAGCCAAGCCTTGCCATATGCAATGAGCTTGCTTCTGGTTTCCCCACAAATGCTGTCCTCACTCACCTTTTCTTCCCTTCTTGACGGAATACCCTATTGATTCAGGTAACCTCCTCTGACTAAAACGAGAGATGGGTTTGTTACTTGACTGTTATTTTTCCATAAAACTCTCAAATTGTTTTCTGAGAGAAACAAAATGGTATAGAATTTTAACTGGGAAATAAAAAGATGCTTTCATGGTGAATGCTTAGTTTTAAAAAATCACTGAATATTATAAAAAAAGTTAAACATTTAAATTTTTTTCGCAAAATGTGACCTTTGTAACAAGAATTTATATATAATAAACATTAGGTGGTAGTCAGCTAACTGCAACTTTCATTGGTTTCATCTATGCCTGGAGTTCTCCAAAACACATGGCAGAGCCTAATCAGAAATCACTAGGATTGTTGGTTTTCATTAATCTTATTTGAAGGGGACATTCTAAGGCTGATACTTATAAATGTAAAGCTATTGCTGGTAGTTTTTGAAACACCACTTCTATAGAGTTTTAGTTTAAAATATGTTTATTATGCATTTTGTTTTTTTTAAATTACTTTCCATTGGCAAAAACATCTGCTTGACCAGGACTTGGTTTCTCTGACCACATTGGATAATATTTTTACAATGTAGAAGTGTTAAAAATAAGGGCTATTCAGAAGACAATAATTACAAGTCATACTTTTCTTGGGTACACTGACAGATGACACTACACCAGGGTGGGTAAAATTGATAATGAAGTCTAAAAACCAAGACAGTGACTCCACCATGGTGGGGTGAGGAGAGCTGTCTTCTTACTAGCTCTGATGCAGAGCCATGCTGACAAGTCAGGGGCTGGCTGAGCGTTGGACCTGCACCCTCCCTATGGGTGTCAGGGTCCCTGGCACAGCCTTCACAGAAACGAGAAGCTGCTGTTGAGACGAGGGTTTGGGTCCCCAAGCCCAGGCTCCATTATCACTCCAGAGAAGGCGACTCGGCCAAAATACGGTCCCAGAGTCCACTGACCTCTCAGTAGGTCATCCTCTGTGTGGTCAGTATTCCCTGATGCTGCCCTGCTGAGGTCTGAGGCCCTGATATATCAGACTTCTTGTCTCCCTGCTAGGGACTTTCACCCCTTGCCCTTTGCCAAACAAGAATGGAAATAGAGGAATGAGAAAATTTATCCTCGTGTGAGCCTTTAAGGAAATTGCCACTTAAAATTAGTACTCCTTTACCCTAATCCTATACCTTCTGGCACCAAACCATCTTGCCTGGAGACAAGGGCTGAAAGATAGTGGCAGCTGTGAGTGCTGGACACCTCTAGTGTGTGGGTAGGTAGGCCTCCAACCTGCCCTAAAACAGTTACAGCGTGAAGCAGGCCATGTGTTCTCCAGCATGCTGCACTGACCTTTCAATAAGGTCCCAAGTGACTCCTGCAGCTTGATGCCAACACATCTCCAAGTGTACCTACTCTCTGAAGATTCAGTTAGGCACCTCGTAGGCACCAATACTGTCATTAAGCCAGCACATTTCTTACTGTGCCAGGGCTTCCCTGTTATCACCCAGTGGTAGCTATTTACCCCTCTGAGCCATCTTAGATGTCCATTATCCTTCATTTTATGGGATCTGGAAGGGCAAATTTGGAAGGAAGAGACTGGATAGGAGAAGAGAACACAGTTTTGGATCCTATTTTGATGGGTCTTTTTAAAAAGCTCCCAAGTCAATTAGATCACTACCTGACCAACTATGTTGGGTAGTATGTAGTTGCTTAGTATGTGTACTGCTAGTTAGCTGAGTATCAGAATAACTGGGCAACCTTTGTGGTAAGACAGTTTCTCAACCATGAAGCTCCTAGGAGTTCATCAGGCATATCCATGTGCTGTTCCAGGCCCAGGCCCTCACCCTGGAGGACAGTGGCAAGGAAAAGGCAGGGGCTCTGAATCACACTCCGGACTCCCATAGCCGTCCAAAGAAAAGAGAATGCTCTCACCCAAGGAGAGGTAGCAAAAGGGGGCCTGGCTTTATCAGAGTTGACCAAAAGCCTGCAACTCTACAAAAGCTGTCCTGAGCTGCCTGAGGACTATGAGCATAGCTCCTCTCACAAGACCTTCATGGTTCATGCTTAGGAGACCCTAGCTCCCGACTCTATCTGAGACACTTCCTGGACACTCCCCCTGGGCCCTACAGCAAAGCGTGGTGACTTGAGGCTCTCTCCAGCTCGCCAGCATTATTGCAGTGGACCTTCTCTCAGAGGGCTCTGGCCCTTCTGCCCACAGCTGCTGACCTTGGTGCTGTGAGACCTTCAGTCACCCACACCCAAGGGCCTGTGCCCCTCCCCCCCAGGATAATCAATTCAATTTTTTAAGGAAACCATGAGGAAACAGGAGAAGATAGAACATAAAATTTAGAAAATCTAAGGAGAGCAAAAGATGTCATGAGGGTGGAGACAGAGAAACCATCATAAAGCAATAGGGCATAAAGTCTGGGCTCTCGAGTCAGACACACCTGGGTTCAGATCTGAATTTCCATGGGCCTACATATGATCATGGGCAATTTAGTCATTTTAATCCAATTTTCTCACCTGTCAAATAGGGAGTGGAGGATGACTACAGCCTCACCGGTTGTTGTGAGGATTAAATAAGGTAATATATATGAAAAAAGTATCTGGCACATAGTACGTGCTCAAAAACAGTTATTTTATCTTCCCTTCTTGAAAATTTCCATGGACAGAGATTTGAGTTTCTCCTCAGAAACCTCTCCATAATTATAGCTCTCCATAGCTAAGAGGGTTTTCATGTCCAATTAAAGTTGGTCACATTTTACTTTGTCTGCTCCCTGTTGCTCAGCACTCTGGGGACATAGAGAGCTCAGCAGCCTTTTCAGAAAACCCCTCAGACACTTGAAGAAAATATGTTGAGTTTTGGTTCAATAGCAACCTTAAGATACCTTAAGGATAGAAGAAGATGCGATACGGAATGGGGATGTGTCAGAGGCCTGAGCTCAGAGTTAGGATTGTTCACCGTGCAAGATAACATGGTAAAAGCCACCCACCTACCTTGTGGGGTCTGCTGGACACTTTGTAGTGAATGTTTACTCTGTGCCAAGCATCGTGCCATTTTCTTTAAATACCTTTAAGTGTTACAGGAACCCTAAGAGGCAGTTATTATCATCACACTTTTCCTTCCCTGAGTTTGCTGGATGGGGAAACTGAGGCTAAAGTTCACTCAGCTATTAAGGTGCAGGGCCAGGAACTGGGCCCATGTCTGTATCTGAACAAAACTGTAGTGCCTCTGTAGTCTGTGAGGATGCAGAGCCTCAGGCTCCACAATAAATAGGATTTATCTGAAGCCTGAGGCATTAGCTTCAGGGATTTTTCAGTTGGTAAAGAATGTGAAATTCTGAGAAAAAAAGCTACTGAAGAAGGCTATACAATGGTCTTTTCCTGAATACCACACCATCTGGCACCCCTTTTGGAGTATGGACCCTTAGCACACGTGAAAATGTTGACTCCTGCAATCTTTCAGGGCATGCATGACAATTTTCTACAACTCTGCTATGTCCACCCTTGCTTTTGGAGGGGATGTTTACAATCTGTTCGAGAGGGTGCTGCTTGAAAAGTAGAAGCATGTGCTGTTTTCCAAACAATAGGTGAGAAATGTATTTACCTACTGAACGTACAAATTAAACTTTTCTTTAGGACAAGCTGAAAAGTACCATGTATTCAGGACCATAGTGAGATGAAAGCAGGTATGTGTGCTGGTTGTCCTGTAGACAGAGGGGTTCAAAGAATCTTTCTGGGAATTAGGCTAGTTTCTCCCCTGGGACTAGGGCAACACCCTAACAGTCACAGCTCAGCTATGTCCTTGTCTAGAGAGTTAGCTCTGGTATTTTCACTTGAGGAGAGAGGCTCTCCTCTGGAGCTGAGGGCAAAGCCTATATTAGAATTATGCAAATGAACACTTACAAGTAAGGGCCAATGTAAACAAGTCATCAAGCGGTGAATGGTTAGCATATATATTAGAACAAAGAAAAGAACAATGCAGGCTTCCAGTACTGTGATTGCTATGTATGACTCATGGGCTTTGATGATGATGAAACAAGCTAATGCTTCTAGGAGAAGACACTGCAAGAAAGGAAACAGAATTTGTTTTAATGCATAGGGGCTATTAAGAAAAAACAAACCTATTAATTGTCAGAATGTAAATCTGATTATATTGCAATTGTCTGTATTGTTTTGCACATTTTATTTAAAATTTTAGAAATATTTTTAAGAAATGAAATAATAAAAATGCACACAGTATAGAAGGGTAAAAAAATAACTTGTTTCTTTCTTCTCCCTCAGCCCAACCCTAGTCTATCTCCTTAAAAGTAACCACTGTTCACAGTGTATATTTTATACCAGAAAAAAGTATGTATATACAGGTAGAATAACTATATATTGATTTTGACAGAGTGAGAGAGAGCTCCAGCTTTCTTTCCAAACAGCTGTTGATTATTCCAACATCATTTATGGGGAATCACCAGTATTTTCCCTACTGATCTGATATTCAATCTTTATTATATACTAAATTCTCAGGTGTATTCAGGCCTTTTTTGGGACTGCTCTCTTCCACTGATTAGCCAGTTTCTTCTCAAGTACTTTTGAAATTACAGGAAATTCATTTTTTATCCTATTATCCGACCTGGTGTCCCTTTCAGTACTCATTCTGAGATGGTGTATGCCTACCATGCTTGTCTCGGTCAAGTTCCCCAAACTAAGCCAATTGGTATTTTAATTGAGATCTCATTTAATTTATAATCTGGAAATTTATTACAATATTTAGTCTTACTATTCAAGAACAAAGTATCTCCTTCCAATTATTTTAGTGGTTTTTAAATATCTCTCAGTGGAGTTTTAAAGTTTTCTTCATATAGGTCTTTCACATTTATTTCATTTTATGTTAGATATTTTATTTTGACTGTTATAAAGAAAAAAAATTCTGTTTTAAATGCTTGTTTGTGCATTTTTACTAATGAGTTAGTAGAATTATCTTGCTCTAAATCGTTTCCTAGTCTTTGAGTTTTTTAGCTATATGACCTTATCAGCTAAAATATATTTTGCCATTTAAAAAAAATATATTATTATTTTTTCCTAATTGTGACCACCAGAAAAATATTGAATAACAGCATTGGTAGTGGGTATCCTCTTTGTTCCTCATTTTAATGGGAATATTTCTGATTTTTAATTATCTATAATGCTGACTTTTGGGTTTATTTTAACAAGTCAATGAAATATCTATGTATTCCTATTTTACTGGTTTCTTCTCTGTCTCCCTCTTTTGCAATCAGAGATGAATGTTGAATTTTGTCAAATGTGTTTTGTATCCTACTTGATATAATCTAATTTTTTCTCCTTTTACTTATAATATGGTAGATTAGTTTAATAGGTTTAATATTGAATCATCCTATGTTTCTTCTTCATGGTATATTTTTAAAAAGTACTGATGAGTATTTTCTGCTAATATATTATTAATACTTATTGCTTTGATACAAGTGAGATTTCTATTTAGTTTTCTTTTTCTGAATTTGGTCAGATATTTATATCAGTGTTATACTGACTTTGTAAAAACAAAGTTTTTCTGTTTTTTGAAAAACTTTGAATAGTATCAGAATTACATCCATGAAGGTTTGAAAGAGTGAGCCTGTGAAAAAGCCTGGGTCTGATACTTTTTGCAAGATACTCATTTGATAAGTTCTCATTTTGTTCTGTGTTTATACTGGTCTGTTTAGGTTTTTCCCTATTCTGGGATCAGTTTCGGTAATTTATATTTTCCTCAAAAATCAACTATTTCATCCAATTATTCAAACTTACTTGTTTTGGGAAGTACTCTGTGGACCCTTTCAGCTTCACTGTTGTTTGCGATTATTTTCCTTTTCTGGTTTCTAACTTTGCATATATGCCCTGTCCTCATTTTTTTTCCCTGTTACCTTGGCCAGTTACCTTGGCCAGTGGTTTATCAATTTTATTGGTCAATTCTATTATTTGTGTTTGCTAATGTACACATTTCTGCTATTATCTTCATTGCTTCCCTAATTCCCTTTGTGAGGGGAAACCTGAGAAATAGAAAAGTAAGACCGTAAAAAAATAAGCCAAGTTTAGTAGAAAGGTTTGACTGTGTGGGAGGAGCAAGGGGAAAGGGGGAGGAAAGGGGAGGCAGAAAAGGGTGATTGGCAAAGGGACCTAGGGCAGCTTTCCCGAGGCCGGGGACTGCCTCCTCTCAGCTGGGTCACCAGCTCTCTCTGCTCACCAGCCTTACGACCTTCAGTATTCCCGTGGGCGTGAAGAAAAAATGCTTGCAGCTGTCCCTGATTTGGGGCGGGACTCTGGCCCGGCCCTCCGCATGCTTTAGGATGGCCTCCTTCTCCGATTCGCTCAGGGGGTATTCTTGGGATTCAGCGGGCGTCTGGCCTAGGGGGCCTGGGGGCGTCTTTGAGCTTGCAGGTTTCTGCGCCAAGGGTGCTCCTTGCGCTGAGCGCTCTGGACGCCTTGGAGCGGATTGCTTGGTGCCTCCCGGGCGCTTCTTGGTCTGTTCCCGGGATTTCAAGTTTTTTGAAGGTTCCTTGGCGCCTTTAGAATTCATGGTGGCTCAGGGCCTGGCTATGTCAGGCTGGCCTTCGTTTCTGACCCTGCACAGCGGAGGTGGCTGGCTCTCTCCTAGTCACCAGCGTTGAGCCCCAACGGCTGCCTATCCGTCGCGCGCACCCAGCTCTCGCTGCCCTAGGACAAACCAAGCCCTCCAGCCACCCTCATTGCCACCCTGGATGCAAAGCCACTGCCTAGCCTGGGAACTCTGGGTTACAAACCCACCGCCTCTGTGCTGCCAGCCAGTCAGGAAGAGGGTTCGGAGACCATGTAGGGTAGTCCTGGCGCCTTCTTCTCTGCCACTTAGGCCCAGAGCTCCCTTGGAAGTTACAACAAGGGTGCATGCTGGGTGCAGAGTTCCTAAATCTCATCTTCCAGCTCCCATATTGAGATTAAAATGAGAACAACTACAGAAATTGTGTGGAAGAATAGAGATATGTTTAATACCTAGCATTAACTACAAAGGAATATAACGTTACAAAACTTATATTTTGTCAGGACTTTTCTGATAAGGACCACTCGGGTTAAATAGAAGCTTCCGGTAAATGAGGGCCCCGTCGGCAATGCAGCACACCGCTGTCAGGAGTCCAAACACCTGGAAACAAAGACATAGTGTCACTGCTATGGCTGTGATCTGGACTCCCTGTCACTCACACAGGTTTTAAGTGATCCGGCATCGGCTTCCTCTCCTGCTAGGTACTGGGATTGCTCCCTACTCTGCCACCTCATACTAAAATAAAGATACCTCAGCGATCATTTTATTGTCATCCCCAAGTTTCCCAATACCTGCCTAGAGAAAGGGAAAAGATAATTTAAGTGGGCAGCAATGATACTGAAGTAGTGTGGGCTCTGAAATAAATACTTGTCTGGATCTCTTGATTTGCACCTGGATGTGTTGTTTTAAGGCCCTACTGATATTTAGTTATTAGTTAACATTTATATCTCGCATGTTCAACTGTTTGACTTTCCTACCGCAAACTTTACTGGAGAAAGGGTCAACGTTAACACCAGCTCGAGATGGTGATAGTAGCTGTGATGAAAGCTTTGGAGAACTGGAGTGATAAGATGATCCAAAGTAAACTCTCAAAGACTGGGCTACATCCATGTAAGGGGTGGGATTCTAATTTTTTTTTTTTTTTTAGCTGAGCCATCCTGCCACCTATTGGCAGCTCAGCGGCTGCTCAGCTTGGGCCGGGACTCGAACCGCTGTTGCTCAGAGCTCAAACTCTTGAGCGAGCTCTTAACCAACTGAGCCACTCGGCCGGCCTAGGGGTGGGATTCTAAATAGGCCTTAGGAAAATGAAATTGAGGTAAAGGGAATAAACTAGAACATGGTCTTTAAGTACTCTGATAGCTATTTGAGAGTTGGTGGCTGGGCTTGGGCTGGGGAAGGGAGATGTCATATTTCTTGCATGCTGTTTGGTCCAGCTCCATCCAATGGCCTGAAAGTCTGGATTTCTGGCCTTAGACACTGCTCTTTTTCCACCCTGAATCTCAAGTGGGCTTCCTAGGTTCTGCACACTAAGTACTTTCTACCTATACTTTCATGACTCTGGTACTCTCTGTTGCTGGTTCCTCCACCTGGAACCATTCCCGCTTTTTGCCTTTATTCCTGCAATTCCACTGTCGGAGAGTAGTTGCTTCCTGTTTTCTGTACCTTGAAGTACTGTCAACACCTTACATATTGCTGTTTGCACTTTTTCTCCTATATTACGCTCTAAGCAACTTGAGGAAAGGGCTCACGTACTAGTCCATTGCTGTCTAAGTGAAATATATGAGTCACCAATGTAAGCCACATCATTAATTTAAAATTTTCTAATAGCCACACTAAAAAGTGAAGAAAAACACGTGAAATTAATTTGAATAATATATTTTATTTAGCCCTATATATCCAAAATATTATCATTTTAACCTGTCATCAATATAATAAATTTATTAATGAAATATTCTACATTCTTTTTTTGGGGGTAGTAAGTCTTTAAAATCCAGTGTGTATTTTACATGTACAGCTCATCTCAATATAGACCAGCCACATTTCCAGGGCTCAATAGCCACATGTGACTAGTGGCTACCACACTGGACAGCACAGCTTTATACTTTGTCAGCATCTACTGAAGTGCACTTAAAGAACGAATGACTGACTGACTGAATGAATGAGTAAGTGAATGAAAGTAAATCCTATGCCTGATCTCTCTTTCTCCATAGTAGAGGGATAAAATTATTTTTAACGACAACTGGGGGAAATTGCTGTTACAGCACAATCTTATTTCTAGAGTAATTCCCATCCCTCATGAAGTTGCTTAGGGCCTAATAAGGGAGATGAAAAAAACCATGGATTCTGACATACATGGCTGTCTGAGAGCAGTCGGTTCTCCTAAGTGGCCCATACTAGGAAAAGACAAGGAAGTATGAGGGTGATTTATTTAAGGAGAACTTTTCAGTTCACTTCTCTAGATCAGAACCTAGAAAGGTCAAATGATTTTGAGCCTCCTATAACAAATCTGAGAAGAGTATCAGATAGGACTGTTTCAACTACATTACTTGACCCTTTTTTATTTTGGCTTGCCTTCTAGGATAAAGTCTGATAAAACTGATTTGCGTCCCTTCAAGCAGTGTTCAAAATAACCCTTTAGTTACAAGGCTTCCTACCATCACCTTATCATGAGGCATCTTCTCTTATATTCCATCTGAGGAAGGACCTGGTCAAGAAATAACCGAGCTCAGAAGAGCCTGTTTCACCTTAACAAGTGGTATGTATGTTTTTGTTTTTGTTTTTTAAAGTGAGAGCTCTGAAACTCATTCATGATGTTTTTGCTTGACATCATATTTCTCAGCGCTACGTATTGTAACTGATTTCCGTAGCTTTTCTCAGTCTAGCTCTACATACCTATGAGAAATATGTAGGAACATCTATTTGGTTAACTTCATTTAAGTGTGAAATCATATTCCTTCATGTTAATCAGGGCATGTATTCATACAAAAAAAAATTAAGTCACTGGGTACTATATCTGGCCAAGTAAATCTGAATTGTGATCAAACCTAAAGGAAGAAAGCAGAGAGACCTCCACTTACCCCTCCGAAGACTATAAATGTGTTTTCCGGTGTCAGTGCCAACACAGATATGATTATCATGAATATTGCCGTTACCAGAGAGTTGATAATATCCTGAAAACACAGAATAGAAAGGTTAGCATAATATGAAGACCACCGAAAGGAAGTGAATCAGCTTCCTAAAGATTTTGAAAGTTAACATTTTATTAAACAAGCGTATTTAGTGTTTATCTTTTAGGAAATCAAACTGACACAGTAAAATGCTACCGATATTGTATTTGGTCTACAGCGATGCCTGGTGGTTCTCTTAAGCTATGATATACCAACAATTTAACTACTTAACTACTTAACAGATTTCTTTCTTTCTTATGTAGTTGGAGGGAGAACTCATCTGGTTAGGAGTGGATGATATGTGGAAGATTTAAGGTAGAAGGGTATATTATGAAGTCAGAATGCTCACTTTTTAAAAATTTTTTATTTATTTTTATTTTTTTAGCTGAGTCATCCTGCCACCTGTTGGCATCTCAGCGGCAGCTCAGCTCAGGCCAGACTCCAACGCTGTTGCTCAGGGCTCACACCTTTGAGCGAGCTCTTAACCAACTGAGCCGCTCAGCCGGCCCCAGAATGCTCACTTTTAATAATATAAGAGAAAGTGTAAAGTAGTCTACACTGTAAATCAAACAACTTTATTTTACTAAAATGCAGTAAAACTTAAAGCAGTGCACACTTAGGAAAGAGGGGTCATTTTCAGGCACAGCTTCCATCTGTATGCAATGGCTGGCCAATTATGCTGCTATTTCTGATGATGTAGCTCATTCATTTAATGATTTCTTGAAATGAAGCATTTCATTCTGAACGGTGGCTTCAAGAGGTGCAACTTACATTTTGAATGGATATATAGTGTGGGGAAGGTAAACTGTCTTTATTCTGGAATGGTTTATGTATGTTTGCAGATAACTGTAGACAGGAAGGAGTTGTCAACACAGAACTATCAAACTTTAAAACCCTGGTAACTTAGAAAAGTAGTTATTAAAAAGAAAATAGGAAGAGGTTCAATGGAGACAGGTCAAGATTAGATACACTGAGGAAGAAAAAAAGTTCTCATTTGCAGGAGAGATTGAGAGTAGCTGTTCTAGGTTAATACCACTCCATACTGTACATTTTGCTCTGCTTCAAGGCAATAGAGTGCACCTCAACTTCAGACAGGCAGCCCCGCCTCCTGTGAGTAATTTGGGTATGTGTATATGAATGGCTTTGGATAAAAGTGGTGTTCTAGGCTGTATAGAGAACCACAGGAAAAAAAAAGGGGATGCACCTGCCCTGGAACACCAATGACCCTTAATCAATATGCCATGGAGGAGAATGTAAATTTAATGACAGAAATGCAGATTTCATAGAAATTTTGAGCCTGCACTTGGATACCACCACAAAACCCTGAGTTGGCTCACTTCGTTTTTGGTCAATGGAGCACTTGAGGGGAACAGTTAGAGAAGGCCTGCTCTCCTGACTGTCAGTTACTGTACCTTGGAGACAATGATACACATACTAAATCTGAGTGTGGATGACCGGTTCCTTTCCTCATCAGTGAAGTCTGGCTGTCATTCCCATGGCCACTCTGCGGGGACCTCATTCTGTTCATTACCCTTCTTTGTCCCTGACCCGGTTTCCTCAATTTAGTGGTGGCCTCTCTTGTTACAGTTGTCTCTCCTCCCCTACTCAGTCTGACTCTTCCCACCGCTTTACTGTCACCTGTGCACTTGAGGCAAACCACTTTGGTGCAGGTCACCAGGGGCCTCTATTACGGTAAGTCAGTGAATATTTTTCTGGACTTTATTTACACGTGATATTATTCACTCCTTCTATAATAGGAATGCCCCTCTCTTGGCTTCTGTGACATGGGTCACCCTTGGGTCTTCTCCTGCCTTCCTCTGGTCACTCCTCCTTTTCACCCTGTATGTTGGTATTTCCCAGTTTTACCTTCAGTTTGCTCTACACTCTCTCCGAGCCATTTAGGGCAGTCCCAGAGCTCATTTCCATCATGAGGTGATGACCCCCAAAGCTGCAGACCTGTTCTGAACATTTCCATCTGAATATCCCATACACAACGAAAACCTAGTAGTTGTCAAACTGAACACATTACATACCACTCTCCTTGGCCCTTCCTTAAAACCTTTCTTCCTCCTATACTTCCTATTTCATTTTCTTCTCAAGACCGTTATTCAAATGGCAGGTATCCTTGATTCTCTTTAGTTACCCAGTCCTATCCATTCTATTTCATTAATATCCCTTTTCTCTCCGGCTACTGTTATAACCTTAGTTCATGCCTTTATCATTTTCATGCCTGGATTACGGTAATAGACTTCTAAGTGGCCTCTGAGACCTACCTCTAGCTACCTCTCGTTTTGTTCCTCTGCAAGCCATTATTAACACTGCCACCAGTGCCATCTCCTAAAATGTAAGCTGATCATGTTACTCTCTTACTTAAAAACTTACAAAAGCTTTCAGTGGCCTTTGGGTTAAAACCCAGGGCATACAAAGCCTTGAGTGCTCTGACTTCCTCCTGCCTCTCCAGCCTCCACTCTTGCTCCCTCTCTCTTCTTCACAGTTCAATATCCCAGCCATTCAGAATGACCTACAGGCCTTTGGGGGTCATGGTCTTTCTCCCCCTACATCTCGCACACATTGCTCCCTCTACGGGGAAGCTAAAGGACCATATACTCATATACCTTAAATGCTGTCTTCAACTTGCCTGTTTTGACAGTTTACAGAATCACTTGGGCACTCCACTGGGCAGTGATTCCTAGTGCTATGAGTATGGTGGGTGAAATCCATATGCTACTAAATAAGGCTCTACAAGATGAGTTAAGAATTATTCAGCATTAATGATTGCAGACATTTTTAAGTAAGATAATTTTGTGCTTTATTGGGCCTCCCTAATTATTTTGATTTTCCATTTAGTGACCAGGGATGTGTAAGATGCAAATACTTGTGTATCTGCCTCCATCTTTTTCCCCCCAAATTTGAGGCTATATCAATGTGCATTTAAAAGGGAGGTAAAGATTAAGAATGTTCTATAATTGTATTAATCATGATCTTAACATTTAAATGTCTTTAGAAATCTACACTTAAGTGAATTCACCTAACAGAAGGGTCAGCCACATCTAGTTTTAGGAGAATTTATGCTGTGACTGCCCTGGTTCCGTGAGAATCTCTCCCAGGGACAGTACAGAGCACATTAGCATGGGTACAATTCCTCCTTCCTAAGCCTATCAGAGATTCCTTATAGGCTTAAGAAAACTAAAGAATAGAGTTTATTAAAATATTTCACTATGGCAGGAAAAGGTAGTTAATTTTAACAATGAAACTGAACACTTACAAGCAAAGGCCAAAATATACAGTCAATTAATCGATCAAGTCTAAGCATATATAAAATTATGAAAAAGAAAACAAGGGTGACTTCAAATCCAGTGATAACAATGTATGGTTCAGGGGCTTGTGAGATGATAAAAAAGGTCATAGATGTCACAGTTAGTCCCTATAAGGAAAAAAAAAGGATTTATTAAATGATATTGAATACAAGTTTAAGCTATAAAAATGATCAATTCTAAAATACCAAACTCAATGGGTTGCTGTATATGGCAAAAACCCGTTTATTTGGCTATTTACAACATCCTCACTAAATGCTCATCTATAACCTGTTGCCTTTTCTGTCTGGGAATGTACTGCCTTCCCAAGAAGCCATTTCATTTCTTTATATATATATTCTTCCTCATATTAAGCAGAACTGTTCCCCTGTAAATTTTAACTGTTTCCACCCCCTCACCTATATTGTCACTTCTTTAAAATTTAAAAATTATTTTTTCCTTCCCTTTTTTCTTGAATTCCTTCAACATATTCTCCTATGATAGTTTCCACCTCTCTAACTAGCCAGGTCACCTTGCTCCAAATGATGATTCATTCTCTCCAAACTTCTGTTCAGAACAGACTGCAATGCTCCTGGTAGGTCTGATGCCCCAGAAACTGGCAGTTCCATCGTCCTGGCTCTGGGCTGTATCAGCCTTGAGCTTGGTCACATCAAACTTCTGACTTACAGTAAGTAAACACAGAAGACATCGAAACCCCTTAGTCTTCTTATCTTGTTGGCTTTGGAGTGGTACAACTGCAGCTGCCCCACCTGGTAACCTGGGTACCTGGTTTTGGGTCTAAGTGCAGGCTAGGCCATTCAGGTAGATAATGCTGATTTTGCTTTGTGTGTGTGTGTGTGTGTGTGTGTGTGTGTGTGTGTGTGTGTGTGTAGTACCCCTGAAGGGCAGGACAGTGCCTTATTTCTCTCCTTCCCCCCTGGATGCATAGCGAAATGCCTTGCCTCTAGGGGGGCCTTGATAAAAACAAGGTTGGAAGAGAAGACAGGGCATCCTACTTCCTACCTTATAGCCATCTCACTGCCCGTGAGCATGGTTCCACACTGCCCCCAACCCCGCAGCTAAGCCCTCACCAGCCGCAGCATCTTCACGTTGCCTTTCACGCTGAAGCAGAAGGGGCAATTCTCCTGCATCAGCATCAGGGCTGGCATCACGCCGGTAGACCCAGCAGCAGCACTTGCCCTGCAGCGTCCCCCTCCTCAGCGCTCTGTTTCACCTGGCCTCGCGCAGCAGCCGCAACTGTTGCTGCTGCCTCGCACCGCCCTGTTAGGCTTCCCGCCCTCTCAAGCCCATGCGCATGTCCCCGCATCCCGCACTAGTGCGCATGCGCCCCAGGCCACGCTCTCTCGAGTTCGCCCTCTGCATTCACAGATATTGAGGAGAGGCACGCAGGCTAGCTCCCTGTTAGCACTGCCCAGCCCTGCCAGGCACCAGTGACAACTGCTGTCCAGCTCTCCACAGGAGCTTTCCTGTCAAGAAGTGCTCCCAGAGGTTAGGGCGGGAAGGTAAGGAAGGAGGGGTACAGGAGTGGCTGTCCTGCCACCCTAGACTCTGGGTATCTCAAATGCCACCTCCTTGGTTATTCCGTCAAAAGTAGCCACAATCACTCTCTGCTCAAAGCATTTTTCATTAGCTGGTATGTACATATCTTAAGAATCACAACTGCACAAAAGCAGGGACCCGCCAGTCGGCTTCTCCCTGCAGGGTCCCCAGGGTCTGGCATACAGTGGATGCAGAATATGTGTAGTCTGAACTAATGGCCTGGGCCTCATACCCTATCTCTACTCCCAGGGGGTCACGGTCTGGGTTTGTGAGCCTGTTTGCTGCATATTTCTTATTTTGACCTTCCACTGGTGCCTCTTCCATAGAACAGCCTGTGGTCCTTCAGATAATTTAGTTTGTATTTTTTTTACAAGCGCTCCTATGAAGCTTGGAGCCTTCATAGACTCCAAGTGGATATTTTGGAACCTTTCTTTTTAGGGCTATGAAGTATGTTTGGCTCCTTTTATGTGATATAAATTCTGTCGTGGATAATTTGGCCACAACTCCAGTTCATTCAGACTTCTTTGGACCCTGCCCATCTCAAATTCAGTCCATTTCATTCAGTCAAATGTGATCAGCAGGTACCTCTAGCAGCCTTATCCCATATCACTCACAAAAAATGTTGAATTTCATCTTGAAGTTTGTTTATGGAGGGCACACATTTGCCCTGTGGCAAATGGGCTTATGGCTTTCCAGTTACAGATCTAGAGGCTGAGTGAACCCTGTCACAAATGACTTCCTTTTCCCTGCACACAAGGTGACTTCTAGCATCTTGCACTCCTGAGAGAGGTGGGAAACCCCTCCACCCAAGCACTGCAGTGGGCACGCACACACAGTCACTGCTCCTTCCCGAAACACCTTAGGTTGCAAGGCCTGGGCCCTGTCTACCTCACACCGGGGCTGAATTTTTGCTACCTGACTATTGATGGGTTTTACAGGCTTCCTCCCCACCCCCCTAGTTTTCTGTCCAATATTGGTTGTGCCTTTGTTAAAAGATAAACTGAGGCATATTAAAAAGTTTTAAGAGTTTACTTGAGCAAAAATTCATTTGAATCGGGCAACATCCAGTCTAGCAGATGGAAAGGAGTTCCGAGGAGCTGTACAAAATGATAGACTTATATGCAAAAGGGAGCGGGAACAAGGAAGTTAATACTAGGCAAAAAAGCTTGCTGGTTATTGCAAGGTTACTTTCCTTTCGGGGATGACAGGGGTCTATCATGCAGATTACCTAACTAGGCAGATTGCACTAGTTAGCAATTCCTGATTGATTGGTTTAAGAAGCCATTTCTGGGAGAACCAAAGCTATAATTAAACTAAGTCTTGGTTTGGTGGTGTGGGGCTTTGTATAAATGACTCCATTTTGGGCCTGTTGTCTTGTTCTAGTTTTATTGATATATAATTGACATATAATATCCTGTTAATTTTAGGATACATCATAGTGATTCAATATTTATATACATTATGAAATGAGACCCATGATAAGTCTAGTTACCATCTGTCACCATATAGTTATTACGATATTATTGGCTACATTCCCTATGCTGTATATTACATCCCCATGACTTATTGATTTTATAACTGGAAGTTTCTACCTCTTAATCCCCTTTACCTGTTTCATCTGCCCCCTGCACCCCTTTCCCCTCTGGTAACCCTAGTTTGTTTCCTTATCTATGAGCCTGTTTTTGTTTTGTTTTGTTTGTTCATTTGTTTCATATTTTAGATTTCCACATATCAGTGAAATCATATGGTATTTGTCTTTCTGTGTTCAGCTTACCTTTCTTAGCATAATACCCTCTTTGTCATAAATAGCAATATTTCATTCTTTCTTATGGCTCCACACACACACACACACACACACACACACACACACACACACATATCTTCTTTATCCATTCATCTATTGATGGATATTTGGGTTGCTTCCACATTTTGGCTATTGTAAACAATGCTGCAGTGAATATAAGGGTGCATATATCTTTTTGAATTAGTGTTTTCATTTTTTTCATATAAATACCCAGAAGTGGAATTACTGGGTCATAAGGTACTAGTTCTATTTTTAATTTTTGAGGAACCTCCATACTCTTTTCCATAGTGGCTGTACCATTTTACATTCCCACCAGCAGTGTACAAGGGTTTCCTTTTCTCTACATCCTTACCAACACGTGTTATTTTTTTGTCTTTTATATAATAGCTATTCTGACAGGTGTGAGGTGATATCTCATTTTGGTTTTGATTTGCATTTCCCTGATGATCAGTGATGATGATCATCTTTTCATGTGCCTGTTGGCCATCTGTATCTCTTTTTGGAAAATGTCTATTCAAGATCTCTGCCCATTTTTAATTCAGGTTGTTGGTTTTTTTGATGTTAAATCGTATAATTTCTTTATATTTTTTTGGATATTAACTCCTTATTGGATGTATGATTTACAAATATCTTCTCCCATTTAGTAGGTTACCTTTTCATTTTATTGATGGTTTCCTTTGCTGTGTGTACAAAAGCATTTAAGTTTGATGTCATCACATTTGTTTATTTTTGCTTTTGTTGCCTGAAGAGACTGGTCTAAGAAAATATCTAAGAAGATATTAAAGAGGTTACAACCTATATTTCCTTATTGGAATTTTATGGTTTCAGGTGTAACATTCAAGTCTTTAATCCATTTTTAATTTATTTTTGTATATGGTATAAGATAGTGGTCCAGTTTCATTCGTTTGCAAGTAGATGTTCAGTTTTCTCAGCACCACTTATTGAAGAGATTGTCTTTTCACTATTTTACATTCTTGCCGTCTTTGTCATAGATTAATTGACCATATATGCGTGGATTTATTTCTGGGCTCTCTATCCTATTCCATTGATCTGTGTGTCTGTTTTCGTCCAAGTACCATAGTGTTTTGATTATTATACTTTAGCTTGGTAGTATAGCTTGAAATCAGTGAGGAAGCTTTGTTCTTCTTTCTCAAGATTGCTTTGGTTATTCAGAGTTTTGTAGTTCCATATAAATTTTAGGATTCTTCGTTGTCTTTTTTTTTTTTTAACACCTTCCTGAGTACACTTACAGTCCAGGCTTTGCATACGTCAAAGTTCAGAAAGAGAGAGTAGCATGTGAAGCAAGATAGATGGGCTTGAATTCCAGCTCCACTCTATACTGAATGCTTCTGATCATTTAAACAAGTTAGCTGTTTCTAAAAATCAGCTCAACTCCGAGAATGGGAGTGACAAAACCCACTTGCAGGGTTGTTGGGAAGAATAAATGACACCGTGTGTGCCAGGTGTCTAGATAGAACATGTGCTCAATTAAGTAATCTCCAAGAATTATTAACCAACCAGTCACTGGTATTATTGGCCATCTATCCCCCAGTCTTACCAAATCATGAGTTCATTCTGCTAGCGTCCCATTAACGGGAAGATTTCCTGGATGCAAACAGCGAATCCCTCATCCTGAATTCTGTTCCTGTCGGAGAGAGGGTGAAATGCGACGGGGTCTCTTTAAGAGCCCTGGCCCAGCAGGCGCTCCGGCGAGGCGGGCGCCGCGATGGAGGCGGCGCTGCGAGGCTGGCCAGCCAGCTACCGGGCTGGCCGCACTCGCGCTGATTTGTAACAACTCGCACAGGAAGTCGGGACCCGCGGGATCAGTCCGCGGAGTCATGCTGATGCAGCCGCTGCGGAGCTGCGCTAACCGCCTGCTTTGCCGCCAGGGTCTCCGGGGCCCCGCCTCAGGCCCGGAACCGTGCGGGGCGCAGCGCTGGGCCTGGCCTTGGGGTAACGCATCTCTCTGTTCCACTTCGCTGGCGGATGGATGCAGCCCAACGCCTTGGCGCTCAGCGGGGTCCCCCCCACTTCCATCCTTCAGCTCCCGGGACCCGCCTGGGACCGGCCTGAATCCGGAGCGCCTCTGAGGCGCTGGGAGGGGCGGGGACAGCCATTGGCTGGTATCCCATACGTGAGCTGGCAGCGAGCGGATGGGGCTTTGGGGCTCCGGGCCGTCCACTGTTTGGAGCTTGGGAGCCCTCTAAAAAGCAGAAAGAACCCCACTTACCATGGAGGGAGGGACTGCTCCAGTACCCCATCCCACTCCTGGTCTGATTCTTTTGGCCTTGGAGGAGGTGGCGGGGACTGGAAGCTGCAGATAACCAGCGCCCAGCGAGTGGTGGGTGGGGTAGGTTCCTGGGTGGGGTAGGTTCCGGTGCCCGCCCTATCTCACAGGGAGTGGATACTCTCCCCTTCAGAAATGGAAACCAGTGTTATAGCCAAGTTGTGACATTCTTTGGCCTTGGGCTGTTCGGTGACACCTCAGAACCACCTGTGTGGTTGGTGGGCTGTGATGTCAGCCCTGGACCTAGAAGAGAAACCCGAGTCCTTGGTGGAAACCTGAGACCTGGGCCGAAACCCGATGCCCACAGCCAACGCTTACCATGCAGTGCGAGTGGAAGCCACTCTGTTTTAACTTGCTGGCCACCCATCTGTGAAGACAAATATAAAATGTGTGGAAAATGGGAAGTGTAATATGCAGAGTGAAAAATGCTGAGCACAGTTGGGGCCCAGACTTGCCGACAGAACGCAGGCAGCAGTTGCAGTGTTACACAGAGGTCAACAGCTGTAGTGGGTCTGTGTCCATCTACCCATGGAGGGTCCCAGGTGTCACTGCAAAACATTTTTCGGTCAGGGAGCAAGCATAAAAATTACTGTTTTTGTGATCGTTGAGCATATTAGGACAAGGAACATTGAAATCATTTAAAACACTTTAAAAGTTGATTTCCTTTCTTTTGTAGGTAAAGAAAATGAAAAAGAGAAAAGGTCATTGGTAAGTCACTTTTTGCTGTGCACTCTCCAGCGTATAATAATATATATCATATACACATGATACATACAAATAAATTTTTTTTCTTAGGGAGGGGAATGAAGGAATATATGGACATAGTAAAAAACATACAAGAGGATCTTCAGGAATAGAGAAGTCTATCTCCATCCCTGGGCCTCAGACTCCCTCTCCCCAGAGGCCATGGGGTGTCTTATATGATGGAATATTATTCAAAATCATGTTTTTGAAAAATATTTAATGACTTGGGAAGGTACTCATTATGTAAGAGATGAAAAAAAAAAGCCAAGGATAATATATGAAGTATGAGCCAAACGAAATAATATATAAACTATCCATAGGAAAACAAAAACCAGGCAAGAAATATTACAAACTGTTAATGCAGAAATTTTCAGTCTGGTTAAGGGAAAATGGGATATATTAACAGTGGGTGTGTATGAGAGAAAGGGAGAGAGAATTTGGGGGACGAGGAGTCTTCCCTTATTAGTTATTTGACTGTTAAATGAAATTAAACTGGGTTTCTTTTTTTAAAAAAACAGCTTTATTGAGTTTCATTTCCATATCCTCAAATTCACTAATTTTAGGTGTACAGTTCTGTGAGTTTTAGTAAATTTACAGTCGTGCATCATCACAACAGTCTAATTTTAGAGCATTTCCATCACTAGGAACAGAAACCTCCTCCCCTTTGCAGTCACTCCTCCCCTCTCCCCCCCTTCACTGTCTGGCTTTGCCTTTTCTGAACATTTCCTATAGAACGCAATCATATAGCATTTGGTCTTTTGGGTCTAGCTTCTTTCCCTGAGCATAATGTTTTCAAAGTTCATCCATGCTGTAGCAGGTATTAGAACTTCATTCCTTTTTATTGCCCAATAGTAATCCATTGTGTGGATGTACTTACACTTTGTTTATTCACCAGTTGTTGGATATTTGGGTGCGTTTCCTTTTTACTACAGATGTCTCAGGGTCTTTAATAGGACCCTTTAATAGGACAATATCTATTTTGGTTCTTCTGGTAGGGGCTTTGGAGCCTGAGCCTGTTTGTTCTGGAAAGCTTGGTTCTTGTTAAACATCCAAGTGGTGCTTATCTCTGGAATTATGAGTGACTTTTATTTTATTCTCTTAGTTCTCTGTTTTTCTTATTGTGGGGGCGCTTAACTTCTATTTTCAGAAAATATTAAATGTTGTTATTTAAAAATAAGGCTTGGTGCAGCAAAGCAGTGTTAGTTATAGTCATGGGAAGTTGGAATCAAGGTCTAGTAGCCCAGGAAAGTGGAGGTAAACTTTGGCACAACACAGAGTGGTGGGCTGGGCCGGCCACGCGCTAAACATCTTTCCTTGTAATCTCCTGTGACTTTCCTCCCACTCATTGTGAGCTCTGCTTGTGCTGGGACTGGCTCCTGAGTCCACAGTGCCTGGCACATTATAGGCCTTCACTGAGCAGTTGAAAGACTCTCAAAGATCAGAAACTATAGAAAAAACTTGCCTGAAATACGCTGAAATGTACTGATGTTTTATCTCTCAGTAGTGGATTATGGGTGGTATTTTCTACTTGATGATTTTTTTCTATTTTCTCCAATAGGCATGCACTCCTCTTATAACATTTTGGACATTGCTTTAAAGAAATATTGATCTCGCCTTGGGTTCTCATTTTTTTTCCCCTCCATGACACGGGAACTTGGTGAGATTCTTCATGCCTTGCCTGCTGTACCAGGAAAACCAGTTGTTAATTAAAGGCCTTAGATTTACCAACTTTCAGGATTTCATGGTGGGAATTGGAACAAGTATTTTGGAAGAAGGTCTCATCTGAACAATATATTCTTTGCAGTGAACAGGAGAGGAACAAAGTCTGTGCAGAATGATGTTTGGTTGAGCCCTTTTTAAATATCGAGGAAGAGGAGAAGTTGTTTCTTTAAAGAACAATAAACAACCCAAATCTACTAGTTCCCTAATGGGATCGCCCTTGTGTGTACTTGCTTAGGTTCCTTTTGTAGTTTTGAGCTCCAAAGGAGTGAGCTGGCAGGGTGCCGGGATTGGAGGGTGGCCTGGCATGTGTTGGAAGTGTATTGGCCAGCTCTCTTGGATATCCTATAGGTTCAAGGCAGAAGGAAACCTTCAGAGTTGACTGACAGAGTTTACAGTGGGTGGGACAGGGTGAGACAGCCCACTCTGACCCCATGTTTAATGAAGGGTGTGACTAGGGCTCCACTAGGGTCATGAGAAGGTCTGCCAGGCCTGGGTGTGATTTCTAATTCTTTCTCCTGCTAGGCCCGGCACCTTGGGCACGTCACCTAAGTGGCCGACATGTCTCTGGGTGCCTCCAGCCTGGGTGTAAAGGTCACTGTGCAGCAGAATGGGTCCTTCTCTGACTGTGTGTGCCCCACGGACATCTAATATGTGTTCTCCGAGGCCAGTTTGTTATCTTATTTGGAAGTGCCCATTTTCTCTTGTGATCTACTGGAGCCGACACCACTTGGCCCATGTCACCAGCAGTACCTGGCTGAGCAGAGCCTTGTCAGAATCGCTGGGCAGCAGGCTTGAGAACCCCAACCAGAGTCTGATTCAGAGGGTCTCGGTGTGCCTCTGGTGCTTGTCAAGCAGGGTGCCTGTCAGCCAGTGATGCTCAGCCTTCCTGCACATTGAAATTACCCGGAGACCTTTACAAGGTACTGAGGCCTGAGTCCCACCTGAGAGATTGTGCTGTAATTGATCTGGGTTGTAGCTTCCTTGTACAGATTTTCAAAAGCTGCCAGGTGATTCTAGCATATATGCAAGACCGAAAACCACCGCCTCAAATGCTTTTTCTCCCTACAGTGAGGTACTTGTAGGAGGTTCCTTGGTTTTTGGTATAGATTGGCCTGAGATGGCTGTCTGTGGCCCCTCCATCCAGTGCCATGACACCTCTCTCCCACAGTGCAGTTAGTATGAGCAGAGTATAGGTTCAAGCTGCCCTCCCTGCTTTATTCCCCTTCTTCAAGCCTCATTAGTCTCCTTTGTGAAAATGTTAGGATCCACTTCCCAGGTTTTGGTGAGGTTAAATGTGGTAATGGTGTATGCTACCCATCTTAGGGCCTGGCCTGCAACAAGGTGCTCAACCAACTCCTTCTCTCCTGTCTTAATACCTTCCAGTCCATGGCTGAGGGTGTTTCCTGCGCAAAGCAGTGAGTTAGGGTCTAGATAACATATACCTGCTTACCACCTCGAAGCCATTAGGCTCTAGTTAAGAAGGCAGGACACTTAGAGCTAAAATCTTAAGAATCTGAGGAGTTGAACTAGGGAAGGGCAGAGCTAGGGGGTGAGGGCAAACTGTGTGTGTGGTCTAGGGTTTGACATAAGGGAGGGTCTGTCATGGAGGGCAGTGGTCTGGTGGCCACTAGCAGTGGGCCTGGAGCCTACCACTGGAGGGGAGGGTCAGTTTGTGTATTACTAACAACGGGACCTTTGCGGTTTCCTGTGGAGGATTGTTGTGTACACACTGAAGTCTTAGACTGAAACAATTATGCTGTTCACCTGAGCCCTTCCCTAGAAATTCTTCCTGGATATTCCTCCAGGTGCTTGTTTTCTGGCTGTAATATGCACTTGTCTTTTGCCAGGTATGTGTGGAGGGCAATATTGCAAGCGGGAAGACGACATGCCTAGAGTTCTTCTCCAGTTCAGCAGACATCGAGGTACGGTCTCCACACCGGGTTTGAAGTAACCTGCCAAAGCTTGACAGAGTAATTTATTGGGGGTGTAGACCAACCCTGTCCAATAGAAACATAATACGGGCCACAAGTGCAAGCCACATGTGGAATGTAAAATTTCTAATAGCCTCGCTAAAAAAACCAAAGAGAATGTTTTATTTAGCGTAACCTATTCCAGATATTACCACATCAACAGGTAATCAATATAAAAATCATCAATGAGCTATTTTGTGTTCTGTTTTTCATACCAAGTCTTTGAAGTCTGGAATGTATTTTATATTTATAGCATGTCTCACTTTGGACTAGCCACATTTCAAGTTCGTAATAGCCACATATGGCTCATGGCCACTGTATTGGACATAGAGCTCCCCAGAGTCTGGTTAGGAAGTCTGCATGTGAAAGAAGCCAGACTATTGAGCATGGCTACAATGTTGCAGTGGTACATCTAAGATATCAGGTAGCATTACTATGTGTAGCCAATTAACATAATTTCTAGTTTATTTGCAGCACAGTCACTAAAAATAACCTAACAGATGTTTAAAAATTGTCTCAACACCAAGACCCGGACCCTTTGTCCTTGTTGTATTGGGTTGTCGGAAAAGTCATGACGTATTTTTTCTGTTTTTTGTTGCAAAAATGCGTCATGACTTTTCCAACAACCCAATAGATTTTAGCAGTGTAATCTCTGTTTACGGCTCTGCAGATCCTATAATTTCCATACCTTTAGAGTGTTTTTCCCCCCCTTTTTTCCTTTCCTGGTTTTAGTTCTGTTAAAAAGATACATGGTTTGATAAAAATAATAAACATTCTTTAGCCCTTGTCTTCTTTATGTTCATGCACTGTTGTGCAGAAAAAAATAAACATAGCAGGCCTGAGACTCCTATCCTTAGAGGCTAGCTTGCAAGGTTGGCCCTTGGCTGGCATGTGGGAACTTAGATTTTGCGTGAGTTCCCTCCGTTTCCTAACTGATAGGTGTAGCTCTCTGTGCCTAAATGGCGCAAACAATATGGTTTATTCTGCACACCTGCGTTCTTTCTGGAAGTCTGGAATTTTCATACGTATCAGGCAGAGGCTGCCTGTATGACTGAGCCCTGACAAAAACCCTGAACTACCAGGCTCAGGCCAACTTCGCTGGTAGACACCATTTCACAAGTGTTGTCACAAGTTGCTGCTGGGGAAATTGAGTGTGTCCTGTGTGACTCCCTTGGGAGAGGCTCCTTGGAAGCCTGCCTGATTTTCCCCAGACTTTGCTCCATGTGCCCTTTCCCTTTGTTGATTTTGCTTTGTATCCTCTCACTGCAATGAATCTTAGCTCTGAGTACAACTTTGTGCTGTGTTCTGTTCTCCCGGTGAATTACCATATCTGGGGAGGCGGGGGTCTTGGGGACTCCCAGTACCCCCGTCCTGAGTGGTGTAACTCCCAGTGGCACTTTAGAAGTACATTTGACCCTGGAACAGCATGGGGATTAGGGACACCAACTCTGTGCAGCCAAAAATTGTGTGTAACTTTTGACTCTCCCCAAACTGAACTACTCTTAGTATCTGTGGGGGATTGGTTCCATGACGCACTGCAGATACGAAATTCTGCAGGTGCTCAAGCGCCTTATGTAAAATGGCCTAGGTCATGGATACAGGCAACTCTCCACATCTGTAGACTCCCAGCCACAGATTGAAAACAGTATAGGTATTTATTTTAAAAAATGCATGTATAAGTGGACCTGCGCAGTTCAAATCCGTGTTGTTCAAGGGTCAACTGTACTTGTATTCTCACTGGAGGCCTTGGAGCAGTGAACAACAACAGTAATAATAACATCAGTGATAGTTAATATCTAACACAGGCACTGTGTTGAGGCCTGAGTGGTACAGCATGTGCTACTCAGGAGACAGGAATGGGATGCTGAGGACCCAGAAGAAGGAAAAGGGGTAGAGAATAATTCACAGAGGAAGGGATATTTGAACTGGATTTTGAAGGATGTATAGGAGTTTTCCATGTAATGAAAGTTGATGTGAAATGAGGTGAGGTGGGTATATTGGGCAGGAGGACTAGCCTGAGCAAAGGCACAGGGGCCTAAAAGAGGGGAGGTTACTCTTCAAGGGTCCTGTGTATTTTTTTCCTTTGGTCTTCTGTGACTTACGGTACCTGCTCACATGCACTTGAAGGTCCTCAGACGGATTTGGGTACTCTCAAAGTCTTGGACTCAAGAACACCACTGAGAAAGCTGTAGTCTGACGTGTCTGAAGTAGCTTCTCTTACCTCCCTGCCCAGCTAGACGTGGGGGGCAGTAAGGGCTGGGGTGGAGCAAATGGTGGAGGGATTGAGAGTACGTGCCTTGCTCTCAGGGAGCTCCTAAGGCAGCTGGACAGGTGGCATGTGCACATACTTGTATATAAGGATGGATAGAGTTGTATTCAAATCATTTCTGGAAGTCATATGAGGAAGCCATGTTTAGATGGAGCTGTGGCCTTACACAGAGGGTAGCTCAATTATTTTGGCTCACCTTGGGCGCCCAAATCTTTAGTCTCTCTCTCCCCACCCCCCAAACGCTTACCCACTTTCACAGAGCTCAGAATTGAAGAACAGCAACTCGCTGATGTTTCCTTTCCTTGCAGGTGTTACCGGAGCCTGTGCCCAAGTGGAGAAATGTCCGTGGCCATAATCCTCTGGTGAGTGTGTTGTGTCCTGTGTGAACCACCAGCTTCCTCTCAAGCACCTGGGAATGGTGGTGCTGGTGCCTGAGCCCAGCCTGCCCCTTACCCGGGCATTTTCTTCGCTCTTAGCTGGGTTGGAGGAGGAGACAAATGGAAAATGGCGGCTTGGTGGTGCTCTGAGGTCAAGGACTTCAGAGGCTTTGCTGAGCATGTGCAGATCCTAGGGCCATCCTGTCAGTGATCCCAAACTATCCCAAGTGGTCAGCTTCAGCTACTGGGGGCCTCTATCTCCTGCTGCTCTTTCTACTCCCACCCTCTCCTAGAAGAAACCCATTTTGACCCAAGTCTCCTCAGGCCTAGCTCTCCCAGGACCTGTCTCCTTGGTGAACCTCTGATTTGGGTTTGCTCTTGGCAATGTCCAGAGGCTGCCTCTGGCTCGCCCTGAAGCTACCTGTCTGTTTTCCCAAGGGTGGACCTAGCAAGCAGGGGCTATAGTGTGCCTGTGCCGGCATCACTCATTCCTTGTTCAGAAGCCTTTGCTGTGGCTGCTTGAAAGAGAAGGGTGGAGTCTGGGTCCTATAAGAGGGAGCTTAAGAAAGGACTCTTGGTCCTGGGCACCTGCCCCATGAGGTAGGGATGTAGTTTCGTTTTTCAGTTGGGGGAACTGCAGCTGCAATAAGTTGCCCAAGGTCTCACAGCTGGTAAATGACAGATCTATGTTTAAACCTTGGACTCTGGGGAGGCTGTGCCGTCCCCTCATTTCTAGCAACGCAGTTGGGATCTCCTTGTATGGTTCTTTAGTATATGTGCTGCAGAAGCGAGCACCTTGTATGGTTCTTTAGACTCTGAGTTTCACTAGAGGCAGGGACTGTGTCTAATTTGGCTCACTGTTGTTTGCTAGAACATAGCACACTGCGGAGCACTTAGTAGGTAGCTGTTCAGTCATTCATTCAACCAGTAATTTTTCCCGCTTTTGTTCTCCATCCCTAATATTCCAGTGTGGGGAGGCAGAAGACAATTAAATGTATGATATGGCAGGTGGTGATAGGAGCTATGAAGAAATCTAAAGCAGGTAAAAGGATATTATTTAAATAAGGCCAAAACTTGCAGAGTCTTTGAATAAAGAATCCCCGAGACATGAAAAGAGTTTTCACCTCTATGCATGTGGGACATGATGGAATACAGGCTTTCTCTTTGGGCATAACAAAAAAGCCTCAGAAACCTTCACATTCTTTAGGAAACGGAGGAACCAGTGCTGGATTATTGAATAAGACAGCTAAAGTGCAGACATTAGGGGTTAGAGGTGACATTTCATAGGACACAGTCCCAGTCTCAGAAGTCAGTATTCTTGGTACAAAGAGCATTTCCGATAACAGTCTTATAATAAAAAACAGAATTAGGTATTTTTACACAAGTTTCCACTCTGGACAGGATAGCAAGATTGATAGTTTTGTGAAAAGTCTCAATTCATCACTTTATCTGAATCGGCTTTCTGATGCGGAAAGGTGTTCACTTCTGCAGCCATCAGACAAGGAGGAATTTTTCTCCTAACCTTTCTGAGATTTTCTTTTACCCACAGTTAGGAGCCTGCAGCTTTCAATGCAGAATGTGGAGTTTCATTGGTTAGCACCAAGAGGAAAAGAAAAAAGCAAGAATGTGGAAGAGAGCAGAGTAAGGTTATTAGCAAGTGGAATATGGAGCATGAAGTGCTTTTGTATCTACAGGTGGTAGGCAGCGATGGGGTGGGGCTTCTATTTCAGACAGGATAGCTAGGGAGGCCATCTCTGATAAGGTGACATTTGAGTAGACACCTAAACAAAGTGAGGGAGTGAGCAGTACAGATACCTGGAGGAAGAGCAATCAGACAGAAGACACAGCCAATGCAAAGGCCCTGAGGGGATCATGGTTGAGTGTTTGGGGTTACAGTGAGGAGGCTCTTGTGGTTGGAAGCTCACTGAGCCAGAGGAAGATGGTAGGAGTCAAGAAGATGGAAGCGATTCTCTAGGGTCCTGTGAGGGCTTTGGATTTCAATCTCAGTGCAATGGGAAGTCACTGGAAGGTTCTGAGCGGGGGGTGACAACTGATTTAGGTTTAACAGGCTTACTTTGGCCGATGGATAGAGAGATGGCAGGAGCTCAATAAACATTTATTGAATGGCTGAATGAATGTTCCTTGGGACTTTATATAGACTCCTAGTATAGCTGTTACTGTGCTGTTCTATAAGTGCTCCCGTGTCTGTCTGTTTACTCTGTTCTAAGGGCCCTGTGACCATGTTGGGTTTGTCCCTGGCCCAAGCTCAGTCCCACATAGATTTCAGCGATTCATGAGATGGCTATCAGTGACGAAAATGACCAGGGTCCTGCAGAGAGAGCACTTTGAGGTATATTACTGTGTTCTCCCTTCTGCAGGGCCTGATGTACCGTGATGCCTGTCGATGGGGCCTCACGCTGCAGACATATGTACAGCTCACCATGCTGGAACAGCACACTCGTCCTCAGGTACCTTTCAGATGCTTGGTTTCAACCTTCTTAACATTTTCTTCAAATGAGGGGTATATGAGTGCCAGGAAGGGAACCCTCACAAAGAGGCCTGGCTGGGCCTTCAGCGCGGCTCAGCCTTCTCTGTCTTGGGCCAAGGTCTCTGTTCCTGCATCTCTCTGAGGACAGCCTCCAGTGCCCCCACCCACCAGCCTCCAGTGCCCCTGTCCACTAGCCTCAGCTAGCCAAGAAATTGCTATGGTGCCACTGTGAGCCCAAGTCTTCATGATCCCACCACGACTGGGCTCAACACCATTTAACTCAGTTCTTCTCAAAGTGTGGTTCCTGAACCAGGAGCAGCAACACCACCTGAGAACTTCTTAGAGATGCACATTTTCTGGCTCTATCCTGGACCTGCTGAATCAGAAATGCTGGCGATGAGGGCCAGCAATCTGTGTTTTATTAAGCTCTTCAGGTGATTTTAATGCATGCTTTGTTTGTTTGCATGTTTGAGAACCACTATCTAACCTTCACAAGGTCTGGCTCATGGTTCAAATTCTTGAGAGAAAGAAGCTGATTGGCTCAGCTTGGGTCAGGTGTCCAGCCCTGGGCCAATCAGGTATTGGGAAGATCAGGGAGCACAAACAGGCTGCTTAGGCCCCTCCATCAGCAGGGATATGAATAGAGGAAGTCTCTTGGAAGAAAGGATGGCTGAAAAGATCCCGATTGGCACCCATGGTTCAAAATCACAAGTACATACAACCTAAGAGACTGGGTTTGGAGGCTGTCTAAGAAGGAGATCCCTACAGCTAGATACGCTGACATAGCCACTTGGCTGGGTGGTTTGATCAAGGTACTTGCAACCATAGATGTCATTCTTCCACAAATCTGTGTCTTAAAAGTGAAAGATATGAGCAGAACCATATGAATTTCTATCTCCCCAAATGCCTGTCAAAATGATACAGGTTAGAGGATCTGAGGTTGGTACTTTTTCCCTTTGCCCACTCTACCTTTCCTGAGCGGGCACTCAATTGCAAATCTGAATTGCTTCTATTATATTTGAATATAATGGGATATACGTGTGTTCTATTTGGGGAAATCTACCATGAAGGAGGCAGAGAGAAAACGAGAGATGGACAGACTAGGAAAGATGAGCAGAAAGACAGATAGATGGATGGGGAGCTAGCAAAAGACGGGCAGTAGGGAGTGATAAGTAAGGAGAGGACAGGAAAATGGAAGGGAAGAAGGATGGGCAGATAGACACACAGGTAGAGAGTCGGGAAATTCCTGGGTTATGGCTTTGAATCTGCCCCTGACTTGCTGGTTCAGGTCCCATGGGTTCAGGTCCCTTGGGTGCTGTTGGTACATGGGTGCCATGCTAAATGAGAGCAATGTTTGACCACTTGGTTTCAAGGGTAAGGGCCCCTCCTGCTTCCCAGTGGACACTGTGTACAAAGGGAAAGGTCATCTGTGGAGTGTGAGCACCTGGCATAGAGGGGTGATGTCAGTGTCGGCATCCTTCCTTCTGGGCACGATCTGTCCCAGTTTCCAAAAGGCTGCAGTGATCCCCACCCAACCCTGTGAGGAAGCGGCAGAGTTGGCAGGTCTGGCACCTTGTGGGGTTCCAGAAATCCAGACCCTGAGGCACTGCTGGCATCATCCCCTTAATGTCACCTGAACCCCACACTCCTCTTTGAGCTCTACCTTGGGCTTTCAGATCCCACCGCTTAAGCAAAGGCACCGTAGTTTAGGTCTGTAGTAATCATACTTTGCACTTGACACCACTTTGCTGGACAGCACTTGGCAGTTCCCCAAACCCACAATCCGGCTGAACCTTACCTCTCCTGCTGATGAGCCCTCGCCCCAGCATGGCTGCGCTGGCCACTGAGTTTCAGGCTGTGGGGACGGTCCCGGTTGAGGGAGGAACACAGCTGAGCCTAATGTCGGCCTCTCGATTCTTGTATTCAGCATAGGCCATAAGCAGGGGGAGCACAGGCATTCCTTAAGCCTTCCTGATCCCCTCCTCTTTGCCTGAGTTAGTGAATCGTTTTTTGTTTTCTTTTAGACGTCACCTGTGCGGTTGATGGAGCGGTCGATTCACAGTGCAAGATACATTTTTGTTGAGAACCTGTATAGAAGGTACCGTAGTTTGCACAATTGATAATTTATTAAACCATTAATTTGTTAGAAATGAAATTGGAATTTGTTTATCCAGTTGACAGATATCGAGTACCTACTGTGTTTTACCAGTTGTCCATCGCCACACTAATGCTGTGTAAAAAACAAGCACAAAACCTCAGTGACAGACAGCTTTCTGCACTGATCCTCAGCCATCTAGGGTAGTCAGCCAGGTGGCTCTGCTGACCTTAGCTGGGATTGATGATATGTCTGGGGGTCGCCTGGTCGAGATGGCACCGGCAAGGGTGACGAAGCGACTCATCTCTTTTTCTTGTCTCTTATCTTCTTCTGGGACCAGCAAGCTAGCCTGGCCATTCACTTCTCATGGTGATGGCAGAGGGCAGGAGCACCAGCGGTAATCTGTGAGCGCCTTTTCAAGCCTTGGCTTCGCATTTGCTAACATCCCACTGGCCAAAGCGGGCCGCACAGCCAACCCAGCCTGAAAGGCGGGAGAGCCCTTGTGGCTTACATGGGAAAGCGGGAGGATTTGGGGACGATGAAGATTTTGGAGTGACTAAAGCAATCATTCTAGCAGTGTGCATGATATTGGTTGTGGTTTTCACTCAAAACTGTCCTTTGCCCTCATGGGAGCAGACTCTGTCATATTGACAGAGTTGGAGGGGACTTATGGTGGCCCACAGTGCTGAGCCCTCAGAGGTGTGGGACCCTCCATTCCTGTGCTCAGTTGACTGATGATTTTTAGGGGTTTTGGGGAAATGGGCTGACGGCTGGGGTCTGAAGCTTCGGCTTCTTCCATGCCCCTCCCTGCTTGGTAGCTGTGTACCTGGTCCCCCTCTTTTTGCCAGCCCCCCACATTACTGCTTCTTGCTTTGAGGTTTGGGGTGCTGCTTTCACTCCCTTGTGGAGTTGGTCCTGATAGCTGCCTTCTCTCTACGTGCTGGCTCCCCATTTCTTCTCATTTGCCGTTGTCCTAAATGTCACCTCTCCTGACCCTCCCCAACCACCCTATCTAAATGGGTGAAGCCCCTTAGTATTCTTAATGACTACTGTCTGTTGGTTTTCTTTGTAATATTTAAGACAACTTCTAATTAGGTTGAGCCATATGAACTTTTTAATATTTGACCAATCTTGACCTAAAAAAGTGGCAATTTCATGTGGTTTAACTTAGTATGTGCTTTTTTGTGTAATTGTCTATTGCGTGTCCCCCAATGGGCCCGTAAGCTTCTCGAGGGCAGGGGCCACACCTGGTGGGCCCAGTACATAGCTGGCACCTGGTCTGTATCGTTGGGCGGTGAGCCCTGCCACTGTTCTTTCATCTCCAGCCCCGTTTGCTCCCTAGGCTCTGGCCCCAGCTTTCCTTTTACACTCTTTCCTTGGAGGGGGCCACATAAAGGCTTCTCCCGTGGGTACTGAGCTGCCATGGATCGTGCCCTTGAGCCTGTGTGACACCAGGATGAAGCCTCTGCCCACACCTACTCCGAGCATTAGACCCAATCTCTGGGTTCAGGGACAGCAGCCAGGGCAGGTCCTGACTAGAGCTTTGTCCTCTGACCTCAGATTGTCTTGTGGGCGCCACCCTCGTAGCAGGCAGTGTTCCTGATGCTGGTGTCCCGTCCTCCCCCAGCTGCCTGGGTTTCCAGCAAGGCTGAAGTAGTCACTGTTCGGTTCCCACAATCCTTCACTCTTCTCTGCCCTCTGCTCATTAGTGTCTCCGCCAGAGGGAAGGCAGGCAGAAGAGAGCAAGGGAGCCCCTTTAGCGTTTGCTTACTGCTCTGATAAAAGTGTGGCTGGAAGAGCAGACTCTGGGCAGCTGGTGGGGAGTCCGTGTGACCCTCGCATAGCTGGGCTGTCTCTGTCTTCTAATCACAGTCAGCTTGGGTCAGTCTGTGTGGCAGCCTGTGACTCTTTTTTTGTTTTGTTTTTAGCTGAGCCATCCTGCCATCTGTTGGCAGCTCAGTGGCAGCTCAGCTCAGGCTGGGACTCGAACCGCTGTTGCTCAGAGCTCAAACTCTTGAGTGAGCTCTTAACCAATTGAGCCACTTGGCTGGCCATGTGGCTCTTTTTTGAAGGGGGTGACCTAGAATGGAATTTCCAGAGGTCAAGGGGAGTGAGTGGGATGTGGAGTTGGTGGACCTGGGTTCCATCCTGGTTCTAGAGTATGTTCTCTTTGTGAGCATGAATAAGTGCCTAAACCTCTCTGAGCCCTTGTCTCTAGAAGTACTTCCTGTTGTTCATCTCTGGAGAGCCTTGAAACAGTTGCCTGGTTTAGATCCTGTGACTTATGCAGGTCCTTACCTACCTTGATCTTCACAAAATTTGCCACTTAATCCCCCTACCCCATAGGCTGCCCATTGCCTGGTGAATTTACCCAGGAGCCTCTTTTCTTTGCTTGTCCCAGGGGCAGTTTGAGCTGATGTCCATGGTCTTTGGTAACTCACACGCATAGTCCTGCATTACGACGCTTCTGGTAGTGGTTCTGTATTTCTTTATCTAAGTGGCTGTGGTCCAGGTTACTGGTCCAGATCACATGGGCCTTGCCCTGAACTGCTCTGTGGGTGGTGTCGGGCAAGGCTGTAGCTTTTGATCTTTGTGAGCTCTTTTCTTTCCCTGAGAATTTCTTACATATTTATGCCTCCCCCTGCTCTCCCAGAAATCCTGGCATCTGTGGTTAGGATATCTGTGGGACAAAAGAGCCATGGAAGAAATGCACAGTGTCCTTGTTTCTGTTCTTGGGATCTAATTCCTTTAAGTTCGTGTAGTCCCCAGTTGGCATGGGTTCCCCCGAAGACCTTGTTGGAGCCTTGAGACCCAGTACTGGTGTCACTTGATGCAGCCAGAGGCTGTTGGTTGGCGCATGGCCTTGGGTGCTCCAGAGGCTTCTGGAAGCACTGTGACGCCCTCGAGGGCCAGGTCACACACCACTTAGGTTCCAGGGAACTGGGAGAAGGTGGTGCTCCTCAAACCCTTTCACTGTAGTCCTCCAAGACCCGAGGCAGGCTGCTAACAAAATTTCTTTGACATTTCCTCCTTTATGTTAGAAAGTCATTGGATTTTGCATTCTAGTCCATAGCATGTTCTTACGTCTGTATCTGTAAAAACATCATGCTTAGCATGTGGCTTGGAGGACCCCTTCCCTCAGCCGTATACTCCAGAGTCTCCAAGTTTGGGAGGCAGAGAACCTCTGAGAAACACCCTCCCAGTGTAGCTGATCCACCTGTGAACTGGATCAGCCTGTGCCAATAATTGGGGCATTTGCTCAAGTGGTCGAGGGGCAGGGCAGGGACCCGTGGATAGGAGCTGTGTTTGTGGTCCGGTTCTTTACATGTCCTTCTCCTTTGAACCCTCCAGGCGGCCCTGAGGTGGGTACTGTTGACCCTGTTTGGCAGATCAGGAATTGAGATGGGATTGGAAAGCCAGTGCTCTTTGCTGACTGGGGAGGAAACTGGCCAAGGGAGCTGCTCTGAACCCTGCTGTGTGGGGCAGCCATCATGAGGGAGTGGGGAGAGACACCTAGATTTCTCTCATTAATAAGGCCAGAGGTGTCAGGACCACTGGCGCCCCCAAAGTGCTGGCTCGGGGAGCCAGGCCTCTGCCTCTTCCCACCCAGGCCCTACAGTCGGCATCTCCCACAGGCCACTGTGCATCGTGTTAACATGCACACGCTGCTTCACTGAGTCCAGGGTGGGGCCAGACAGCCTGCGTTTCGTACCCTGGCTGCCACCATCCTGCTTGTTGGGTATCACACTTTCAGGGCCAGGGCTTTGGAAGAAGCCAGCAGCCAGGTGGGCTGCAAGGAGCCCTGTCCTAATGCCCAGCCCTTTCCCTCTGGAATTTTGTCCCTGTTGTTTCCTTGCGGCATCCCCTGGGCCTTTTGGGTCCTGAAAGCAAGAGCCCCCACTGTGGGTTGTCTTTGGGGCCAGGCGGTGAAAAGTTATGCATGCAGGATTTCCTGTTTACTGCACTGCCAGCAGCTGTGTCACATTTGATGCTTTAGGTTTTGGTTGTTGGGGGTTTTGTTGTGTTATCTTTGTTTCAAGGGTCTCTGGGTTTATTCCCGAGGTCAGGAGTGGGGCAGCCATAGGCCAAAGATTTTTTTTTTGGAGGTAAAGTAAAAGGTGTTTTCAGCCAGAGCTGAAGTGACAAGTAGAAGCAAGATGTGTGCTTTCTTTGTGGTCACCCTCCTTCCAACCCCAGCATGTCTCGATGCGGGGGGTCATCCACAGTGAAGTGTTACTGAGAAGGCGGATGTTCTAAGATGTTTCTGCTCCCCCAAAGTATAAATTGCCATCATTTTGAGTCGACACCAAATGTAGCCTAGAACTGGGTTTAGCTGGATCCTTTGCCTGCACCTAGAAGAGGATGTTTTGGTTCCCCACCTGCAGGGAGTTCGTCTGGGCACTGGGAACCACAGATGGCATGTGTGGGATGTCAGGTCCCGCCTGGGAGCTCATGTGGGGACAGCCCTTTCACAAGGCAGTGGTGGGCGAGAGACTGCTGTCCCTTCAGCTTTGGGGTTGATCCTTTTTCTCAGAAGCCCTTGCAACCCTGGCTTGGAATCTCTGGGGGCCTGGATGGAAGGGAGCACGGCAGGCCTGGCCCTGCCGTTTGCATTTGCCGGTTCGGGGGTCCAGAAAAGACCACATATGGGAATTCTGCCTCCCCCAAAGCAGAATTTCTCAAAGAGCAGTCTTGCCTTTTGGGTGGAACAAGTGAGCAGGTCCCCTGGGGAGAGACCGCCTCTTGCAGCCCTCCTCTGCCGCCCAGCCAGGTAGGGGTTGGCAGAATGTAAGTGCAGCTGGGCCACCAGGGGCCTGAGAGGATTGTGTGACTTGCTGAAGAGGAGGATTCCGGCTCCACAGGTTCCTTAAAGACGAGAATTTCTAAGATGTGGGCACTGTGCCGAAATGAAAAGCCTAAGATGGTAAGAAAGATTCATGTAACTAAAGTGGCCGTGCAGGCCATTGTGTGGCCCGAGCCCCGTGGGCTGAGTAATAGAATGGAAAGATTTTGCAAGATTGCTTGGTCGACATGTTCTAAGAGCAGAAGTAAGGGAACTGAGTGGGCCCAGCTTGGGAAGTGAGACGCTGAGTCATGTGGGGCCGGTGGTCCGGGACATTGATTAGGACCCTGTGTTGAGAACAGCAGGCAGGTCCTCCTACCTCCCTGACTGGCCCTGGCACTTGGACTCCTCCCCATCTCTGGTCCAGACGGGGGACTCACGGCCGGAGTCATAGGTCTGATAGATGTGACCTTCCTCCAGCTGAGGCCATGAGACACTGGCTGTGGTCCAGAACAGCCCCTCAGTGGACAGAGCAGGAAGGGTGAGTGATGCACTGGAGAGCATATGGGTTTGGGGGCCACAGAGAGCCAGACTTGAATCCCTGCTCAGACAAGGCTTGGCCTCACTTCTCTGGGCCTCAGTTTTCCTCATCTTTAAACTGGAACTAAAATTGACCTCACAAGGTCTTGTGAAAACAAAAGAAAATAGTGTACACAAGGTGGCTGGCATTCGAGTGTGAGATTTCTGTTCTGACTTGTGCTGTGCAACCCTTGGGCTCTCTGGGCATCAGGGCAAAGGTGGCAGCAAACTGTGCCAAACAGAACAGGATTTATGTGGACCCAAGACCTCAATTTTGTCACCCTGCGACAAGGCCAAGGCCCCATGAAACCCTTTCAGTTCACTGTTGGGGAGTTGCACTGTTGAATTTCCTGTAGAGAGGCAGCGCCACCCTCTGTGTGTGCTATGGAAAGAAAAGCAGTAGCTTGTCAGTGGTGCTGGCTGCCTCGTTCTTGAGGCAGAGTCAGGCAGAATTCCCAGGAGGAAAACCACGAAACTGGATATGACAGCACCCGCTGCCTGACAGCCCTCAGTGTCATGGAGACCAGGCTTGTTTCCTTACTCAGCTCAGCCTAGACCCCCCATTGCACACAGCTCGGGCAGACCCACTCTCCTTGTAGGCAGCCTCGCCAAACCCAGTTCTGAGTGGATCAAAGATGGTGGAGGATGTTAAAAGAGTGAATTCCTCTCCTGGGCCTTTGAGGGTCACCCCATTGTTGACAGGTGCGTTTCTTCCAGCTGCTGCCATTCCTTTTCTTTCCTGGTTGTTTCCTCTCAGGGCAGAGGAAATCCACAGGGGCCAGGGGCTTGTCACTCTTTGTCTCTTCCTTCCTTCCTTCCTCCCTCTCTCCCTTCCTTCCTTCCTTCCTTTTTCAGTTAACAATTTAAATGTGACGTCATCTCTTCCTGCCTCGCAACTCTTGATTTGAGAACTAATAGGTTGTTATATTTTGGAAAATACAGAAAGGTATAAAGAAAAAAAAATGAAAGTCTCCCATAGTCCTACAGATCAGAGAAAAGCACTGTTAACATTTTGGTGTTTTTCTTTCTAGTTTTTTTTTTTTCAAAACGTGTGGATGAATACTCTTGAAAGAATGGTTGGGTCATACTATATGCACAGTTTCAACATCCTGCTGTTTTCACTGAATTACGAGCATGTGATTAGGAGCATTTCCACATCATTAAATATTATTTTACACCATCATTTTCATTTACTGCATGGCTTCCTGTTACATAGATGTATCACGATTTAGTTTTTCATTATTTGAAACAGGGCTGCAGTGGCATCCATAACTATTTCCACAAAATAAATTTCTAGAGGTGGAATTGGTCGCCGCTCCACCTCCCAACCTGAGTTGTCCCTGTTCTCAGGCTTCAAAGCCCCTTTCCCTACTTGGAGTTCAAATCCCAAATGAGTTCTCCAATTGGACAGTGCCATGACACCTGCTACATTACACCGTAGTCCGTCCCCAGGCAGGGGAAGGCCAGGGGTGTTAGGGCCCTTGTTGTCACTACGTGTTCATTGTCATGTGGATCATACTTTGCCATGGTACCCTTGGCAACAAAAGCGATCCCCAGTTCCTTTTGGGGAGTGGCGCATCCTAGAAACTTTCTCGTGGGTAAACAGAATCCTTACACCTCTCATTGCAGCGGGAAGATGCCTGATGTGGACTACGTGGTCCTTTCGGAATGGTTTGACTGGATCGTGAAGAACATCGATGTGTCCGTGGATTTGATAGGTGAGATGGCCCTTCCTGGCCTCCCTCCCAGGCGTCCCTCCCCTGGGCCCAGTGAGGCACCCAGTCAGCAGGGATGGTGGGTGGGGCCCTTACCATTCAGTGCTGATTCTTTCCCCATATCAATTCAGCCTTTTCTCCAAGGGCAGACAGAATTTGGGGGCTCCTGGTCCCTCCCAGAGAAGCACCCTGGCCTGTGTGCCTCAAGCTGTTCTCCTCTGGTTCCATTGTGATTTGGTGGCTTTTCTAGTTTGTAAGGGAGGCAGGAGGGGACAGAGCCTGGATATTTACTGAGACCCGCTGGGTGCTGGGCCCTATGCTAAGCTCTGTCTGTGTCTGGAACCTTATTCAGCCCACAATGTCCCCATGGGGCTGGTGACATGGAAAGGGAACAAAAGTCAGAATGAGGGTCAGGGTGCCTGTCAGGTCACACAGTGGGTCAGTGGTTGAGCTGGGAGCTCACCCTGGTCGGTGTCTCCTGCTCAGAGATGCCGGCAGATGTTTCTCTCTATGCCTTACCCACATGCCTGCCTTCCGCCTCTCCTTGGCTTTCACTTCTAAGTCATGGACAGAGTCATTAGAGCCACGTATGTTTTTAAATCTCAGTTTATCTCCGGACCACTCCTGAGACCTGTTATCAGAGGTTAAAGATGAGATGCAGGGAAGAGGAGAAGGTCATTCCATTGGTAAGAACTCCTTTTACCCAGTTAGAGGTGAACTGGGTGAGGCCTGGCCTCACCCTCTGTGAGAGCACCATGCTGCTGTTGCAGAGAGAGAAACAGGAACTGAGCATATCAGAGGGTGAACTCTGACTTCCTCTGTGGCTGGAGACCCCGTGCTGTGTCTAGATCTGCTTCACTTCCTGGGCCCCAAACTCCCCCTCCCCTCGCCCAGGCATCGCTGGGTTCATCTCCTGAAGATGGCTTGCCTTTTCACCTGCTCAGGCTGCTCTAAAACGTGCCCTCTTGCTCACTGCTGCGTTCCCAGCACTTAGCACAGTGCCCAGATTGGAGGCGGCGCTCCCCGGTGTTTGCTCACTGCTGGGTTCTGGGTTCTGGGTTCTGGCTCAGGGCCACATCTACTCCGGGCGGGACTGTTCTCCTTGTTGTGGTCCCTCACTCCCCACATCCCCCTCACAGTCTAGGATAAGGTGCCCATTTCATAGCATGCCATATGAGAGCCTGTATGATGGCTTTGTCTACCTCTACTGTCTGTCTGTCACACTGTGGCCATAAAGAACTAGTTGTGGCCACACAAACACACACACACACACACACTCACTCACTCACTCACTCACCATGGAATTACACAAATGTGCCTTTGCATAGTGGTTTCTTTTGCCTTCTAAGTTCAGCTCAGATGTCACCTACTCCAGGAAGTCTTCCCTGACCTACCCTCCCTTGTGCTCCCCCAGCCCCTGCGCTTACTATGATCATAGCCCTTAGGACAGGCATACTGAAACTATTTATTTACATGTTTGTTCCCCACCCCTCAGGAAACCGTGAGCTTTTTAAGATTAGATCTCATTCCCACTGTATCCCTAGCAAGTGTCCCATGGCCTGGCACCTAGGAGTTTCTCACTTAATATTGAACTGAATGCCCCACGTGAGAAGCTGGCACTGGTAGTACACGGTTAGAGGCCATGCAAGCCTCTCTGGCATGCCATGGGGGTCTAAGCTCAGCATGGGCTGGACTGGGCTCCTGAAGCTTGCCCAGCCTTGTTTGCCTGGGCACCAGCGAGGTAGATTCTAGCCATGAGGACCAGGCCTCAGTCTGGGCAACGCCTTTGAAATCTGGAGACAGGAATGATTGGAGGAAGGGCACAGTGGAGCAGGGATCGGCCATGCAGTGAAGCTCTGTGCTGTGACCCAGGTGTTGTAAAGAAATGCCCAGTCTGGAGTCCCTCCAAGCCAGTGTCTTAATGGTTTTGGCAAGGCCTCCAGGACAAATGTGTCTGTTGTTGCTAAGGGAGCACTCAGTGATGGATGAAAAGGCGGCCGTGTGGCTCACCTAAGAGCCGGGCTTGGAGTAAACTGCCGCTCGAGGAGGAGGCGTTGGTGGGTGGCCAAGTGCACCTTGGCCTGTGCGTGGGGAAGTGTGTGCTGTCCAGTCCTGCCTGGTACAGCGGCACTGAGGGCGTAGGGGCATGTCCGGGCCTCTTTATCCGTGGAGTCCACCTTGTTGGGCTTTCTGAAGTTGGTCTTTATGATTTAGAGGATCCACAGGTTACAGGTTGTTTGGTGAGGTGCGAGCAGGGCTGCTAGGCCAGTGACAGCTGCATTCCTCTTGGTGGAGGGAAGGGTTCAGGCTGCCCAGGGCTGGGACGCCTGGTCATGGAGCCCCCACCCCCGACACACGCTGAGGGAACTGGTGGCCCTGCTGCTAGAAAAGCGGCAGCAAATGAGAGAAGCCAGGCCAGGAGGGTGCGGACGAAGTGCACCGGAGGGATGGGACGGGCGGCTGTGGTGACACTTCTGACTGTCGTGATGCCTGGGCTGGCCAGCAGAGTGAGCGGATGCATTTATGGCTGTCCACCTGAGCCAGTTGTGGGCTCCTCTGTCCAAGCCACTGCCCCATGGTCATTGATACTCGCCCTACCTGCCTGAGACTCTGAGTGGGAGAGTTTTGCTACCTCTCCTCCTTGCTCCAACAGCCTGTGTGTGCGTGTGTGTGTGTGTTTCCCGACAGGAGTACCTGGATGCTATTCACCACCTGTACGAGGACTGGCTCATCAAAGGGAGCCTTTTCCCCATAGTGGCCCCTGTTCTGGTAAGTCCCCGTGACTGGGCAGGAGACTTCTAGGAGAAGTGACCCAGGGAATGTCGGCCACTCTGCAGCCTGGGGAAGAAGGAAGCAGGGAGGGTGGAAGGGGCTCTTTCTCTCTCCCAGTCCCCATTCTGGACTGAGTCTCAGAGTTGGACAGACCTGAGAGAAGGTGATCTGTCTCAGTGTCATTACACCAGTGACCACAGTAGCATCTCACTTATCCAGCATCGTCAGTGAAGGAACGTTCCAGATGGCCGAAGCCTGTAGACCTGGGTTTTGGTTTTAACCATTTGGGATGGTGGTATTTCTAATGCTACCATTTCTCCTTCAGTGGATGGTAGGCTAAGAGCCTCATTGCACCTTCTCTTGGTGACTCAGGGCATCTGAAGGAACATCATTTGCTGTTCTGTGCTGTCACACAGTGATGCCTTTCGGAGGTGCTGAGGTGTGTAGGACTGTTTGCTCCAGTCTACAATGCCTTTCAGTTCCTGTGTTTGCCTTTTACGGTATTGCTTTCTCCTGCTGACACTGGCCATGTCTAACTCTGTTGATGTGTCTGCGTGATTCCTTGCTTCTCCATCCCCTTGTTTTTGGATTTGCTGCTGCTGAATCTCTAGGCTGGTACATGGATACCTAAGACTGCAGGATTGTGTGGATGGTGTGGGATCTGAGGGAGGGCCGTGTGCAGGCTGTTGTGCATGGCCATGGGGACATCTGTTTGAGCTGCTCAAAACTTCACTCATGGCTCTTCGAGGCAGTGAGGTTGCTGGAAAGTGAGATATTACTGTTGTGGATTTTTAAAGACGTGAAGTCCGTTTTTTCCCCCTCATTGTAGAAAATTGGATGGTATAAAATGAGGGAAAAAAATCACTTATGAGCTTGCTGCGGGGACAACTCTAGTGGGTTCTCAAGTGGAAATACAGCTGAGAATGTAGGTTGACCTAGAGCTGAGAGCTGTTGGGCTTTAACCTTCCTCTCCCTGCTTCTTTCTGCCTGCCTCCATCTCTTTCTCACCATCTTTGAAGGGAGGATGATGTTGGGGTCAAGTGCAGCCCTGTGACCATGTGTTTAATTTCCAGGTGATTGAGGCTGACCACGACATGCAGAAAATGTTAGAACTCTTTGAACAAAACCGGGACCGAATAGTAACTCCAGAGAATCGGAAACATGGTTTATAGAACGGGAAAGATCATGCCAGAAAAATGCCTACCGTTGCCATATTAGCTATTAGGAACAATGTGGAAAATCTGCTCTTGGGAGGGCTTTGTGTCTAGCCAGACTTTTTCTAATGTTCTTTTCACCTTCGCCAGTGTCTGTCCTGGGTTTCTGGCCCTCACGGGTAAATGACAAATGGGACCAATGCGTCATGCCCTTTAGTGTTTGCAACCTTGCATTCCTTCTGGTGCGTCTCATGGTGGTTTCCCATTGCTGGATTCCTCTAACTAAGCCCTCAGGAAGAGCCACCTGACATCATGCTGGACTTGTGATCTCTAACCCTTCAGACCACCCGGGAGGGGAAGGTGGTGGTCTTATATCCTAGGGAAGAAAGCTGAAGCTCAGAGAGGCGCAGGGACTCCCCAGGGTCACACAGCCAGTGACAGTGGCGCTGGCACCGTTTAGATTTTGGCAATTCCAAAATGTCTTCTTGCCCCAGGCTGCCTCGTCCTGCCCTGCCTTCCCCTAATGGAGACCCTCATATCTGCGTTGGGAGAGCCAGCAGTGTATGGAGCCAATGTCATTATTTTTCATTATTTGAGCAGTTCTTTTTTAAAGATTTTTTTTATTGGGGAATTGGGGGAAGGGGAACAGACAAGCTGCTGCCCTTTTGTTCTTCAGTCTAGTTGTGGAGGACGTCGCTTCACTGGCCCAAGTTGGCACCATCATTGCGCTCTTCCCGGGCGAGGCAGATCAGTCACTGGCTTCTGGACGGCCGCTCATGGCAGCTGCTGGCTGCTCATACTGGCTGCTGGCTACACACGGTAGCCCATGGCAACCCACTGCAGCAGGGGCTGCAGCCTATGCCGTAGCCGGCGACTCATGGCAGCCCAGCTCCAGGTTGAGCTGTTGTTCAGCATCTTAGCTGTAGAGGGCAGTGTCACTGGCCCTCAATGTGGGATCCGAACCGGGGCCCTCTGGCGTCCCAAGCCAACTCTTAACTAACTGACCCACTCGGCTGGCCCTATTTGAGCAGTTCTTAGGACAGTAGGCATCTCTAGACTTTCACAAAATTGTGTTTGGCGCAAGCCCAGTGTTGAGTGGTTTCCCAGCATGAGGCCACTGTGGATTTACCACCTCATCATCTGGGCTTCTTTGTCCTTAGGAGAATCATGCCTTGGCTCCTGCATGGTGCTTGGTCTCCTGATGATAAAGGTCCTGCTTGAGCTGCTGCCAGTTCCATATCAGGGAAATGGCTTTTGGTGCCTGGCTGGTTTGCCCAGTGCCAAGCTGGGCCCAGGGGCCACCAGCCCTGGCTTCTGAGGCTTCCTTAGTCCCTAGTGGCCTCGTGTGGAGCTTCGCCCTTGGAATTACTGAGCGTTTGTGGCCCAGGAGAGAGATGCAAGTGGCCTTAAGTCTTTTTGAAATATTTTTCCATTCAAGGGGACACCTTGGGTCATAGGGCATGAAGCCATCTTCATTGATTCAGAAAGTATCTTAACTTTCCTCAGCTGTAACAGTGCATTGAAGGTATGGCTGTCTCTTGAGTCAAGTAGGAAGCACGATAAAGGAAGAACATTCTCTTTGGGGACTTTTGGACAGGAAAGTTGGGACTTGTAGGCAGAGATTGTGGAGCACTGGTGGAGGTGAGCAGAGAGAGCTTCAGGCACACTGGTTGCAAATGCGGGGAAGGGTCAATTGTGGACTTGGGGTAAACAGGCCTCGGAGTCTCCTCCGAGGTAGTTGGTGTAAATGAAGGTTGGAAGGCCTTGTCCCGGCCTCTGAGTATAGCACCTGTGCACACAGCTTTCTGACACTACATAGGTGACAGGTGCCCCTGGTGGTCCACTCCTATAGGGAGTGTGAAGAGGGCGAGGACTCGGGCTCCCAGCCCTGCCTGTCTGGGCCGATTGGGCTGTGTGGGCGGGATGGATAAGAGGTAGCCGCCCAGGTGCGACGTGTCGCTCAGCGTCAGTGATTGACTAGAAACCTGGGGGAGGCAAGAACCTCTACTACCAGGACTCTTGACATCCCGGGGCCATCTTGGGGAATCTGTAAATATATAGTTGGTCCAGCATTTTCCCCTCAGCTCAATTTGAGCATCTGTTTTAGGGGAAATGTGATTTAAAAAAAAAAAATCTTGCTCTATGGTAGCCAATAAATCCTTCACCTAAAGCCTGATGTTAATTTTGGAGCACTTCCTGTGCCACCGATGTTAGCTCCCTGCAGCATCCTACTGCCAGTAAGATAATGTGCTTCGCTTTTTAGCCACCATGTTTCCTGACCTGGAATGTATGGGTCCCGTCCTCCCATCTGGCACCTTTGAGAGTATGCTGTGTGTATTCACAGTGGCCGGGGCTGGTCACAAAAATCTCCCAGCCCAGAGATGTCACGTAAAGCAACTGGAGACCAGCTTGCATGAGGGTTGCTTTCTGGGTGCGGCAGGTGGGGCCGGTGGCAGCTGGCGTCACGGAGCAGTTAGAAACCCTGCTGCGAACCGGGGCAGGAAGAGAGCAGATGGCACATGGTAGGCATGGGACCTAGTTCTTAGCGCAGAGGGAGGCATTCCCCAGGGAACTCCCAGGAGTGGCTGGGAGGCTCATGGCAGGACCTGGCATCCCTGAACTGCTGGACAGGGCAAGCTGGGGCGACAGTGCTCCAGACCTGTGGCGTTGCCCCATTCTCGCCCTGCGGCAGGGTTCTGTACGGCATAAAGTCAGGGTACCTCAGAGCTGACTCTTGCTAATTAAATAAACATTTTTGAAGAGCATATACATTTTCTTTTAGTCAGCATCTTTAGTGAAATAATTCCAATTTACATTTAAGCTTTTTTTTTTTTAATATTGGGGAATTGGGGGATGGGAACAGCGCTGGGGAATTGGGGGAAGGGGAACAGAAAAATTGCTGTCCTTTTGTTCTTCAGTCTAGTTGTGGAGGACGTTGCTTCACTGGCCCAAGTTGGCACCATCATTGCGCTCTTCCTGGGCGAGGCAGATCAGTCGCTGGCTTCTGGACGGTCGCTCCTGGCGGCTGCTGGCCACTCATGCTGGCTGCTGGCTACACACAGTAGCCAATGGCAACCCACTGCAGCAGGGGCTGCAGCCTATGCCATTGCCAGGGACTCAGGCCAGCCCAGCTCTAGGTTGAGCTATTGTTCAGCATCTTAGCTGTAGAGGGCAGTGTCACTGGCCCTCATATGTGGGATCCGAACCGGGGCCCTCTGGCATCCCAAGCCAGTTCTTAACCAACGCACCACTCATCTGGCCCTACATTTAAGCTTTTTAATTTTACATGTAAAATATTTGATTAGAACCGTTTAGAAATATTTCATGTACCTGGTGATTTAAAAAATGAGATAGAAGTATATTTCTTTCTCATAAAAGTAGGTGGGTGGTCCAGGGCTGATGTGGTGGCTCCGCCGCTGTCAGGAACCAAGGCTGTTCCTGCCTTTCTGTTCCCAGGTCAGCTTCCTGCTTCACGGCTTTATTTCTCCAGGGGCCTCACTGTCCAAATGGCACCTTAGCTCCTGCTCTGGCTAATGCTGGACATACTGCTTCCTGTTCAAACTTGAATTCACATGTGGATATGACCTTTGTAAGGCATAGCTAAGATAAGGTTCTAAGATAGCTAAGATAAGGGACTTTGCTAGAGGCCTTGGAGGTAGGGGAAAGGCAAGAGGGAAGTTGACACCCATGAGCTGGACCACCCAATGTGGCTTCTGGGCTCTGGTGCCCTGGGTCCCACCTCCCCCTACCTTCTGCCCTCACATCACATCACCCTCACAGCAGTATCCTCCGCTCAGTTGGCTTCCTGTGCTGGGCTGAACCTGTGAGGGCAGGGAGCACCAGTCAGATGCACTCCCACGGCTGGGCTCTCAGGAGGCCCTCACTAGATGTGGAACCTGGGAAATGACGTCACCCAGCTTGTTTTTCACTTTGTTTTTCTTCCTGCCCCCTTTTCATTTCTACCTGAGCCCCTCACATAGATGAGAAGTGCCCCTCTGCCTGGGGAATAGTCAGTTAGAGACCTTTCCTAGGACTCCCAGATGCCCCCTGTCAGATGGGGGGGGTGAGGGGTAGGGGGAAGGGGGGGAAGGGTGGAGGTATTTACAAACTCCGAGAGCAGGTAAACATTTTTCTGAAACCAGCCTCCCCCTGAGGCTAGAGAGGGGAACTCACTTCAAATGCTCACATATCTGAGAAATGAGTATACTCATCCCCTTGGCCTCAGCTACCCTTAAAGAGTTGGTTATTAACATAATTGACAAGCCCTTGGAAATGTCAGCCCTTCATTGCTGAGAGTCTTAATAACAATAATCCCCCCTCCCCCACAGCGCCCCTGGGCTGTGGCGCTGGATTTCATGGAAGGTCCCAGGCTCACTGGCACAGCTTTCTTTTCCTAATAACCCCAACCCTATGGCTCCCCTAAAGCTAGAGTGAACTTTGTGTTCCTCTGGTGATGGTGAACTCAGCCAAAGCTGCCTTTAAACCGAAGCTGAGAGAAAGCCAGTCTTGTAGAATCCAGAATGGGTTTGGCATTTCCTACTGACTTCTTGAATTTCTACATTTCTTGGCTTTTTCTTCTTCAAGACTGGGGTCTGTGGAACACAGGTGTCTGAGGTATGATAATAGGTGTTCTGAGAAAAGAGGGTTGTTCTGTAATGCAGGAAATTTGGGAAACACCACCTGGGTACTGTCTCTGTGATGGACATGGTACCTGGTACATTAGCCTAGTTAAGCTCAAGAATCCTGTGATTAAAAACACCTTTTAAACTGTAAGCCAGGGACTCAAATTGATTCGACAGTAGAACTCCACATTTGGGGAATAGTCTTTAATAATCTCAGCGTTAGTGTTCCTTGGAACACACATTGGGAAGCTCTGTTTGAGGGGACGTGTAGCTGCTGATAGCACCTAGCTGTAGTGCCCCTTGAGATTCTCTAGCTCATGTCTCTTCAACTTCAGAGCATCTGAGCTCCCTGGAGGGCACATTAGAACACAGATGACTGGGCCTCCCCCCAGAGTTTCTAATTCAATGGGTCTGGGATAGACCTGAGAATTTGTTTTCAGATGATGATGAGGCTGCTGGTGCCAGGACCGCCCTTTGAGAACCACCTCGCTGGATTTACGCTTCCTAGAATTGCACACCCAGGAGTTCAAAGAAACCTTGGCATCTGTTGAACCTCCTGTGAGCGTTGGTTGTCTTATTTGTGAAATAGGAACATTGCTGACTTCTCAGCGCTATGAGGATAACTGACCTGGCATGTGGAAGGAGTCAGGGCCTGGTACACAGCAAATACCCCATAAATGTTAGTTCAGCTGATGTGCCGGGGAAAACTGGGTGGGGATGCAGTTAGTGGGCTCAGGAATGGCGGTAACTGTGGTAGCCAGCACTTTCCATCTGAGCGGAGTGGATTCCATCAGAGTGACGTGGATGCACATGCTCGTCAGTTAATCTGGGGACCATCTTGACTGACTTGTTCAGTAGGGCACAGCGTTTTCCTCGAGGCTGACCCTCGGACTGTATCTCTGTAAAATGCCTCAGGATCCAGTAACAGAGCATTGGACAAGCAGCTGGCCTTTCTTTTCTTTTAAAAAATGTCCCCATTTCTCATGGGACTCTGGATCTGCACCTGGCGTTCTGTGGAGTGAGAGG